CTCCATCTGCACACGAGAGGATATATTGGTGGATTACTATAAATTGGCGCAATATATGGCATGCAATGCCATACCCAGGACATTAACAGTGATGAGCAATCACCCATTGTTTTGCTACCAACTTCCGTGGCTCTGCATATTTTCCTGTACAACATAGTTAAACTAGCAGAACCCCAACTATATCGTCTTGTTCTTCTAAGATTAGTTAAGAAAGCTAAATACATAAGATGTACTTTGTTGCCTATTTTGTCAGGCATCAAAACACCTCCAATTAAACCTAATATATAAGCCCTACAATGAGAGTGAACTTCTTCTTCATATAGTTCTTCTAGTAATGGCAACATGTTGTCTCTTAGCCATTTTAGTTTTAGCATAGAGCCAATAAGTGACTCTCCCTTGACTGACACGATACCGAGATATGTGTCACACATTTTCATCTAGTTAAACATTGTTGGACCAATAACTGGTAAACTATCAACTCTTAGCCCGAGTTGAAGTGCAACATCCTCTAGGATTATGGTGCACTCCCCTGTTGGAAAATGGAATGTGTGAGTTTCAGGTCTCCACCTCTCGACCAAAGCTGTTATCAATGTGTGATCACCTTAAGATGCCTTAACTTTGCTACCCCAACAAAACTAAGTTGTTCATGTATAGGAACAATTAGAGGATTAGGTTCTAGCATTGAATGACAGAAAGATGAAATCATGTTTTTTAGTTTCCTGCATTTATTAATAAATTAGTAACATTATATGTAAAATATTGATTTATATATTCAGTTAATAATGGTAACATATAAAACTTACCGTTCTTCCAATGAAAACGAACCTGTGTTGGTTTTGCTTTCAGAGCAACATTTTTAGTAATGGGAGCAAAGACAAAGAGAATGAAAGAACAAAGATGGATGCAAGTTTGAATGAAAACATGTGGCCTTCGATGAACATATTTATAGATAAACTTTGGTACGAGAGAGTAGCCTTGGAATCTTGAGAAGTCACAATCTCTTGGTCTGCGTGATTGAGAAGTCACTATCTCTTAGTCTACGTAAATAGAGAGGTCACCATCACTCGTAAAACGTGGTGAAGCATTGAATGATTAAGAATCTAACTAAACTATTATAAATAGTCATATTCGTGTTCATTTTATTCATTCAACCTTCTAAACTTGTTCCTTGTTCTTGTGAACCTTCTCCTTCTAAAAATGTCTTCAATCTATGTCATTCTTCACTCTGATAGTGTCATTAACCAATGTCCTAATGAATGAGTCACGTTCATCTCACCATCAGCTAAATTAGTACATCTAAAAAGAGAAGTGACTCTACAAAGGTTCAAGAAAGTCATCCACACAAAACTTAACCGAGACTCAAATGAAAGGGTGACAACCATACATTTTCGCTACCCAATTAAACTTGGCCCGGGAGTTAGTAACTACACATGTATTAAGTTGAACAATGATGAAGACGTCGATGCACTTTTCAACATCCACGATTCAAATAAACTTTAATCAAGTATAGAATTATATGTTATATTTGTTACAAACGTAACCCAACCACCACAACTTTCACCTTCACCTTACCAAACTTACAAAATCATAAATCCATCTTTTCCAACATATGATATGAATTCTGACCTTTAATCCTACACACAACTTTTAATTGGGCCATTCATAGACCTTAATGAAATACCCTCCGAACCATTTTAACAAACCCTACCCTCTCAGCCTCTTGAAGAAACCTCCATTGAAGAACATGCTGTTGTGGATCTCCCAATCGAAGTGTTTGATCCTTTTAGCGAGGACGAAGATAAAATCTTATTTCAACAGCAGGATGATGAAGAAGACTCCCTCCCACATCCAAATACTCCACCATCACAACCATTACCATTATACAACTCACCTCCATATTTTTTAGACTTTTCCAGTCAAATACAAGAACATGACTCTGAGTTTGGTCATGTCCTTGATCGTGAAATGGTAGTGTATCCACCTGGAACACTATTTGTTAGCCAGTGCTTCCTAACAAAAGAACAAGTGCAAGACGTCATAAATAGATTTCACATTATCAATCATTGCACTTACAAGGTAAAGATGTCAAGCACAACTAGGCTTATCGTGGAATGCGTTCACAACGATTGTGCCTAGAGATGTCATGCTATATTGCGCACCAAAGAGCAACACTGGAAAATAATGAAGCTTAAAGGGTGCCATATATGTACTTCCCCACTCATTTCACAGGATCATAACAAGTTAGGATTACTAATGATTTCTCAAACCATTCGTGAAATTATTGAGACTGATCCATCCACACTCATTGCAACCATCTTAGCCCACATAAAGTCTACAATGGGTTATACAATCAGCTATAGAAAAGAATGGTTGGAAAAACAATATGCCATTGAAAATATCTTCGAAAATTGGGAGGAGTCATACTATAAGTTACCTAGACAGTTGCTTGCAATGCAATTGTATGTTCTGGGCTTCATCTGGAAATTGAGTACACAATGGGCATACAAGGGTGGCTTGCTTGACGAGGGAAATGTGTTCTTCAAGAGATTTTTTAGACCTTCAAGTCATGCATTGATAGTTTTGACTTTTGCAAACCAATTGTTCAAGTGGATAGAACATTTTTGAATGGCAAATACAAAGGGACTTTATTAGTGACAGTTGCGCAAGACGGCCGCAACAACATAATTCTCATTACCTTTACTGTAGTTGAAGGTGAAACTAATGATGTATGGTTCTTTTTTAAAAAAAAAACTTAAAGAGGTACGTAACCCCGCAAGAGAGGTTGTGCCTTATTTCGGATCGTTACGAGGCCATAAGAAGTGCATACTCCAGAAATGGAAGTAGTTGGACAGAAATGTTCTGTCCATGTCTATTGCATTAGACACATTGCATTAGACACATTACACAAAACTTCATGCAACTATTCAAAAACACTGCACTGAAGAAAGATGTCATCAATATGAGTAATTTTATTTTTTTACGTACTTTATATTATCATTAATATTTTATATAATTGTTTAGCTAGTTATATTAATTTTATTTGTAATATTGTTTCCAGCATATGGGCTGACTGAACCGAGATTCTTTTACTATTACAACATAGTAAAAGATAATAATCCTGAAGCTGCACAATGGTTGGATAACATCTCAAGGGAAAAATGGACACTGACATGAGACAACGGACGATGCTAGGGACACATGACAACAAACCTAGCGGAGTCAATCAATTCTGTCTTAAAGAAAACTATAAATCTACCAATTTGCTCCATGGTCATGGCAATATATACCCGTTGTAATAAATTCTTCATTGACAAAAGCAAGGAAGTAGATGTAATGATTAATGCTGGACATATGTACTCAGATATTATAACTAAAGCAATTTAAGATGCATAGTCAAAACCTTTGATAGAATAAGCACTAGATTTTTAGTCGAAGAAATGCAACATCCAACAGAAATTCAACCTGTAGGAAGATTTACAGTACGGTTAAATGAAATGTGGTGTAATTGTGGCAAGTTTCAAAAAGTTCACGTCCCATGCCTGCATGTACTTGCTTCATGCTTACACACACAACACAACTTTGACATCTACATATCTCTCCTATATACCTTACAACAAGTTTTTAAGGTATACGAAGTTTGGAGAACTCAAACACGAAGACTATTGGCCAACTTACACAGGCCTAACTTTGTGTCCAAATCCAGAACTAAAAAGAACTTAAAAAGGTCGACCCAAGTTCAGTAGGATAAGAATAGAGATTGACATCAGAGAACAACAAAGTCAGGCAAAAAATTGTTCTTATTGTCATACCCCTGGTAACACAAGGAAGACATGTCCAAACATCACTCAAGCTTCTAGTTCCTACTATTGATTTATGTTGTTGTTATTATTTTAAAATTTTCTTAATGTCATTTTTAATTTTATGAATGTTATTGCAACTTTTAAATTTTTAGTATTTTTAATTTATATTAAATATATAATTATATATAATATATATAATATTATTTAATTATGTTTATTAATATTAATAACATATTTTTTAAATAAATAATTATGTATAAATTTTAATAAAGATTAATATCTCAAAATAAATAAATAAACTAGTTATTATTTAATACTTTTATTTATTTTATAAATATATAATATTAAATAAATTATTATTATAATTTTTATTTTATACAAATTTAAAATTAAATAAATTATTATTGTAATTTTTATTTTTTTAAATATAATATTAAATAACCAAAAATATAATTTCAGAATATAATATTAATATAATTTAAAAAAAATTATATTAAATAATATAATAAAAAAACAAAAATATTATTTATTATCTTAAATATGTAAAATAAATTTTAATAGACATTTAAAATTAATATTATTTTTATTTATTTTTAAATAATGTTAAAAGATAAACATAATTAAAATAATAAAACTTATTTTATTATATATAGCTAACAAAATATTTATTTAAATAAAATATTATAAATATTTATTTTAATAAAATATTATAAAGATTTATTTTAATAAAATAAAAATATATAAATATAATTTAAATAATAATATTTATTTTATTATATAAAAACCTAAAATAAAATTTAAAAATGAAAAAAAAACCAACTCATAATTTGGTTCTCTGGGTGGCCAAAATTTTGAGTCTATTTGAGTCATAAAATTAGCATGGGGTCTATTTGAATATTTTTTTTATAATTTTAATGTAAAAAACTCCCATATTTATGTTCAATGAATATTTATATATTTTAAAAAAATTATCATATATTCATCAAATAACTCAATAATTACTTTTATCATACATTTTTAATTCAATAAATTAATTTAACAAATTTTAACTAAAAGCTAATTTGTAACTGTTAATTATATTATCATATATTTTAAAAATTTTATTAACTACGGAGATTTTATAATTATTTTGATAAATTGTATAGTGAAATTTATAGTATAATTTTTAAATAAATATTTAATTAAATCATTTACTTACCGAAACACACACTTATTGAATTTGAAGACAGTGTGCTTTCCTCTAAGAAAAGAAAAAGAAAAAGATTATGTACAGTCCCAAAGTGACACGTGCGATTGAGAAATTGAGAGAGGGTGACCTAGAGATAGAGAGGGTAGCTTGGAATCTGAAATACTTGTGTTTCCCTTACTTTTCTTCGCTTCGACTCCTACATTAGGTTTTCCTTCTGCGCGGAAAAACTCCTCAATCCACGGTACTGTTCCTTCAATCCTCTACCTGCTTTCTATTTTTCCATCTTTTTCTTATTCTTCTTTCATATTTTCAATTCAATTTTTCTCCACCTTCGAAACTCTGTTTCTATTTGTAAAAATTCTCTTAGCAACATCAGTTACAAGCTTCAGACGGTCATGGGTTCAGTCGATTTCAAATTGTTGGGTTGTTGGGCTCTCTTTAATTCGGGACCCTAAAACTGACAAATTTGATATGGGTTATTTGTGTGTATTGAGGGATATCTGTGTTGAATTTTATTAATTTGAGACAAGTTTAAATTTTTGTACAATGATGATTATCTGTTATATATTGCTTAATTTTTTCGCTCAGTGGCAAGAATGGTACTGGTAAGTTGGTGTGCCTGGTGTACCTTTTCTTGCCTACTGACTCGTGATTTTGATTCAAGGGTTAGTGTTTAAAATCTTATCTGAGTTTTTCAACACCCCCCCCCCCCCCCCGGCTCTCTATTTTTGTCTCCCTTCCAATATTTAGGGGATTTGAAGAAGAGGGGAAGTTGTTTATGATTTTTAGACTTTGCTGTCTAAATTGTCCCAAAATCTTATTCTACCTTGTACCCCTCCACATTTTTTACGGCAGAACAATATATTACTCACATTGTTCCTTCCCTCTCTTTCAAACCAAACATGGGGACTCGCCTCTTCTCTTTAACCATACCAAACAAGAGGATACTCCCTTCCCCTCCACTGAAGAAGTTCCTCTCATCCCCGCCTTTTGTTGACAAAAAAAGCATTTATTACATGGGAAATGCAAAAGAGTATAAAAAATATTTTCTGCATTTTACTTTCTTAAAATCATTCCTAAGGACTAATTTTAACTGTTTAAAAAATTCCCTGCCGTCCTACCAGAGACAGGGTAATTGACAAACCCTTGATCCTTACCCTTAAAATATCATATGGTCACAAAATTCTTGCTGCTTTTTCACTTAGATCTTAATTCTTAACCATTTGCTATAATGCAAGCATACACAATTTGGCTTTAACCATACATGGTAAAAAAATTATTGCTGCTTTTCACTTAGATCTTAGTTCTTAACCTTTTGCTATAATGCCAGCATACAGATTTTGGCTTTATAGGCTAAATATATTGTGATTTAGCTTCAAGGAAATGGACTCATTTACTTTTATGCTGTTGCAGTGTACATTCTAATAGCCAGGAAGTAGGATAGCAAATTTGTTTTCTTTTTCAGTTTAATGTGCAATTTTATACTTATAATCATAATATTATGCTGTCTTTTGGTTTATAAAGAATCCCATTCCGTAAATTCTTGCCTGAAGTTAGTGGCTTTATTAACATGAACTGATTCTTCTGCTAATTTGTGTAGATAGTGGGGTTGCCACTGCTAATTCAAACATTATGTGCTAATGCTTGTTGTCCTGCATATTTGCAGTTTAAAATGTCAGATGTGGAAGAGTATCGTTGCTTTATTGGTGGCCTTGCATGGTCAACGTCAGATAGAAAGTTAAAGGATACATTTGAAAAATTTGGCAAGCTTATTGAGGCAAAGGTGATCAATATGATATTATGACAATAATAATTATTACAGTTCTTGTTGATTTTATTATTGTCAGTATCGTCATATTTCTTGAGATCTACAGTTTATCTTTTGTTCTTTTTTACTTTAGGAGAAAAGTTGTAATATCTACTGATCTTCTTTATTACCAAATCATTGAAACAAAATAAAAAGAAATAAGTGTATTGTGATTAAAAAATTTCAATATTTGATCGTTAATGTTCTCTTTCATCACATTTTTGAAACAGGTGGTTGTTGACAAGTTCTCTGGCCGTTCTCGTGGTTTTGGATTTGTCACATTTGATGAAAAGAAAGCAATGGAAGATGCTATTGATGCTATGAATGGGATGGATTTAGATGGGCGAACTATTACTGTTGATAGAGCTCAGCCTCAACAAGGATCATCTAGAGATGATGGTGATCGCTACCGGGAGCGTGGTCGTGATCGTGATCGTGATCGTAACCGGGATTATGGAGGTGGTCGAGGATCTAATGGTGGTGAATGCTTTAAGTGTGGTAAACCTGGTCATTTTGCTAGGGAATGCCCCGGTGAAGGGGCAAGAGGGGGAAGTTATGGTGGTAGGGAAAGTCGATATGGTGGAAGCAGTGCAGGTGGTCACTATGGTCCAGATAGAAATGCAGATCGTTCTTCAGGTGGGCGCTACAAGGATGCTGGTAATCACGGAGATTCTGGAAATGATCGATATTATCGTGATCGTGCAGGACCGTACGAGCGACGTGGATCAGGAGGCTTTCGTTGATATAGTTTATTTAGTCTTTTTCGATGAGGTATGTAGCATGTCATGATCTGTCCTTTTTGCACTTTGTTTTCTTGGTTCTAATGAAATTGTAATTTTGAATTTTTGCAGCTTTGAAGTTGAAGGGATTGCTGTTAATGCTTCAACTTTCTTTTTATTCACACTTCACAATGTTCTGGACTTCTGGGATTATTGTTTGGATGGATCAAAGATACCAGTGTTTTGATATGCAATACTCAGCACATTTTGCAAACTCTTTATGTTCCTAAATGCTGATCTTTTGGTCTGTTGAAATCTTATGCATACTAGACTTACGGTCAAATTCGATGTTGTGCTCTATGCTATCTATAATTGCTGCTGGGTGTCTTGTGAATTGTGACTTTCATGCATGGGGAGTTGCATATGACATATTTGCTGCTGGATTACCTGATTCAGTTTATAAGAGGTATTGGAAACTTTTATGGTGTTGGATGGATGAGTTTTGGAAAGACCAAGATGGTGGTCCAAATGTGGAGTTTTGCTTCTTCTCATTGGGAGAAGGAAGTTTTAAAGTAGAATGCCCATTTGGCTATCCCGTCTCAGGATCTGAGTAAAAAGTAGTCAAGCGGGTAAATTATTGAATATTTGTCTCATACACCTATTATCTTATTTGCAAGATTTCTGTTTAAGTCTGTGCTTTATTAATGTTATTGACCTTTTGGCAGGATTCTTGGCTAAATGTGGTCATTTTGGATTCATCATTGGGTTCCTTTGTTGCTAATTGGACATGCATGGTTTTTTAAAATTAAAATTCTTTTCAGCTGCAAAAGGCCACCTACAATTGCACCCAATATGCATACCATATTGTTTTCTTCACGGGGCACTGATGGAAGGGGGTTCCATTTTCTATGATTGTGGCACATTGTTTGGAAGATCTTGATGAGTTGAGCAACTGCAATCCACTGTTTTTTTTACATTATTGCTCTATTTGGTGGAAGATTGCTCTCATCGAACTTTTTACCGCCTGCATGTGATGTTTTGTTTGCTGAGATCCAGTTTGTGTTACCATCATAAAGCTATAGTCAAACCCGTGTTTGGTCCCAACTTTCTATTCTCAACCACAAGGTTGGGCTCACTAATATCAGATTTGAGATTGTGCCTTACTTAACCACCTCACTATGATTATGAAAGGAAATTGATTGTGCTTTTCGCTAGGATTGTATAATTCATCTGTTAGGGTCTGTGTTAAAAATTTATTAATGTTTCTATATCTGTTGTCATCATGTTATATGCCACACAACATTCATTTATTTTGTTTATCTTGTCAAGTGTTATGTTTGACTGATTTTCGTTTTCTTATTGTTCGGTTGAATTCTAGGATTAATTAGTTTTGTTATATGCTTTTGATCTTTTCTGAGCTAACGCGTTGTGACGTAGGAAATAATTAGAGCACAGAATTGAACCGAATATCTATGTATGCATGCATTTGCCCTAAAGAACGGGATATAGCTACCATAGTGTTCCTTACAGCCCTTAATCCGTAATTTAGATGTGTGCCCAAAAGTTGATGCGACATTGTTTATATTCTATGTAGACGATACTTTACATGATATCAAAGCCCTTATTTCCATTTCTAAAGCACGTGAAATTTCACGTTAGGGGGTAGCTATATTACCCCGAACGTATTCATTCCATGTTGAATTGTTAATTGTTTATTGGCTGTTGGCTCTACAATAAACGTTTGAATGTCGATAAAATATAATTAGTCATTGTAATACCGGTACCATTGTATTCCTTTCATCATTTATACACAAAGTCATGCAATACGACTTTTTGTATACTTTATGAAATTAGTTTATACGTCAATTTTATAACATGTTTCATTTGTTGGGGGCTTAATGATCACGAAATTGAGAGGTCCACTCTACGACTAAAATGAAATGCAATGCGCTCGTCAAAATTTTAAAACCGTATGAATCTCCCATGAATCATCGTAGTTTACTCTTTGGGAGAATGAAAACTATAAAGTAAGAGCTGATGACATTTCGATAGGCTTTGGAAGATTTTATATAAAAGGCTAATCGTTTATCATTACGCATTTAAGTTGTCTTTGTATGGCAATAAGCCTAAAATAATGGAGATAACGTGTGGATAGCACTAATTGTGAGGATATGCTTAAATATTTTTAATAATTACTGAGTTTTTTTTTATGTAAATAACTATTACCAAATTAAAAGAATTTTTAAAAATTTAAAATTATATTATATACTTTTTTATAATAAGTTTTAAGAAAATACATATTTTTATTATTAATTATAAATATTTTATTATATTAAATAGAACTAAATTAAAAATATAATATTTTTAAAAATGAGTTATAAAAATAAATTTAAATTAAGATTTTATTTAAAATTTGACCAAAAAATTAAATATTTAATGTAGAATAAGTTACACAGCATAATGAGAAAAAATGGTTTCCTAAAAAAAGTTTTGGAGGGGAGGACAAAATTAATATTTTTTAAATATAAAAGATATAAATTAATATATTAAAAAAACTTAATGTATGAATAATGTATTTGTCATCATAAATAATATATAATTCTTTTAATTTAAAATTAAAAAATATGTTCTTTCTTTCTTCTCCTTTAAAATCCTCCTCTTAAACATATGTTAAGTAAAAAAGTTTTCAAAAACGTTTTTATTTAAGAATAAAGACCGGTATATAAATCCAACGTTTAATTAACTTACGAATGTGTATCTCTTATGAGAATTTTAGAGTGATTAGCTTTATTTTAGCATAAACTCTCAAATTTATGTTTGAGAAAATACATGAAGGTTTGATTCATCTTAATTTTAACAAATAATCACTTTATTTACTTGAGAGAACATACAAAAAAATATTATTTATCTGAGTTAGTATGTTTCCAAACATGCACATGATATTCCTAATTCTGGTTCTTAAAAAATCTCAGGTCTCTCTCAAGGACTAATAGTATGTTGCTTAAGGTCTAATTTTCCGATCTAGGGATAAGTTTTTGTTATTTTCAGAAATAGTGTCCACTAATAAATTTCTACGGACAAAGTTGGGCATTCATTCAAAAGCAAATAACACTCCTGAATTATTATTGTGGCCAACCAAATCAAAAGCATTCTCATCTTGAAAGTAGGTCTCGAGTTCAATCTTTGCTAAAAGTAGTTTGATTGAGTTCAACTGTTCAAGTATCATTGGTTAACAAGATTAATTAACCGAAGTTTATGAAGTTAGGACCGAAAATTTTATAACTAAAAAATTCATTAAAGTATTAAGAGCAATTAGAGGATTAGATTTTAAGTCCATTTGGATTCTTTTAAGTATATTGTTTAAATATGATACCCAAATTGATTTCGTAAAAATGTATTAAGAAAGAATAGTGAATAATAAATACGTAAAACTAAATTGAAATGTGAAAGTTGTATATAAACGTATTGGATGAGAATGAAATTGTATAAATAAAGATGTAAAATAGATTGGAAAATAAAATATAAAAACGTAAAATGCAAGAAAATTAACGTACGACTCCTAACAACAACAAACACTAATGACCATGATTCTCTTAGTAGTTGGTGTCTGGCTTGGTGCAGAATTTTAGTGTATAGAGAGTTTGGATGTAGTGTTTAAGTGCAAAAAATCTTTGAAAATGTGAAGCTTTATAGTATATATAGGCGATGTATCTCAACCACTTTCCTCCTTTCACAGGCACTTCTTGATAACCGCCTTCTATACATACTTCTTCTCAACCCCTGTTGCCCACTATCCATAACCGCTCATGATTATGCTTTCTTCATAATTGGTGTCGCCCACAACCGTTGCTTCGTGTCTTTGACCTTCAACTAGTGGTAACCGTTGGTAACTGCTTTAAACTTTATAGTTCTTTAGATATGTTTCCTCAACTTTTAGGCTCCATCTTGTCTTTAGAACTTAGACTAATTCCTTTGTCACTTTCTGTTTAGACAAGTTTTAAGGAAATCTATCGAAGAGTCTCGTGGACTTAGAATAATTTCTCCCTCAGTTTCTACTTTTCAACCAATTCTGTGAAAAATTTTGGAGCTCATTCAGTCTTGTGGACTTACAATAATTTTCTTATCGATTCCTATTTTTCAAGCAATTCTACGAGAAATCTAGGTCTTGACAAAACCTCAAAAACTCCTCGAAAGGTCACCATCTTTTCGATAAAGAATGAGTTTTCTTATTGTCCTTCAAAAATAACTTAAAATATAGCCTTTTTTTTAATGAAGGATGAGGCTTTCTTCATGATCCTCTAATTTTCCTTGAAGTGTAATCTTTTTGACACAAAATGAGGCTTCTTTGGACCTCTAAAACTCCTTGAAGAGTAATTCTCTCGACATGAATTTAGGACTTAGAATATTTTCTTTGTCATTTCTCCTTTTTCGACTAGCTTTAGCTTCCTTCATTCTAGGAACTTAAAAATCCTTAAAAACTCCTCAAAAAGTCATCTTCTTTTCGATATTTCATGACCCTTCAAAACTATTCAAAATTTGGCCTTTTTTTCAATGAAAGATTTAAATTTAGATTTTTTACTAGTGCTCGTGTCCCCATCTCGTTAGAATGTAGGAATCTAGGATTCTTTTGATTTTAGTGGAAAGATGTGTCTATGCCACTGGTCTTCAAGGTGTATTTATCTTTGAAAAGATATAGTCTATTTTTTACTACAAAAGTCTGATAAGACCTTTTGTAACTTAGAAATTTTTTTTTCTCCCAAATAAGTATGCATACCACACGAAAGCCATAGGGCACAAACCACTTTGACAATAAAGCAAGCACAAAAACAAGCATTCTCTTCATGCAATTCCCTATGATTTAGGATTTTCCACTCACATCTTTTGGTGTAGATATGCGTTATTGCATTCTTGGTTTTCTTTTGGTAGCTAGGTCATTACTCTTGGTCCGATAGTACTTCTATCTTTTCTGCTTTCAGGCTTTTAATTTGTGGTTTTAATGCCCATTTGGTTGCTTTATAAATTTGATTGCATCAAACTTTATCTGCTTCTCTTATCTCATTCTCTTTTTTTTAACATCTTTTTTTCAATTTCGTTATGGATGGCCTGGCTTTTACACTAAAGCAATATTCAATCCTTTTTCATTAGCCACCCATTGAATAAGAAAAATAAAAAACATGACAAAATTTCGTGGCGCATCAAGTGTAATTTAAGAGTTACCAGTCGAAAATGTGAATTGAAAATGTAATGGTGTATTTTGTAAATGGTAAGACAAAAGATTGAAAGCATTATCTGATTATCATAGTCAAACTCTTTAATAATGCAGCAAAACATGATTTGGTTATAAGAGTGAAATATTTTACACTGTTGATCGAAAGTAATTCCATACAGTTAAAGCATTATCAACTTTCATTTCTTCACCTTTTCCACCGATTTTTATCTTTGCGAAAAACATCATAAGTTAATCTTTGCGACTATCTATTTTAAATGATCCAGTGTAAAAAAAATGGAAAAGAGTCCATGCTCTTATTAGTATTTGATTAGCCCATATTCAAAGATCATTTAATTGGGGGAAGATCCTAAGAGCAACCAAGTGCAGCGTTGCTTACTATGATGTACATAGAGAACAGGATAGTTAGACTTAGAACTCCATTATAATGTTTTACTGATAATATGTATGTCGGGTGTTATATTTCACACATCTCTATAGCATCAAAACGGATCCTTAAGCCGAAACCTTAGTTAAATTAAGGACTATCAAATTGATTTGTTCAGGGAATACTTTACACGTGATTAAAAGGCTATGCCAACCAATTCAATTTTCTTTTTGGCTTTCCTTAATTTTGCTGAACGCATACATGTTCCACTTTCTTGGAGTAGTCATGTGACCATCAATCATACTGAATCTCTTGATTCTAGATGAGTTTACAATAAAAATAATTTATTATGAGGAAGGTTGTGTTAGGCTTTCGGCACCCAATGTAAAACTAATTGAAACATTTTATATGAATTACATGACGATATTTTTTTATCAACTTCAATGACATCATGTGATCCATGTAAATTACTTCATGAGATAAGGCTTAATTGTTGTTATATTATTAGCTATTGTTTTTAGCACGTTAGAGTGAAATGAAGTAGAGCTTTTACACCAACACATTTGAATCATCCAGCAAAAGAGAAATGGTGGTCAGTAATGAAACCCAAAAAATGGAGGACTCAACACCTCCTATTGGGATATGTGCATATAAAAGAAAGCTCCTGCAAAACCTATGGTCATTGAGTTCCCTATTGGATATACAAGCTGACAAAAATCTTAGTGCATCACTTTTCAAAGTTAAAGAAAAAGAAAGAGAAGACAACTGAAGTTTTTTGAATAGTAATCATATTGAAAGTCCATAAAATCAATTAACTTGGTCAAAGCCAAAAGTAATAGCCATAGTCATCCAACCTCCATTCAACACTCTGACCATAACTCCTCACTAGAGTTTTACCAAGTATTATCAACAATGCCAAGCTAGCTAGAGCAGCAACAAAGGCCAGCCTGATCTTGTAGTCCCTTATGAATGCTGCTGCTAGCAGTGGCACCACAGCACCAACAGAAAATGCAATTGCTGATGCTATGTTAGCCTGAAAAGGGTTAGCAAGCTTTTCATCTTCCTCCACTTCTTTCTCTTTGTTATTGTTGATTTCTCTTTCACTTTTCATTTGAGCTATTTCTATGTCTAACTGAGTGTACACAGATATAAAGCCTCCAATTGCCATAGTACAAGCCCCTGCTACAAGTCCGGCAAAGCCAGCAAGAAGCATGGTTGTGATGTCTTCAGTCAAAGCTCCAACACACATCATTAGTGATGTGACTGAGACCAACCCATCATTGGCTCTCAACACAGATGCATGAAGCCACTGTGCCCTTTGAGAGTAGTCAATGTTTTTTTCTTCTGGGACTTGGCCTAGCTCCGATTCTATATCATTAGAATGTATAGGAATCTCTATATGGTTAAATGACATTTCATTGTTACTAATGCCAAGAGAAGCCATAATGTACAAATTGTAAGATACAAAGATAAAGGGAAAATGAGAAAAAGGTTGCTTATAGAGGACACACTCTCCTCGTGGAGGTTATTATATAGAGTATGGTTACAGTTAGGTAACCTTGATGATAATGGGCCTGAGTGGTGATACTCTGGAGAGCACTATGAGGGGTGGCCACCGTTTAATAATTCTTGAAAAATTCAATCAACAATGAATTAGCTTTTTCATGGACCTGTATGGATATGTACTATGGTTCACTTTATTTTAGTCAGTAGTGTGGTATCTTTAATATCATCAGGAAGCTTCTGTCTAGATATTTCTCAGTTGCTAGTAATGAAAGTTGGTCTTGCATTCAAGTTTCTTACTGTGTTTAAACTGAAAAATTAGAACACTGTTTATTTAATATGGACTAATCAAGGTACTATTACCGTAACCAGCATGCAGACTCAACACTACTAGAAAAGCGCTTAATATAGACGGATTTTACAGACAGGAAAAAATTTGTCTGTATTACAGACGACTTTACAGACGAATTTGTGAAATAATTTTTTTTTTTTTTGAAAAATCCGTCTGTAATACAGACGGATTTTTCCCCGTCTGTAAAATCCATCTGTATTTTGCCCGCCTTTTGGCGCCAAACGTTATAGACAGTAATTACAGACGGATTTTTCCATCTGTAATTTGAAAATAGGACAAAATATTATACCAGGAAATTACAGACAGATTTTCCCGTCTGTAAATATGGCGGTTTTAGCCGACCTTTTAGGTGGCACATTACAGACGGATTTTTCCGTCTGTAAATGGGATTGACGCATTTACAGACGGAAAAATCCGTCAATAATGTGCCTCCTGAAACGCACCGTTTCATTAAACCTATTACAGACGGATTTTTCCGTCTGTAATGACTGAAACCCATTAAAACCGCGTCTCCTCTTCCCCTCCCCCATCAGAACCCTCTCTCTCTCGCTCCCCCTCTCTCTCTCTAAGAGCTCAGTGTTTTGGCCATTGCGAGTTATTGGAGCAACCATTTTAAAGTTTTTTTGCATCATTGTATTCCTGGTACGATACTCTAACTTTTAATCGGTTTAGTTTTTTAATTTTTTATGTTTTTTAGAGACTTAAAATTTCTAAGATAGAGTTGTAGGATTGGAGATTGTATGACTGGGGGAAGGGCGTAGAGGTCCTTCTCCGAACCTGATTATTGTGTGCTGTGGGATTGTTTGTGTTTGTGGAGTTTGTAGAATATGCATGTTGTGAAGTTACAAGGGGATGTGCTCTAGAACGGTTTAGGATTGTGATGTGTTTGTGTTTGATGTATCGAATAATTTATTGTTATATAATTTATTAGTTGATTTTAGGTGAAATTTTCATTTTTGTAAAAAAATAGTAAACAAATGTAAGGAAATTAACATGTATTAGGGGAGATTCTGCCAAAATTTATATTAAAATTTTCTGTAATGTATTTTAGAAGGTTGATACCACATTGTATATTTGTATTAGATTTATATAGTTCTTAAGGAAGATGTTTCTCAGAAATCGTCAGTGGATGTATGATAGGCAGCAGATGCATGCTTATTTTGAGCTCATGAGAGCAAGCAGCTCCACACCTCTTCCTCCTCCTCCACCAGCTCCAGCACTACCAATTTTCACCTCCATGCATCATTCTTCTACTGACTCCTCTTCTACTGATGATGATGCTCCTTCGGATTCTGACCATATAGATTATTCCTGATGAAGACTTGTATTTTATTTTTAAATGTATTTATTTATATGCTTTTTTTTCTTCCTTTGTAACAATATTTAAATTTTATATTTTATAAATCATTTTGGAATGTTTAGATGCCGAATCTATATTTTCTATTTTGTTATAAATTGTGATAATCAAGAATAGCAGGAAATAACTATCTATACAAATAAAAAAATATCAATTATAGTAAAATATATCACTGACGGATTACAGACGGATTTTTCTGTCTGTAATTTATAGACGGATTTTTCCGTCTGTGACTTACAGATGGATTTTCCCGTCTGTGACTTACAGACGGATTCTACCGTCTATAACTTACGGACGGATTCTACCGTTTGTAACTTACAGACGGATTTTTCCGTCTATAACTTACAGATGGATTTTCAAATCCGTCTGTAATTATTTATCGACGAGAATATTACAGACGGTTTATATCCGTCTGTAATAGAAAAAACCGTCTGTAATGCTCTAAAAATCCGTCCGTAAATCTGTCTGTATAAACAGACTTTTTAGTAGTGCAAAAGTTCTGAATGATAATCTTAGAGAATAGAGATAGGTAGGTAGATGTGGTGGCGGGGTTATCTTTTTAGAGGCAATGTAAAGTATTTCATTCCACGTGCTAGGTTAGTGGCTGCCCCTCTATTGATTAGTAACAATAAATAATAAAAATAACATAAAGGATTTGAGGATCCAAGTATATATGATTAAATAATTCAAGGGAGTGTGTAATCCACAAGAAAGCCACATGCCACTTTGAATATGAAAAAATGAAAAAAAAATAAAATTCCAAAACTACCATTTTCTAACTATAAAAAACTTTCTTTAAGTGGAGACATGCATTATTGCTTTGATATTGTTAATTTTTCTATAGTGGGTTTGTCTGAATGTACTTTTCTCTGCTTTTATGACATAATAGAATGATCTTATACTTATATTGCCCATTCCATTTCTCCTATTTTTATTTCGTGTTCGTGTCTGATTCCTTTCTCTTTCCTCAAACACACACGTATAGTTTTTGAAAGGTTCTTTTGGGATGGCCTTGCTGTTTGCCGTACATCTACAGGACTCCACAACACAGACAATTCTTCCGTTTCCATCCAACAGAAACAACCTCAGGCACATTGAGTAGAAAGTTAACATAATACAAAAACTGAAAAGGCATTATCATCTGTGTGAGTTCAATTATTCTCTCACTCTAAGGCTTGCTTGGACGAGAGATAAAATATAGAAAATAATAATAAAGAAATTCATAGTGTTTACCATGGTTATTTGAATTAAAAGGCAAAATTCATAATGTTGAACATATGATATGGGCTAATTAATCACATTTTATCCAATGTATATATCCTCTATAGCAATTGATGAAGAAAAAGAGGGGGAAAATTATCTCGACCAATATTTAAACGAAACTTAAGTGGTCAGTATTCTCGAACTGAACAAACGTATGTGATCTCAAATACAGAATAGTAGAAGAAAAGAAAAGAAAATGAGGATAATAAGTCACTTTCAAGGGAAAGTTTCGTAAATTGCAGAAAGATAAATTTAAGTGCCAAGTTTTGTCTGCTAGTGATTCATGAAAGTGCGCAACCTGTGGCATTCGTGTGGATTGCACACTCCCTTCAATTTATTAATAACACACTTTAGTAGCCACTACCCTGTGGAGTGCACACTCCATCAAATATAATATATATATATATATATATATATATATATATATATATATATATATATATATACACTCTATTAATGCTAATATCAATGCTAAATGCTTCATTGTAAACTTGTAACGCCCCAGGTGTGGGACCAATAAAAAAGGCATCAAATGACTCAAAAATTTTCTGTCAAACTGTGAGATGCATTCATCTGTCACTTTACGAGTGTTTGAAGAAAAACATCACAAAAACATGTTTAATGTACAACAATTTATTTCTCCACCATCTTTACTATAACTTTCAAATTAATAAACCAAAACTAAGAATACGATTGAAACCAAGACTCACAATTAGAAATAAATTTAGAGATGGATAATTCCATCTCTAAAAAGATATTTTATGGTCTCTAATTAACTTAGAAATGTGACTACTTTCGTTTCTAAACTTGACATTACAAATTTCTTTAAAAAAATAGTTCATCTAACAAAAGGCCAAAAAAAAAAAGTCTCTAAATACAAAAATTCTGTTTCTAGTTGCTAAATAAAAAGAAAATGATAGTCTCTAATAAAAATGTATTTTTTATATATCTCTAGTTTAGTGAATGTTTAGTTTAAATTTGTCTCTAATTTTTTTTAATATTCAAATTTATGTCTAAAAAACTGTCACAAAGACAGAAGAATTGTCATAAAGTATAAAGAAAACGCATTTTAATTAGTTGGAATATTAATTTTTGTCAAATTAACCCACTAGCTTGTGCTAAGCATATCTGTTAGTGTGTAATTGTTCCAATTAGAAAAGTTAGTTAGTTATTTCTCCGAATTGAGACAGTGAAATTATCTTTCACTTTACTATTATTTTCTTGATTTTTTCTCTGCAAAGAGTCTGGTATCCTCTATGGTATCAGAACTTGAAAGTGCTCATTCATAAATTATGCATTTCAGTTATTACGTACCTCAACCTTTCTCAATTAAATTTTATCTTTTTCAAATTGAATAAAAACAATTTTTTCACTTGGAGACAAGCAAAAACTGAAATAAAACTTTATGGCATGAAAAAAAAAAAAATATATCTATCGTAATAGTAAACTTCTAGAATTCTTTTCAATATATATCTATATAAGCAAAAGATAAACCCTTATATTAGCAACTCATATTTGAGATAATGGAATTATCTTTCATTTTACTATTTTCTTCCTACTCTTCTCTCCCGATTGCATAGAATCTGATGCCTTTTAGCTTGGCCTAGCTATAGGTCAAATCATAGGCATTATTTGAGCATAATTTGGATGTGAAAAAATTATGACTTACTAGAATCTTTACAGACTATGATCAAGTTGGCCTAACAAATTCAGGTTGAGATAAGGTTTTTAATATTTGAATTTATTAAGTATACTGTGTAAATATTTTATATTTTATTTTTCAAAGAATTCTCCCAACTAAGGTGGGATATAATAATTAATTTAAGAAACATAAGTTTTGACAACTAAAATATAGGGTGTCAAATGGGTGGAGGAGGGAAGAGATAGGAAAAAAAGGAAAATAAAAAAAATATGTATGCGATGGCCCAAGTTGGGTCTTAATGTTTTGTTTTTTTTTTATTATTATTATTATTTCAAATTTATTTGCAGAACCCAAACACTTGTAATATCATTTAGAGTGTCCCATTGAGTTCAATACATCTTGATATTCCTAAGTTGAGATGTATAATGAATAGTATTAAATTGGAGTTCATTCTTTTAATCTTGATAATTAAATTTCTTCATTCATTCCTTAAATTAATAATGATATATATGATATTTTTAAATTTTTTTATTTTGAATTTTAAATTGAAATATTTAATTTAATTATGCACATTGTTTTTTAATATGAATTTAAAATTATTTCTTTAAATTTATATTTTTACATTTTACATCCATTTAAAAATATGCATTTCATGAACATTTTAAATTTTATAATAAAAATAAGAGTCTTTAGAACTACAAGAATAATTTTTTTAAAAATTTTAATTAATTTAATTTTTAATTGATAAAAATTAAACACGTGTTTTCATTTTTAAATAATATCTAATATTGATAGACAAAAAAATTTCTATTTTTAACTAGTTTTGACCTATTAAAATATTAGGTTAACTAAAGAGAAATGGAATTAAGGATGAAACATGTTGAGACAACTCAATTTCTTCTCCAAATTTTATCTTTGATTTTCTTTTAAAAAAAATTATCAACTGGAGGAAATTTATCGGAAACAGAATATTTTGTCTCTAACTATAAGTTCGCCTTTTGAATTCATTTCTAAATTATAGAACTTGTTTTTATTTCTGACTCTGCATTTCGTTTATAAAATACACTGTTTTTAGAAGTGAGGAACTTATACATTACATTAAGGTGGAATATCTGAAACTTGGATCTAGATTTTAGTGGTGAATTTTTAAAGACGAACCATGTTTATTAAGAAGTCACTAACTTGTAGCTAGTGCCCTCCTCACTATCTCATAATTAATTTCCTTTATCAATATTTAGGTCCATTGACACCTCCCAAACTTGATGAATCCTCTCAATAAATATCCTTCATTAGAGGCGTGTGATCTCCACAAGCTCTTAATATCATAATCCCATTAATTTCCTCCTTTTCTATCTACTATATTTCACAACTTATTTCACCTTGTTGTTGTCCTTCATGGCCTCTCTTGAAGCTAGAACTAATGGAATTTCACCAAACCATATTGAGATCCCTCTCCATGCAAATGGGTTGGAGCCAAAACCAAGCCAAGCGATTGAAGAGAGCAACATTGACTACTCTCAAAGGGCTCAGTGGCTTCGAGCAGCAGTGTTAGGAGCCAATGATGGGTTGGTTTCTGTTGCCTCACTGATGATGGGTGTTGGAGCTGTTAAGAAAGACGTAAGTGCCATGCTTGTTGCTGGTTTTGCTGGGTTAGTAGCTGGAGCTTGTAGCATGGCAATTGGAGAGTTTGTCTCTGTGTATACTCAGTATGACATAGAGATGGCTCAGATTCAAAGAGAGAGAGAGGGTAGTAATAATAGTGAAGTAATGGATGGAATAGAAGCTCAAAGGGAGAAGTTGCCAAACCCATTTCAGGCTGCACTAGCATCCGCACTAGCATTTTCTGTGGGTGCTTTGGTGCCACTGTTAGGAGCTGTGTTTATTAGGAATCATAAGATTAGGCTTGGGGTTGTTGCTGCTGTGGTTAGCTTGGCATTGTTGGTGTTTGGAGTGGTAGGAGCAGTGCTTGGAAAAACTCCAGTGATGAGGTCTTGCTTCAGAGTGCTGATTGGAGGTTGGATGGCTATGGCCATAACATTTGGCCTCACCAAATTGATTGGCTCTGCTGAACTTTGAATATCATAAATTACTAGTCATTTATAAGTTATATTGCATGTTACTTGTACTGTTCTCTCTCTCTCTCTCTCTCTCTTTACTCATCATTGTATTGTGGTTGCTTTGTACAAGTAAACAAAAGTGTGTGCATTTTATAATTCTAGCTGTCCCAAGGAACTTAGGGTTCATCATGCTTTCTTTTATGTCTTCATGTTTTTTTTCACTGTTTACCATGTCTCTTCCGGTGTTCCATTTTCCCAGTAAAATGGTAAACGTAAGGAACTGTCCAGTGTGAACATACATGTGTTATTCGTATATTAAAGTCTTGATGCTCTATACTCTATAATAATCTTCTCCAAACATGAACTGTTAATATACAATTTAAATGTGTAAAAAATAGTTAAATCTTTTCAATACTTAAATAATTAAAAAAAGAATAGTTAAATTTAGATGCTTTTTGGTTTTTAGCACAAATGATAATTAGGTCGCAAGTTTGCTCTTTTAGTCTTGGCCCAAATGTCTCTGTTCAAAACACACAAAAAAAAAAAGAAGGAAAAATCTCTTTTTGTCAAGAGTCTACATACCCCGAACTTTCAAAAATAAAAAGAAAAAGAAAAATCCGACCCATTAAAATCTTTCATCTTTTAGCATGCATATGGTTTGGTTGGAGAAAAGAGAAGGAAAAGAAAAATTGTACACTTTCTTTTATATTTGATTTAATATTTAAAAAGGAAGAGGGAGAGTAAAAGGGTCAAAATTTCTCCTCGCTATACTTTCTTCCCTCCAAAAGTAAAATATTTGGAGGAAGAAAAATTTTATAACTCAAACCAAATATTATTTAACCATTCTAAATATATGATAGTGAAATTATTTATTTTTTCCTTTCTTGTAAACCAAATAAAATATCCCTCCCCTCCTTCCATTAAAATTTCTCCCTTCCCCTCCCTTCATTTGAATAAAAAATTGCATCCCTGAGCCCATTTTTAATTTTTCATCAAATGGTATATCAATTTGCTGAAAGAAAATGTTATGTGAGCATTAAAATAGGATAACAAAAGGTTTTTTTTTTATTATTATTAATACCTACCACTTTCCTCACTCCTAATTCTTTATCTGACAAAGTGTAGACACACTTCAAGAATGTTAACTAACTATTCTTCTTGACTAAACTTTCTGAAATCAAATGCAAACTAATAAAAGATTGGGGGTATCTTTAATTTTTATCTTTATTATCGAAGAATTACTATATCCATATACCTTTAATAAAAAAATTGGGGGCATCTTTAAGTCTTAATGATTTTATTTTTTATTTGCAAAATGTAATCAAGTAGGTAGGTTTGTATTTTTAAGTTTAAAACTCTACTTTAAGTCTTGTTTTTCTTATTATTAGCTAGGCTTATGCTCTTTGTTTTGATTTTTTTTAATGTCATGGGTCTATTTTTTTTATTTTGAACTTTTTAATTTTTTTTACTCAATTTCTAATACCATATTAAGATTTTGAATGTTGACCGATTCCAAACTTAGAAAAATTAAATTTTAAAATTTAAGTAATTTATTTGTCTAAAATGTCTTAATCAAATTAAATTGATATTCTCTTGCTCATAAATTTTATAATTTGTTGTTAACCATGAATACTTTTATTGTTTAACAAACACTCGTACCCAAACTCACGCAAGCTAATTAAGTAATTAAAGGGTGACGGTGGAATTTAATATCTGTGAGACTGAGTCAGATATACCTCCATTCTGCAAATAGTATCTTTTCAACAATAACTTATCATTTCATCTTTGCAACTCGCTTACTTACTCTTCCAGAAACCAGTAAAGACCAACAGATTATCTTGCTGCTTCAAATTTTGTATTTTGATGGCATTTATTAGTGATGTAACAATAATTAAATGTGACATTAATTTCATTTGGCAATGGATTACACGTTAAGTATCACTCAAACAATATAAATCTTTCCTTTTGAGAACACACAAGAAATGTAAATCTAGTTAAAATTAAACAAAACACAATTAAGGTTCTCAAATTACAACCCAATCTTATTCTAAAAACACAAAGAAGGATAAGCCAAAAGGTAAGGATTACTCAATTTTCCAAAGCGCTAGCACCCAATAATTTGGTGAACCCAAAAGTGATAACCATGGCCACCCATCCACCAAGAAGGAACCTTATACAAGACCTAACTTTTGGTGTCTTTCCCAGCTGAGCCACCACCCTTCCAAAGACCACCAAAGCCAAACTAGCCATTGCCACAATCATAATAAGCCTTATGTTGTAATCTGTTATGAAAGCAGCTGAAAGTAAAGGCACCAATGCACCTATAGAAAATGAGAGTGCAGATGCCAAAACAGCTTGCAATGGATTAGGTAATGTTCTTTTCTCCCTCTCCATCTCCAAGGATTTCTCTCCTTCCACTCTCATACTCATATCTCTCTTTATTTGACCAACCTCAATTTCATACTGAGTGTACACAGAAATAAACTCTCCTATTGCCATGCCACAAGCACCAGCTACTAATCCTGCAAAACCTGCAAGTAGCATGGCTTTAACATCTCTTTTAACAGCTCCTACACCCATCATCAATGAAGAAACCGAAACCAACCCATCACTGGCCCCTAAAACCGCTGCACGAAGCCATTGAGCCCTTTGTGAATAGTCAACATAATTGGCATATTCTTCGGTTACTTGGGTTTGCTTCTGATCCATTTCATTTAGAGAAGTTGGAAGAACTACTCCTACATGGTTGTGTGACACCAAATCAAGGGTTGCACCAGTAGCCATATTTGGTGTAACAACAACCGAGACAGAGAGTGAAAAAATTATGAAGACAAGGTTTGATGAATGAAGTTTGTGAAGGTTCAAGGCTTCTTAACAAGAAAAGAGTGGAGATTCTGAGGGATAGACAGTGAAAGATTCACCTGTTTATGCAATGTCTTGCTTATACATTCGGCCATATGAAAGATATATATTTTGGACATTTGGAAAGGGCAAAAGACAAGAACTCTTGACAGTAAAACTACGTTCACTTCCAACTTGATTTGCTATTGGGAAGATAAGTACTAATATGCTTTTTGTTACCCTTTTTTAAACCTTTTTTTTAGATGGATTTTATGCAATTTTTATAAATAAGTTAAAATATTTTACATTGATTTTAAATATAATCAAAATATTAGTTTATAAAACTTGAGTTTTCTCTCTTGAATTTCATTATGAAATTGAGTAAAGTCTGCTTAATATTTAATAATTAAATTGAAAATAAACTTAATTACATTATTAACTTATGCATCAATACTCATAAAATTCATCAAATAATATAACTGTTAAAAATAGTATGTAAAAATACTGAAGTTTCCTAAATCGGGAATAATTCATCATCATAAAAAAAAAATTCAACTGTTCTATCTTCTCCAAATTGAACTATAAATATCATTCTTCAATAATCTCTTCCAAGAACGAAATCAAATCCAAAAGGTATAATATTTAAATTTGTAAAACAATAAATATAACTGACCTTTCAGCGTTATAAAATTGTGTGTATATAAGCCATTGTGAATGGACATTAAAAGGTCAAATTGTCTAGTGATAGAGATTATGATCAAATTGCAAACCGGCAAAAAAAAAAAAAAGGAAAATAAGAAGTCAAATTAGACACCTTTAATTAATTTTCACAAACCCCATCGTAATTTTTAGATTAACATATTATACGAGTAGTTCTACCCTTTGTTAGTTAGTCCCGAGTCAGAACCATAGCTCCTGATGAATTTTATATTAAAAGTACCTAATTCAAAACGTTTAAAGGTTTTTTCGTTTAAATTTTATTTTTTCATTTTGAATTTTTTTGAGTTATTCTATTCGTTCTTTTGTATTTATCATTTTACGGAAAGTTTTATTCTTATTTATTTGTCATTTTAAAACTAGAAAACGCTATTGAATATAACTTTTTTATTTATTTATAAGCTTGTATAAAATATAAAATGTATCTATAATCAAGACTTTCAGAATTTCAAAATGATATCAATTACATTGGTCGGAAAAATGCTAAAAGGAATAAACGATAGAAAAATCACTTATAAAAGAAATAATTAAGAAGGATAAAAAATATAAATGATAAAAGTAAACAAATATCAACAAATGTTGAAATTATATCAAGTTAACATTAGTTAGCAAGTAATTGATGTCTGAGTAAATGAATTTTTTTTTAAATCATTAGATATATTTTAAATAAAATAAACAGTTTATATATTTGATATATAACTTAATAATATCGATTTTTATATATTTATTATAAAATTAAATTTTGTGTTAATAAATTATGTAATGTCATTTAGATCTTTTTCATGTTCTCTATATATTAGTCGTATTTGTTTCATATAATTTCTACAAGTTTTACTTAAATTATATTTTTCTCGCTTAAGAAAAAGTTACAAAAAAAAATAGCACATCAAATTAATATTGTTTAAGCAGTTATTAATTTATTTAAACTACACAAAATATTCTAATATTTGCTTAAGAAAATAAAATTTAATTTAAACAATTGAGTATTATATTTTTACTTAATCTAAATTATTATGACTTAAGTGAATGTTAATGAAATTTGTATATTTATTAATATATTAAATTAGCTTAAGTGAATGGTATAACTTAAGTAAAAATTATATAAAATTATTTCTATATTTTTTAACGTTCAACCACATATCTTTAGTTAATATTTCTATTCTAATTTAGTCAAATTATTTATTTTTAAGAAATTAAGATAAGTATATAATAATTTTAAATTTAATTAATTTTATTTATAAAAATTACAATTTAAAGTATAATTCTAAATCTAAAAATAAAAAAAATTGATATCGAGATAATAAGATTGAGTTTTATGTAAAAAAAAAAAAACTTAATTTCATACTGTTACAATTATGTTTTTAAAATATATTTACTTTAAAAAAATATATTTTTAAAGGACTTATTTTAAATATATAATACTTAAAAATTTTACTTGCAAAATTTATTAAAATTAAATTATAAATATTATAGCTTTTAAATTTTGTTACAACTTATAGGAAGTAATCTTACTAACTTGTTTATTAGTCATATAATATACTAATTAATGTTATCCGTTACGTCACCCGTATAAAATAAGTAAAATATATTTTATTAAAAAAATATTTTAAAAAATACATATTTTTCTTGAAACATACTTTTTTAAAATGTGCATATATTATTTTTATAAAAAGTATTAAAAATATATTTTAAAATAATTATGTTTTATGAAATATTGAAAGAGTAAAAAGTAATAATAAAAAGATAGTAAAAAAAATTATCATATTTTAATATTTCTTAATTCATTACCCTTCTTAGAATAAACTGTAAAAATAGAATATAATAAGCTATTATGTCCTATTATTCAATAAATAAAATAAAATAATTTATTCTATCATACCTGCAAGAGACTCTAAGTGTATTTAAGATATAGGCTCTCAAATTACTCACAACACCATTCTCCCATACTTCTCAGGCATTATCACTAACATGTAAGCATTTCTACTTGTATTACTCCTTAGGCAACATTACAGAGTATATTGACAATTCGTAAAAGTTCTGAAATTCTTAGAATAGAAGTTTTTAAGTGTATTTAAATTGTGATAATGTTGAATTTAATTTGCCTTTTCAATCAATCGATCTTTAACAAAACACAACAAATCCTGCTCAACTTGATTATTAAATTACAACAAATCTTACGAATTTTTAATGTATAATTATATATTCAATTTGTATTTATAATAAAATTACAAATAAAAATATATATACTATTTTTATTATTATATGTTTATCTTAACTTTTGGCAAACAAAAGTACTGTAGAACAATTTGAGACTTAATTTCGATCCTCAAAATAGATTCTTTAGGCTCGGTGTAAGAAAGTTTAATTTATAAATAAATTCTATAAATCAAGTTGTGGGAATAGTGAAACGCACGAGATGAAGCAAATTTTCAAGAAAGTTCTATTATTTGGACAATGTACAAATTCTACAAATTAAATAGAACCTAAAAATTCAAAAGAAAAATAAATATAAATATAAAAAAGGAATAAAAATAGAAAGATCAATAACAATGAAAGAAACTTAAAGGAATCCAAACCAACTTAAAAAAAATGTTAAAATATAAATTTACAGGAGATAAAGTGCTGAGATTATGCAATCGTATTCTTTATAAGTTAACAATCACTTTACTATTTTATATCTTTTGAAACAATAAATGTGATTTTTGGAAAGCAATTATGTAATAAACACTCTATTAAGTCATTCAAAAAATCAATTAAATATTGATAGTTCTCATAAATTAAAATTTTAAAATACTGACTACTTCTGACTTATAAATATATGAGGGTGAAGCCACTCAACTTGCAATAGCAACATCATCTCTTATTATTTGTATTTTTTTCATTATATTTATCTTTTTTTTTTCACTACCAAATCTATGTCTTTAAATCATCGTAACAAAGGCAATAATGTGTCCTTCTAAATGCTAATAAGGTTAGCCTTTTTTTTCAGTTATAAATATTTTTTTTCACTTCTCTCTTTATTTTCTCTCTCTCTCTTTCTATTTTAATACTAAAATTTTCTGATTTCATGTCTTAACTTATAAAAAATGAAATTTTAAATTTTATAATATAAATTAAAGTTTCAACACATAAAATAATTATTTTAATTTGTAATTAAAAGTTCATTTTTTTTTTTTCAAATTTTAGTTATGTAATTCATTCGAAGTACTTGAAGAACGCTTATAAAAAATGCTTTCTAATAACGTTTAGAAAGTAGTTATAAATTGCTCTATATGAGTGTTAATATCTTTTTTATTGTAGTGAATCTTATATAGTTAGATATATTAAGCATGAAAAAGAAGTTTGAGCATTCATAATTTAACCTTTTCTTAAATTTGTGATTAACTTAACTAAACTTAAAAAATTAACTCAAATTTAATCATATTTATAATTAATGTAGAATTTCAGCAATCTTTATCGAATTATAAGACTAGACATTTAAATAATAAAATTGTAAAATTATTTTTTAAAATTATATTAAAAAATTGTTATACCAATTAAATTACATTAAAAAATCAACCACGTTACAACTTTATACCAATTATATTATTTTGGACACTTAAATTATTTTTTAATTTTAAAAAGAAAAAAACTTATTAAAAATAGAAACAAACATGCTTTTATATTTAATAATAACTCTTGATAAGTGTAGCACGAAATCACATTGCTTTGACAATTCATCTTCAAGATCCACCTGCAAACGCTTCAAATAGTCACTTGAATGCCACGAATGACTAAGTGTTGATCATTTCATATCTTCAAGTGTCGAATCTTTATGTTTTGAAGAGATTGGTCGCTATGATTTACGTAAAAGTAAAAAAAGTAAAATAAAATACATCTGGCTTCTCAAATGTTTTGATTCTCAAATTATTACTTATTATTAAAAAGGAAATATTGATTCTCAAACCATAATTTATATTTGTCACGTGGTAAATATTTGTTTTAAATTTTAGATGCATTAAATTATTAAGGATGTAATTGGATGACGAAAGATAAGTTTAAAGAGAAAATAAATACAACTAATCAAAACCCTTTTTTTTTAAAAAAAAAATTTGGAGTGGTTCGAATGCGCCATAAATTTATAAATTATCTTGAACAACCTAATTAAATTCAATATTTTTGGTCAAGTCATCTCCATTTGGATTATTACTGTTTTTTTTTTTTTTCTTTTGAATTGGGTCAAAATGATCTTTTTCGCAAATTGACTTAGACCCGATTAGATTCCTTTTAAATTAATGGACTTTTAGTAGAAGTAACAATTGACTTTGTCGAATAAATTCAGCGTTAGATTATAATCAACAGATCAAAAAGCATATTTCACAAATTTATTTATGATTCATTACAAATATATTGAAAACACAAAACGAAATTATCTATTTTTTTAAAAGATAAAACAAAGCTTTAAAAAAAGAAAAACTATTTAGGTTACCTTCACGTTCAAACTCAGATATGATGAGTAATAATTTTTTTTAATTATTTTTTTTTCATTTTTTCTTAAGGGTCAATGGCGCAATGGTTTCAAAAATGAAGTTAGATGGATAAATAAATATCGGATAAAAGAAATAATCGAATCCATTTAATTTATTAAATTTGAATAATATAAATAAATGAATTAAGAGTTAGATACAAATAATGGGCATCCATGTATATTATCTAAATGAACTGATAATTTATATGTGTTAGTCCAAAATATCATGATTGGTATAACCTCAGAATCATTGGGTCTCTTACCTTATCTCTTAGTTTGTATTATTTTTCTTTGTTAATTGGTTTGATCCACGTGTATATATTATTATGTAATATTATTTTCCCTCGTGCAATTTATTTATACAATTATTATAATTTTAATATAATAAAAAAGATTATTTGATATTTTTAAATTTTAAAACGGAAAAAAAGGAGCAGAGAGTGTTTGATTGCATGCGAATCACATGAAGGGAAACGATTGTAAAGTTGGGAATGGATATTTTAGAGATACCAATGTGAGTGTCACAGATCCAAGTGGACCCCACAGAAAGATTCCAGAATGGAGAAAGATCACATGGGTGGGCCCCACATAACGTTGGCGCCATCTCGCGTGTGAAACGAACTTCACAGCGTTTGTGCAGCAGATATCCAACAATTATCCCCACCAACCAAAGCCATTCTTGAGAATAACATGTTCTGTCATGTGTACCTTTAATTTAATTTCACTTTCTTACATTAAAAATTCTATCCTTTCTTTAGAATATTAAAACGTGGGTTTTTAGCCAAATAAACTATTAAAGAGTTAATAAAATATACTTTAAAATATTTTATTAATTATAAATCAAAATTTATTCAAAATGTGTAAGTAAAACTCATTAAATTAAAAATAAAGTATACACTAAATTTTCTAATTGTAAATAAAAATAAAGATTATACTGAAATTATTTTTTATTATTTTTTAACTTTTTGTTAAATAACACATTCTTTGTAAATATTAACTTCATCCATGTTTGATTTTAAACTTTTATTATTAAAATTGAAAAAACAATATAAAATTTTACATAAAAATTTAAAGTTATTTTTAATAATAAAGGTACAGTGTCTTTTTCACTCCAATATAAGACTCAAATTGAGAATACAAAATTTTTAGACGTATTAGAGTGTAACAAAATCTTTATCTAATAATAAAAATATTTAAAATATTATCCAAAATATTTAATATCAAATAAAAAAATCTTAAAAAACTTGAATTTGCATCTATAAAGAATTGAAGTCTAGTTTGAATTAAGTTTTAGAGAAATGCTTGTAGCAAAAAAAAATAGTATATAATATTGATAAAATTTTCTTTATAAATTAGAAATAACTTATATTTTTAAAATTTAGAGAAGTTAAATGATATATCTACTCAAAAATTAAAAAAATATAAGTTTTTTCTAACTTATAAAAAAAATTATTTTTTATATTAATTTTTTACTTCCACAATAATTTTTTAAAAATTTATTCAAATAGAATTTTTTTAATTAAAATAAGTTGAAGTGAAATATATATTTAGTTTCATTTATCATTACAAGGTAATTTTTTTTAGAAGTATTAACACCAGTAGTTGGCTAAATTCATTTTTAAAAATGAAGTTGTAATAAAAGTATAGTTTTAACTTAAAATTATCGGCTTTTAAATAATTTCATTAACTTTTTTATTTTGATTTTTTATTTTAAATTTCAAAATTTAATATATTCTAAAATTTTTAACTTAAAAGTAGCTATGAAAATTTTAAGACTATAGTATTATCAAATCGTTTTTAACTTAAAAATTTTAAATCTAAAACTTTTTTTATTTTTTTACTTTTTCCAAAAACAACACGGGAGCACAATTTTGTTATTTTGACCCCATTTATTTTAAATTTATAAAATTAATTCTTATATTTCTTTAATTAAAAAATATACATTTTAATAAAAGTATATGATTCAGATTAATTTAAAGATACATCTTAATCATACTCAATAGTTTAAAATTAATTTTATCCAATTTAAAACCAAACAGGACATATATTTGTACGTCAATGTCTTGAATACAGCAACTATAAATCAGGGACATGCCCCCTCATTAACCAAGAGCATTCCTTTTCAATCTTTATGATTATTCACTCGTTTCACTAGAAGCTACTCTTTGAACTGAAAAAATCCACCTTTTGCATCTCACACTTTGTTGCTTCTGGTATGCTTTCTTCCCTCAATATTTTATATACCCAATTATGGTTCCTTGCTACTCTAGTTTTCATGAGTTGTGACTGTCTCCTGTGCGATCCAAATGCTAAGATTTGTGAATTATGCTTAACTCCTTTTGTGTTTGATTTGGTGCTTTCATTGCTAAATGTATGAACTATGAAACTTTTAATTTTATGGTAAGAGAGATGTTGTTGCTCTTGCTCCTAATTCATTGTGTTTGTACCTATTCTTTTTTCCTTTTAATTGTGGGTCCTTTTTTGTTTTTCTGAATTTCGTCCTTGATTAAAGTTTTTGTATTTCTTTCATTTACTTAGATTCTCTCGAAACCAGAACAATCATGTTGCTTTTCCGGTAAATCTGTTTTTGTTTTCTTCTGCTCTGCATTTAAGCACATGGTACTATTTTGGTAGATAAAAATGAAAGTTGATTAGAATTATGACTCGTTTGGAAGTGCTACATTCTTGTATTATGCTCTTGTTTCTAGACAAAAGTCACAAATGTGATACAGTGTGGATGAAAGAATATGAAAAAATTTGAAGCATTGTGACAAAACAGTCTCTTACTTTGCTTGGATGAAAAGTTTAAAAAGTAAGGAATATTAAATGCTGCTTCAATTACAAATTTCTAACGTTACATGGATTTGTGTAGAGTATACTTTATCGTTCTTTTTTTCAAAGGTTTGTATTATTTTCTTTTCCGTAATCGTGCTTAAAAGCAAAATGTTTAATAAAAGGGCAAATAGTGGCACATGGACCATTGTTCCTCATTTACCAAGAGCGAATTGCGAATTTTAGGTTCATGGTTTATTTCATTTTCACTTGGAATCTTCTTTTTGTTGATTATTCACTTGTATGTTCTATCTTTGTCAGATAATTCTTGTGCTGTAAATAGCAAAATGGCCGGAAGTGTTGAAGTTTTAGCTCATGATTCTAGCATCAATGGAGCAATGAAATCGCTGCATGAGGATTTCACTCCAACAACATTTATCCAAGATCTTGTGCCACACATAATTGGAGAGAATGGCATTGGCAACAGAGGGGATCATAATAGTGCAGACAAGGGGGAAAGAAAGATAGTACTGGGCAAAAATATTCATACCATGTGCCTTGAAGTCACGGAGCCTGATGTAGATGATGAGGTTACTGGAGAAAGGGAAGCTTATATGGCAAGTGTGTTGGCTAGATACAGAAGATCTCTGATAGAAAGGACCAATTATCATTTAGGTTTGATACAATAATTGTTGAATTTTGCCCTTTAGTCTAATTGCTGTGTTTTTGCATTTACTTTGTTGTTGTAGTATCAACCAAATGATTTACAACATTTGGAAGTCTTACCATGTGTCTTCAGCTCTTAGTTTATTGAGTTGTTTTGAAGAAAAAGAGTGTCAGAATAATGAATAGTATCATGTAATTGATGAAAATGACAGGTTATGCATTGAAATGCTATTTTTGTTTATTAACTTAAAGAATTAACTAGGTGATTTATAAAATCTATTACAGGTTACCCCTATAATTTGGATTTCGACTATGGTGCACTCTGTCAACTTCAGCACTTTTCCATCAACAACTTGGGAGATCCATTTATTGAAAGCAACTATGGTGTCCACTCAAGGCAGTTTGAAGTTGGTGTTTTGGACTGGTTTGCTCGGTTGTGGGAACTGGAGAAAAATGAGTATTGGGGCTACATAACAAATTGTGGCACAGAAGGCAATCTCCATGGCATCTTAGTTGGGTTAGTTTCAGCTAGTTTTGTGTAGATCAATGTTTGTTGTTGGCAAAATACGGCTAATATGTTGAAATGGCTTTTGCAGGAGAGAGGTCTTCCCAGATGGCATTTTATATGCTTCACAAGAATCACATTATTCTGTTTTCAAAGCTGCTCGTATGTACAGAATGGAATGTGTGAAGATTAACACTCTTTGTTCTGGTGAGATTGATTGTGATGATTTCAAGGCCAAGCTTCTTTGTCACAAGGACAAGCCAGCAATTGTGAATGTGAACATAGGCAAGTTTCTTCTATGTTTTTCTCTATCCCACATGCCCCTCCTCTCTTAATGTTTTGGTTCTGGCTCTCTGACGTTGAAACTTTTCAGGTACAACTGTGAAAGGAGCTGTGGATGATCTTGATCTGGTTATAAAGAAGCTTGAAGAAGCAGGACTTTCACATGACAGGTTCTACATCCATTGTGACGGGGCTTTGTTTGGTCTCATGTTGCCTTTTGTCAGACGTGTAAGTGTTGAAAGGTTCAAGAAATAGATTATTATACTTTTTTATACTTAAATGCAAAAGAAACAGATTCAGTTATTCCAACGGTTATTTTAGAATGGACAATGTTAAATTTCATGATTATAGGAACTGGGTATGGTTCATGTTTGATATCATGCAAAAACAAATAAAATAAGAGCTGTTTCCACTAATATGAAATTTTGGCCAGTTTCTTTAAAAAATTTCTGTGTTCAATTATTTTCAAGTGTTGATTGATTTGATTATCATGTCCATCCATTGATTTCAGGCTCCAAAAGTTTCTTTCAAGAAGCCTATTGGCAGTGTTAGTGTTTCTGGCCACAAATTTGTGGGGTGTCCCATGCCTTGTGGTGTGCAGATAACACGATTGGAACATGTGAAGGCTCTTTCTAGCAATGTAGAATACCTTGCTTCAAGGGATGCCACAATCATGGGAAGTAGAAATGGCCATGCTCCCTTATTCCTATGGTATAGTTTAAACAGGAAAGGGTACAGAGGGTTTCAGAAAGAAGTGCAGAAGTGTTTAAGGAATGCACACTACTTCAAAGATCGCCTCGTAAATGCTGGGATTGGAGCGATGCTTAATGAACTAAGCAGCACTGTTGTATTTGAGAGGCCACATGATGAGGAGTTTGTGCACAAGTGGCAACTGGCATGCCAAGGGAGCATTGCACATGTTGTAGTAATGCCAAGTGTCACCATAGAGAAACTTGATGATTTTCTAAATGAACTTGTGCAGAAGCGTGCTGTGTGGTTTAGAGATGGAAAGTCTCAACCTTATTGTATAGCATCTGCTGTAGGCCAGAAAAATTGCCTGTGCGCTTTGCATAGGTGATTGTGGTAGCCAATTAAGAGTTATGTCTAAGTAGTATAACTCTATTTGTAATATGTTTCTTGAGCGTTTATGATAGTGCTGGCTTCATCATAAAAGCAATAGCTCTTCCTCCCAAAGTATTTTAAGTAAAACGGAAAAAAGAAATTGCTAAAAGAAAGGATGCGCTTTAGAAATGGTCTAATCTGATGAATTTCATTTCCTCAAATTTCAAGTTGTAAAATAAGGACTATCATTTCCTACCTTAGTCACTACACAATTTTCATCATGTAGAACAAGTTTTAAAGCTAGTTTTGGCCCATCAAACGTACGTTCTTATGATAAGAGAGTGCGTTTTATTTTAAAAAAAATGTATCCCACGCATATGACATAATATTATTTAAAAGTAAAAAACATCTAATTTTCAATCAAGTTCCAATTTTTTCTCAGTTTTTCACTTTCGTTCTTTCTTTGCTTTTTTTCTCTCCAACTGTTTATGTTGTGTGTTGATCACCGAATAAAAAACGACAAAAACTATATTATAACTAAACAACGTGTAATACGTTATTTTCCTCGAATTGGTTTTAAGGTGTATAAAATCATTTTCAAGGCTGATTTTTCTTTGAGAAGTTACAATTGTGTTTGGTAAACCGAGTAAAAAATTATGAGTTGTTAGATGTAAAGCTAGATGAAAGCATAAAATAAAAGTTGTTTGAAAAACTAATTTTGTAAGTAGCTAATTTATATTAAATGATTTAAAAGGATATATAATATTATATTATTGTAATATTAAAAATAATTATTGTTTATTTTATTTATTTACGATCAATTAATTAAATAATTATATAAAAAATAAAATTTTTCTTCATATATATTTGAACATAAAATATTTTAAGTCATATTTTTTTATATGAAATACATTTAGATAAAAGAGATAGAAAAGTATATAAAATAAATAAATAAAAATTTGAATGAGACCATTGTGAATGTGAAGAGAATAAAAAAAAATAAAATTAACATATGTATATTAAGTTTTAAATATAGCAAGTAAGTTATCTTTTATAAAAAAATAAAAAATATAATAGAAATATTAGTAGTTAACTTTTAAAAACTAAACACTACTTTTAAATAATATTTGAAAAATTAACTTTCAAAAACTACACAATTTTTTTATTTTAGAATTTATCAAACAACTCTACTAACTTAGTTAATAAATTATAAGTTCTCAAATAAATTACAAATTACATTTATTAAATATAGTCTATAGTACTCTTTAGAGCAATTAATGACCTTCTCAGAGTCAAGTTCACCACCTTAGAGTACTAGTAAGTTTTACAAGAAGCATTCTCTTTTTTTATTTTAAATGATCCCAATTATATTTTACTAGTAAAGTGTCACAATAAATTTTTTAAGTAAAAGTCTGGATAAGTCGTAAGGTCCATTAAAAAAAGTTGTTACTATTGAGTTAGAGTAAAGAATCAATTGAGAAGCTTAATGTATAAAATTATATTTAGTAACACGTGAAATTTGATCCTCGAGTTGTCGTAAAAAATATTTTGTGCATTGGTGCATAACCAATGTTCACTTCGATAAGATAAAAAGGAGTGGTTCATTTTTAATTATATTTAAATTATTTGTTTATTTATTTATTACATAATACTACTAGTCTAGATAGGTCATAATTCATAAAGTAGAGCAACAATAACGTTTTAGTGTTTAAGGCAAAAATTGGCGGTTCTATAGTCATCCATAGCCATGAAAAATTATTGACATAGTCTTATACTTACACTATATTAAATCACACACAAGCTCAAATTTAAGACCTTAGGTTAGAAGAATCGAGCATGTACTATTTGAACTAACCACTTGTTGATTAAATTATAATTATTTTTTAGAAAATAAATATAGAAATGCATGGCTAAATTAAGAACCAAAATCAAATAGTCAACTTGCAAAACAAATTTCATCAAATTATCTTGGAGTATTGAACCAAATGAGAAACAATTTTTTTTTTCAATATTTGAAGTAAAATAGCTCTCTTTGATAAAATGTTTGCACATTATTATATTTAGGCCTCAATCTTTGCTTCTTCTGTTTGGGGCTTTTCTCCTTGAACCTTTACCTCCTCAGTCTTAGGTTCTTCTGGCTTGGATTCGGCCTTTACTTCCTCAACCTTTATTTGCTCTGTCTTTTGTGCCTCTTCTACTTTCTGCCAACACATAAATTGTGTGAGAAAAGGAGATGTTAAGCATTTTTTTTGAAATAAAAGAAAATAAGAGGAGAGACAAGAAAAACAAGAGAAAAAAATATAATGACCCACTATTTTTTTTATCTTTCTAAAAAAACTTGCACATTTGTAAATGTCATTAATGGGGGAAAAATGATAGGTTACTTTAAAAAATACACAAAAAAATATACATCATATTTTTTTTGTTTAAATTATAAATATTATGTACAATTTATTCAAGTTGAAAAGATTTACAGCTAGCATGGTAGCTAGCATGGTGAGCAAGCTTTGCTAGTGAGAATTTCTTTTATACACAAGGCTCAAATCGACCTAATTTCTGAGATATTTAGAATCTACTACTTAAACTACTCATTAATTATACTATAAATTTTTTAAAATAAATGACTGAAATGCATATTTAAATTAAGAAACCAAAGTCCAAACAGTTAATTTGACAGAAAATAAACAATTATATATATATATATATATATTTTAAGTATAATAGTCCTTTTCGGTAAAATGTTTGCACTTTATTAGCATTTTGTTTTTCGTCAACCACATTATTAGCTTAATGCCTCAATCTTTGCTTCTTCAATTTTGGGCTTCCCTTCTTAAAGCTTTACCTCCTCAGCTTTGGGTTCTTGTGGCTTGGATTCAACCTTTACTTCTTCAGCTTCAACCTTTACTTTTTCTGTCTTTTGTTCTTCCTCTACTTTCTGAAAATACAAAAGTGGTAATTATTAAAATTGTTTATATTATCGAATATTACGTTAAACAAATCTTACATAGAAAGATAGATATAGCATAAGAAAAGAAGACCTTAAGCATTTATTTGAAATGAAAGAAACCAACAAGAAAGAAATAGACTCGTTAAAAAATGATACTCTAGGCCCCCCCCCTTTTTTTTTGTTAAGCATATTGCATAGTTTTATTTTATTGTTTTTAAAGATTCATTAAATAATTTTTAAAATCAGGATATATGTTTTTTATTATTTATATAATTATTAAAATAAAAAAGTAAGAAAAGAGTGACATTTTAAATTGGGTGAAATGTCATTAAATAAGTATAGTTTGAAGAAAATACATAACTACTTTCAATTAAATCTTTTTCATTCTATTAACATTTTCTACTTAAATTTTGTCTTTTAAAACAATTGCTATCTTTGAAATTTTAATTTGCTCCAAATTTTCAATCATCATTAAGAGAATGCTGTTTTCTTTTTTCAATTCTATTCATGTTTCTTTTAATGTCTTCAATAAGTAGAATGAGAGTGTTAATATATATCCTCAGTTAGATTTATGGTTTATTGACATTGAATATAACAAATGACCTTTTTAATTCTTATGAAACCTTAAATGATTCTTCCTCACTTAAGGGTGTATTGAGAAAATAAACATAACTTAAACGAATAAAAATATTGATTACGCATCTTACTATTGAGTTGTATTCTTAAACGGCAGATAAAAATTAAAATAATAATGATTGTAAAGTATATTTATTAAAAATAATATAAATTAATTAAAAAATAATTAGTTTGTCTTAGATTTTTTTTAAAACAAACAATTACTTGAAAAACAAATAAAAGAATTAAAGCGATCATTGTTTTTTAAAAGGGGGAAATAATTGTTGTGGAAGTTTTATGCAATATTAAGAAATTTACGAAATACTTTTAAATTTTGTAAAATTAGCTGCACTTTAATAAATTAATGGAAATACTAAGAGACAAAAGGATAGAAATTATGAAAAATGCTAAGAGCATATATATATATAAGGTAATAGTTAAAGAAAATAAAAGTAAACAATATTTAATGAAAAATATTAAATACTTTAAAATAAAAATAAATCTGTACTTAATAATAATTAATGGAATGCATTAGATGGATTTTAATAAGTAATTTTAATTCATTCGTTAGCAAAATATTAAAATTGAAAATTGTATTTGTACACTTGCTTTTAAAACTAATAAATTAAAACTTTTAAATAAAAATATTTTTTAAATAATTGGAATAACCTTGAAGGTGTAATTAAAATGTACACCACAGTTGGTTTGAGAAGAAATTTGAACGAAATAGATAAAATATTTGAGTAGAAATAAAATAATGAAAAATGAAGAGAAAGAAAGTAACTATTATTTAATAGACTATTATATCAGTAAAAGGAATGTAAATATCATAATGTAAAATTGATATCTCTCTTTTATTTAAATTTATCATTATAAAAATATAATATTATTTGGGTAAATAAAATAAATCTTTAAATTAATTTATTACAACCTTTTGTCAACATTTACTTATTTAATAAAAAATAATAATTCCTAAGATTAAAAGTGTGTTTAACAATACAAGTTTTTTACTTATTTAAAAGTTTGTACATTTTAATTTTGTTAATAAACTAGTAGAGGTATTTACTAAACAAAAATTAGAGAAAACTTATACCTATTGATTTTGAAAGTTAGCCTAGGAAAATCTATTTCAAGTAATCTTTAGCTTGTTGAAAACTAGCTTCTAATTTTTTAAAATTATTTTTATCTTTAGTATTTTAAATAATTTACATGAACATAAAATAATCTTAACATTTTATTTTTAGTCACTTAACACTTTTCTACTGGTTTGATCAAATAACTCTAATTAAAAAAGATAATTATAAGTTATAAGCTTCCAATTATTATCAAATTTATGAGTTATAAACTATAAGCTATATTGTTTTTCAGTTAATATCATCAAGTAGAATCTGCTACAGCACAAGTGAAGAGGAAAAAAAAAAACATCGTTTCACATAAAAACGAATATAAAGTGTGAAAGATGTTATTTTCTTTCTCACTTCTTGTGCACGAATGTCATGATTAAAATTTCTCTAATTTATTGACTAAACCAAATGCAAGAAAGAGATTCTCTTATTAATTAATCGTTTCACATAAAAACGAATATAAAGTGTGAAAAGTGTAATTGGAAAGAAAAATGGAGTACCTCATTGAGCAAGGTGCCAAGAGATTTGTTATCAGCTGAGTCCTTGGGGGTTTCCTCTGTCATGGTCTCAACATTTGTTTCGATCTCCTTTTGCTCAACCTTGACCTCTTCGGTCACATTCTCAGGCACTGGCTCAGGACCCTCATCGGTCTTTGGGTTGCTACCACAATTTCCCATGTTGATGAATAATAATAGGGAGAATGAACAAGTTTTTTTCTTGATCCTTCTCCCGAACGTTAATTAGAAAAGGCACAATAAAAAGGTTTGAGGAATGGTATTGTTTGTTGATTCTTCAAAGGCTTTATAAAGGGTCGTTTAACGTTTGTTTTGGCTTGTTGGGTAATTATTTGTTGGCTAGCAAAATTTTGAGGAGCCCAACGGCTATTATTACTTTAATTCATTGCTTATATTTAGCAATTAGCAAAGAAATGTAACCTTTGTTGGCGTGTCAAACTTGGAACATAGAAACCACAGGCTCTAATTGTGGTCAATCTACTAATCTTTTGCTTTGATAAAATAAAATAACCACGTGTCTTTTTCATAATCAGGATAAAGAAACACAGATTGTGTGGTTTTTGTGCCCTTTCTGCCTATGTGTAATTATGTGCTGTGAAATTTTTATATTTTTTCGTATTATTATTAAAATAATTAAGCATTAACAGTATATGCGATATTATTCATAATTATTTTTATTAAATTTTTATACATACATACAACAAAATACACATAAAAGTCTTCTAAGTTGTTCAAAACTTTTTTTGTTTAATTACACTTTTAATATGTATTTTTGAGAATTTAATTTTTTTTTGTAATTTTAGTTTCTTTTATTTATTTTAACCGATTAAGTCCATCTGTTTTTAATTTAAGTAAATTTTATCCCTTAATTAATTTTGTTCTACTTGAAGTTCTTCTATCACTATTTTTCATCCAAATGTTTTTTTTTTTATAAAATGTTATTTTCATTATTTCACACTTTCAACTATATATTATAATTAAATATATACATTTAGTCACCATTCACCAACACAAGTAACTCCGGCTTCTCATTTTGTAAAAGGGTAAATTATGTATCAGCAAAACTCCTGGTCGATTGCAAAGATGGTTTATGATTCCACAAATTAAATTTAAAGGATTGAGAATTATTTTTTATTAACTCTGAGTGGTTAAGAAATCTATTTTAATCAATCAATGCTAGATTATTTGGTAGGTTTTTCAAAACATAGAAGTAATTGAAACAATATTGACGGAGATCACTTGGCTATTCAACACCATATAATAGTTGTAGTAAATGTTTCGCATATTATATGGATACTTTTAAATTCATAATCAATTTAATAACTATTTAGAATATAAATTAATATATATATATATATATATATATATACATAATGAATTTATGAAATCTTTAAATAGTAGTTAAACATATTTATGCATTATTTTTATTAAGAGAGAGTACTATATTTGTGTGTATCGTAAGAGTAAATTTTAATTTAATACATAGTGTTAAGTTAAATAAGAGGGTGGCAAAATATGATATTTTATTTGTAATTCAAATATTATTATTCGATGAAATTTCATGTTGTTTCAAATTTAAAAAGTAAACTTATTTTCTATTAAATTATACAAAATTTAAAAGTGATTAAAAAATAAAATAAATAATAGTAGTAAAAGAACATGTCACAAAGAAGAAAGAGAATAATAATATATGTTCATACATTTCAAATGAGGACTCAAATTTATAGTATAAAAATAAATCAATATTTTTCTCATGGTCATTAACATTTTGAATAATAATAATCTTTCGCTTGCTTTATTTTTCAATGTGAAACTCTGAAAAGGTGAATCTTTTACAATTACAAAACTCTCAATGACAAGAGAAAAGCCCATTCTTGTCAGGCAAACTATTTGAATGGGCCATTATCTATATGACCAATTAGCATCAGACTTCCTATGCCCAGTCTCATTAACAAATTTAAGTTGAGATTAATCCAACCAATGATTAATGATGAAATTATGTCAAACAGTTTGATGGAGCTTATAGTTTGACCTACATTAGAGTAAGCATATGTCTATTTATTGAATAAATTAGGTTAAAAAATTTAAATACATATTTAATTAAAAAAGGTTCAACTATGAGTTATTTAAAAATTATTTTTACCCCTAATAATAATCTTATTGCTTTGTTATTGGAATAAATTATACTTACACCCTAAAGTTTAGCCACACTAATAGTAATTAAGAGCAACATTGCAGCTACTAAGGATCATGCACCGGTTCCAGGAAAGTCTCAAACTATAAGTTCCCAAAAAGCAAAAATATTAAAAAAAATAAAAATATATTATCTATTTAGAGTCATTCTTCCACGTAAAAACATAGGAACTCTGTTGGGCATCTAACATGAGTTAGCATTGTCTAAATCGTTGGATATAGTTAGTAACTTAAGAAAATGAAAAATAAAGACAGGGGCTGTTTGGCCCCACCAAAATGCCAAACATAAACGAGGTTTTGAGTTATGGTTGAAGATAGAGTCAGTTTGTTTAAGATTACTTTTCATCAAAAAAGTGCTTTTTAAATAATAATTACTTTTACATTTTTAAAATTGCTTAGTTATGGAAAGGTATGGATTTTCTTTTGAAATTTCACATTTCATTATATTCAACTCATTTTGCAATTAAATAATCAACATTTGTAGGTTCTGGCATGTAATTTTGTGGGACAAAGTTCATATTTCTATCGCTACATTTCACATATAAGTTTTGTTTATTTTAATATATATTTAAGCAATTAGGTTTATAAAAATTGTAAAAAAAGATATAAATAAAAATAAAATTTCAATGGATTGTGATATTAACTCGAATCAAAATATTAGCTGTTCATGTCTTACAAAATTTATTGTGATGATATGTTAAATTAAATTAAATTGATTAGGGTTTCTGTCTTCTAAGAACGAGAAATGTGAGAGTTAATCCACAAGATGTAAGCATTATACAATAAATGATGGTAAGGTTTATAAGTAGGCTATGCTCCTACGCTGACCATTTATATTGTTTGCTGAGAGTTTTTGAAAACTTCACAAGAATATATTAAATAATGGTAAAGTTGCGTGCATTTTAAGGAGAAAAAAAATTAAATTTGAATAACAAAGATACCAAAATAAATAATTTAAGTACAAATTTTATTTTTTTAGTTTTTAAATAATTACTTATTTTTATTTAAATTTCTAAATAAAATTTTAAAAACAATTTTTTAAATTTTTGTTTAAATAAGTTAAGTCAAATATATCATACAAGGTAAAGTCTCCAAACGGTAAAGAGAGTAGTTTATTAAATTAAATAAATTAAAATAGAATGCATACTCATTCTTTAAAAAAATAAATGCTGGCACTTTTGATTATTAGTTTAAACTACATATGATTTTAATTTTAAAGTTTTTTCAGCTAATTAAATATCTCTAGTTTTCAAGTCGTACAAATTTAGAATTCAATTAAGTTTCTTTTACTTAAAATCCTTAATTATTTAATTAATCTCATTAAAAATTTGTAATTTCTCTTAAACAAAAAAGTCGTTCGATACTATGCATCAAAGTAACGACTTGCGCAGGAAGCAGCAGACAGAAAAGTAAGCTTTTTCTTTGCGTAAATTTGTTATACTCTTGCTATATTTATTCTCTTTTGATTACACTTTTTTAATTTCATAATTTATATTTTATTTTAACTTAAACTTTATGATTAAGAAAAAACTATGCATAAATATTTCTACATAGAAGAAAGAAACGTGTACTCCAAATAACGTTGTTTGGTCCAAAATCAGTGGAATATTTGTATTAGTCAATTTATGGCTGATTGGGATTATATATCTTTTAAGAGGGAGTTTTAACTTTAAATGGCAAAACACTTTCTAAAGCAAAAGTTGTAAATCAAAAGTTGCAGCGTTGACTAAAACTACTCTGCCTTCGTGTTCATTATGTTATTTTTTTTAAGTTGGAAAATTAATTCTTGTAAAAGATTAATAAAAATATATATTTTAATAAAATATTATAATTTAAATCAATTTATTTTTGTATTTTAATCATATTTAATTATTTTATTTAATTATTAATCAAAATGGTTGAGGACAAATTTAAGTATAATCTTTTATGTGATTTTGGTACTGTTATCTAATTAATTATGTTTTTATGCGTGTGCTAAAATGCACAATAAAAAATTTATTAATAAATTTTTATTAAAATTTATAATATTCAATGTTATCAATACAGTAAATTATAAATAATTCTACTGTGTATTAAGACATAATAAAAAGATATTAATTAAAATGTTATTTTGATAACTTACAAATAAAGATTAGCATTTAAAGTTCACAGATTTATCCCTTTTATTTGAAGTTAAGTAAAATTATACCGAAATAACGTCACATTTTAATGAATCCATAAACAATATATGAAAGATCAAATAATGAATAAACAGATGTTTAAAATTTAAATTAACAGAAAAATAAATTCTAACCAAGCTTTATTTTTTTCCCCTTACTTTAACACATCCCATTTGCACTTTCTTCTTTATAAAGCATGGGAGACTCAAAAATTTAATTCTTCTACTCCTAACTTATGGAATATACAATAAAGGTCATGTAACGCACGCATCAATTCAATTAGAGTGGTCCAATGAAAGTTTTTTTTTTTTTTTTTGTCTGGTTATTTTTAATCTTTTATCCTAAAAAGCTCAAAAAACAAAAACTATTGAAATTTTTAATTTGAAACAATCCCTGCCTACATTCGACGTGATTAAGTATTAAAACTAAAGAATGTTAGCATCGACCATTAAAGAGTGTAGTATTATTTTTTTTTATAAATCCTTTACTGCATTAGTTAATACACTGGTGGGGTGTAATATATATATAATTTCAATCATCTGTTATTTTAGCGGATGCAAACTAAACTAATTTATTTGACTAGTTTTTTCTTATTATTTTACCTTTTACATTGTTGGTGAGCTTGGACTTGATAAATGCCATGGTCATCCTAAAAAGGATCGAGTCAGGTTCGAAAAAAGTCACTCATAAAATTTAGAGTATCAAGACTAAGAATATATTTGAATTATAATTTATTTTTAAAAAGTAAATCAAGCATACTCTAATTCTTTTATTTTAAGTTTTTTAAAGAAATTACGACATTAGAAGGTTAATTGAATAAAAACTAGTGCAAAAATAAACTATTTTATATTTAGTTCTGACATGAATAAATATTCAAGTTTACAATCACTTTGAAAAGCCTATATATATATATATTACCACTAGATCAGATCCTCTATCATCTTATATTATTTAAGTGGTCCATCTATATCATGAATGCCAACAAGGGCTTCAAGTTGAGGCTTTCCAGTAAGCTATGTCTTCTTCTAAAGTGTAATTTTCAACGTAGTGCATTTCATGTCCACTTTCGTGATGAAACCTTGACAACTATATTGCCTTACAAATGGCATTGGTATTATTAACGCAGTCACCATTGTCATCATTTGTGGTGGTGGGCATGACAACCTCAGTTGCATCATGTTCTTGGGTAATTTCTGATGTCACCAAGTGATTCACCTTTTTCATTTCCTTGCTCTTACCCCATAGCACCATGTATACGCCGCACACAATTAGAAAGGCTCCAATTACACTATAGCATGGTGGAAAAAGATCATATCATACAAGTGTTAAATTGGATGGATTTGAAAATATTACATATGTTTTAGATATCACATTTAATTGAACCAGGTTTTGACGCATACCTCCCTACATATAAGTTCTCATCTAACATCAAGGAATCAGCCACAGCCACGAGCACAAGCATCAGAGGGTTGAAAACAGATACAAACATTGGGCCTCTCATCCGTACACACCATGCAATAACGATAACCGCTCCTCCGGAAGCCACAATTCCCTGCAACAATTAATATTTTCATCAATTTCATAATTAATTATTAATTAATTACAGTTCAAAGGATTTGTCTAAACTCGCTAGAGTAAATAATCTTATCTTAAATAGATTAATTAATGATATTTTATCCATAAAAAAATCGATAAATATTTAATATAATATCTTAAATTTATCAATCTACTTAAGATGGAGTTTTTTTTACGGAAATTTAAACAAACTCTTGTTCAAATATTAAATAATTTACACTCAATATATGTGTATTTATCTTTTTATTTTTTTTATATTCACATATTCTAAGAATATTTTTTAAAACAAAAATATGGTGTCCTATTTTTATTGTACACAATATTTTCTTATTAGTTACTCACCATCCCAAACGTCAATCAACCTTTCCACGTATTTTTTGTGACTACTAATTCTTAAATCATAATATTTTTAGAAATATGTTCAAATAGTATTTTTAGAAAAAATATTTCTCACCGTGCCAAGTAGTTTCTACACATAATGTGTTTTTTAATTTAAAATTTAACTTTATTTAATATAATAAAATATTTATTATTAATAATTACAGAATTACTTTTTATGAAATTTATTAATTTTAAAAAAATTATACAATATGTTTTTAATTATTTTAATTTAATGATACATATGAGAGAAATTATTAGTTCCATTATAAAATTAGCATTTTACCGTATAAGTGACGGTTAGAAGCCTAATACTAGAACCCAACTTCCATTGGCTCCAATCCTTCTCAGTATAAAGGGCAAAGGCTGTGGCTTGTATTGCGGCCATTAAGGACATCAACGCAGTACTTGTGTGATGAGATGGGAATTCTTTACTCATCTTGGACTGTCCCATATAGTGATCAACAACAAAAGGAATATTCCCAAGTCAAACCACATTTCACAACACAAATTATTATGATAAATCAGGAAGAGTTACCTGAATGATAAGCCATAATGCAAAACTGAAGCAGCTTCCAAAACCACACAAAACACCCAGAAATTTATGATCAGAGTCAGTATGCAAGGTTGCTACATGACCATTTTTCTGCAAAAGATTAATGCCGAAGCTCCTAACGTTAATTTCAAGCCCTTTGTAAAACGTCAGCAGCATTGACCCGCCAATTCCTAGTATCGTTCCCAACACTTTGGCCTTTCCTGCTGAGCTTCGCATGTTTAACTTTTCCAAGCTACAAAAATTTCAAAAGAATTAATCCAAACCATGCAAGCTCAGTATGTTAGAATATTAATTAATTCTATGTTATAGGCTAACATTAATTAATGGCATTTTCAGTTTTATAAGAACTTGTTTAATTATAAGAAGTCAATTCTACATGTATAACCATAAAACAGAAAGAAAAAAAAAAAAAACACGAAACACATGTGTATAATCACAAGCTGCAATTTATCTACTTTTGGGTTTATTACACCTTGTTGGCTTAATCTTATCGATGGTTATAATTTTAGTATAAGTCAAACTAGCCCGTCGTGTAAGAACTTACTAAACTTTATGTACGATATGCATGTTTATGTACAAGTTATGTCCCTTCTCCACGTCGAATTAAAATTTTTCATAAGTCACATAGCAACTTGTAGTTAGTGAGGAAGACTTAAGTCACTAAACACATCATGGAGATCGCTTATTGCAATATATGCAATCATGGGCATATATATATAGCATATATGCCATCCACCAAATCTATAGACATAGGTGGTCTAAATTCATTTATCTAGCAAATTGTAATAATCTATTTAAATAAAAAGCATATAGCGCTGATGACTGGTGATCACATACCCGCAAAAGATGGCCAACATAAAAGTGACTGCAGGAACGAGATTATAGACAGCAGTGGCAAATGTAGCTGACACCAGATCCAAGGCCTCAAGGAATAGGTTATGTAATAAACTTCCTCTGTGTATATTAAAGATATATAAAGATGAATAGTCACTTTAATTAAGTAGTTGTATACAATTTAGCAATAATGTTACCAAAAATATAAAATCAGGCAAAGGAGTGAAAGAAAGTATATATATATATCAACCATACCCAAATAGACCACTAAAAAATGACATGAAAAGCACTCTCCATGTCAGCTTCGGCCTGTTCTTTCTGTTTTAAAAATAAAAAAATAAAACAGAAAACATCATTTTAACCATCTTTCATTGCTGGCCTTAGTCATTGTATAGTTATTACAATAATATAAGTGCAGAAAACAAAAGAAGCAACGGAGCTAAGAATGAACCTTTCGAAAATAAGAGCCAGAGAGAAAGTGAAAACTACTGCAAACATCAAGCGGTAGGCAATGACTACCCTAATGCTCATTCCATCATTAATGGCGAGCTTGTAGAGCACATTCACAGAAGCATATGCAATCTGCACCAATACCATCAGCAGCACAGGCTTGAAATCTTGCACAACTTTCTGTACAACATTCATCTTTACGTAGCACCTGTAAATTGGCTTGAGATTGAAGAAGAAAATAGAGAAAGATTTGGAGCTATGGAGGTTCTATAGCCCCATGATGGTGTATTTATACATGTATAAAGGTAATCAACAATACTTGTGTTAATTCAAGAGTGAATAGTCAAATTATCTCCAGAAAAATATAATAATTTCCTGAATAACAGAAATTATGATTAAAGTCTTCGTATATAATTTTTTTTTCAGTCAAATTACTTCTTAAAAGATGTAACATTAACTGGTCGTTTCAGTTCTAGAATAATAGAAATTGTAAGGTTTGGAATGTATATAAGTTACTCTGTATGTCATGACCTTCAGCAAATAATTTTAAATACATATTTAAAAATCACTATTATAATTTCTAAAATTTTAAAACTAATAATATGATCAATATGATGTATTTTAAAGATTAATTTAATTATTTATTCATTTTTCCAAATTAAAAATATTGTACGAATTTATTTAGTGGCGGCTCAAGAGACAAAATGCAAGTTAAGGATTTTCATAAACCGATATAATGCAAAGTAAACTGTAAAAATGATATAAAAAGAAGTATTTTTTTTAATGCATAGAATTTTTTTAATAAATGATATTTATAATAAATTTAATTTATCACTATAAAATTATGAGTTATAAATGATAAAATTGTATTATGAATTTAGCTCTTCTAAAATAAAGAATGTATAAAATAAAAAATAAATCTCTATTATAAATTTGAATTTAAGTATTTTATAAATATGTTTAAATATAAATTAATATTGATAGAAGTTCAAGTTTTATTTTATATATTTCTTTATTTTAAAAGAATTTAAGTTCTTTTTATATGAACATTTTTTTTTGTCGTCATATTAAGTGAAAAATGAAGCTCTAAGCCTTGCTTTGGTGGCTTGACCTGAACCTCGAGGCGGCCCTAATTTCAGCCATTCATCGTGCTTGATGCCTTTTCTCTTTATTGGACCATCAATTTGATTTTATAAAGTGTAGGTGGCTAAAATATTATTGCAATCACTCATGCAACAATTCATAACTCTTTTATTATCCAGGTGTTTTTACTCACTAAAATCCATGAGCTTATTGGAAGTGATGGTCAGTTTTTTTCTTAATAAAAACTTTAAAATAAATATGTTCATTTAAAATAAAGTTGAATGCACTTTTCCTATTTTAAAATGGAATATCATCTTTTTCTCTAAAATTTCAACTTTTTATTCAATTTCATAACACTTTTATCTCAGCTTTTAAAATAAAATAAAAAAGTAATTTTAACCTTTTAAATTTTAGTTTCAAAAATAAGTTATTCATCTTTTTTTTTCTATTAAATGGGGTGAAAGTTTAAAGCAACAAAACAAAATTATCTAAAATGCCTAAGACACCCAATACCAATAATAGCATCTAATCTTAAGAAAGGAAAAAGGGAGGAGGGAGCTTGATCTATGAAAGTACAATTCATAAACTCTTTATGGGCCAATTTGGCTGAACATTCAACATACTTTTTAGCTTTTCTAAAAATATGATTAAATTTAACAGATTGAATATTCCTTAACAAAATAAGTTAAATCAAATGAAATAATCTGGAAATGGTTCTAAATATTTAAAATAATAATAAAAGCTTATTTAGAATCCACCTGATTAATTTACTTTTGATTTTATATCGATACGAAAAATTAAATTTGGGAGTAGCTAGGAAAGGCCAAAGTGATAGGCACAATAGTTGGAATTGGTGGGGCAATGGTGATGACCTTTGTGAGAGGGATAGAACTTAAAATATGGTCTTCAAAAATAAACCTTGTGCATCCTCATAAGAACCAAAATGGGCATGTGACAGTGCACCATGACTTCTGACATAAAGCGTTAGGTGTTCCATGTGCCATATCAAGCTGCTTCTCTTTTTCTCTGTGGTTCATTTTCAGGTAAGCTTGTTAATTTCTTATGACCAAATAGAGCAAACTTGTTCACTAACTTCATTAGATTCTAGTCATTATGTATATCAATTTTATTTTTTATGTGAACATGTCTTTTAAGTTGTGATGTGCAGGCTAAAATGAATGCAGAATTACATTGATATATGAACAGGTCATGCTGCCATACACTCCAACTCCTAATGAATTGTTTGGAGGGAGGAAGTTTGCAAAGGAGAAAAAAAAAAGAATAATTTTTTTTAAATTAAAAGAATAACTTACTAATATATTAAATTTATGATAATATATATATATATATATTGAAAAATTAATTCTTTTCTTCCTTTTCTTTTCAAGTCTCCTTTCAAATAAGGCCCAAGAGTTGAAAAAGAAGGCCCAGCTAGCACCATTAGAAAACACAGTTTGAAAATGTTGAGGTTATTGTTACGTCCTCGCCCTTAGATCATAATAGAAGAGTGCAAAGCTATCAGAGCCAAACCAGTGCAACGGAGAATGCCGCTAATGATCATTGATTATTATTATAAAAATTTTGACGACGATAAGAACATGATATGTTATTTTTTAAACATCTTTGCTAAAATGGCAAGTCTTTTACTGTCAATAAGTTCCTCAATTTCTATTTATGTCAATAATGATTTAACTAGCTTTTCAAAATCAGTTTATTTTTTTATAAGTAAAAATTATTGCTGTTTTAAAAATTAAAGACAAATTTAAATGCAAGTGCTATTTAAATCTGTAACTAATTGTTTAAGGAAAAAAAAAAAAGCCCACGACAGATTGACCCATGTCCCATAGCCCGAGTTTTTGTCCATTTGCTGATATGAACAGTTAAAATATTATGTATCAATTTTTTTAGAGATTTATTAACGATAAAGATCAAAACAAAAAATATTGTAAAAAAATAAAAATAAAACTATAGATAAAGATCGAAGAGTGTAAAATATAAAAAATATATTTAAATTTAATATTTATTTCATTATTTAACTTTATTTTTTAAAATTACAAAATATTATTATCCGTGACTTTTCATCAGTAACAAGCAATTTTTTAATTTTATTTCTGACATTATTGATAAAAACAAACCACTGATATGACACATGCTTATGGTTGCCGGCCATCTGTTGACCATATTGCATCGTTACCAATAGATTTTAGCCATCAACACATGTAGCAAAATTAAATATATCTATTTTGTGCTAAAATTTATTAAAATAATAAAGTGTAGTCCTTAAAGCTTTTAAAATCTCTTTAAAAAATAGAGTCCAGCATATTTACACTATAATTAGTTATTGCTATCAACTCTTTGAAAGATAATAAAGTAATCTGTGAAGTAAAAAGTAAAATTTATATATTTTTGCTGGATCAATAAAGAAAGGAGGGTTTTGTTTGCTGGTGTCTTCCACATTCAACAATTTGCTTGGTATTTATAGCATGAAAGATGTTATTTGTTTCTTAAAAATAATTTTTTTTTACTGTGTCTGTTTGACTCTCCACTAAACTACTGAGTTATTTTATATTTAGGCATTTGAAGTAGTTTGTCCAAATCATGCTTGATCTAGAACTTCCCATCTAACCTCATTTCTTATCAACATTTAAATTAGACTAATCATAATTTTTTTTGTCATAATTTATACCATGATCAAATATACTTTATTCACATATTATTTATAGTTTTTAAGATAACGAATAATAGAAAAATATTTCACATAGAAATTTTATTTTTTTATTTGATTAATTAATTATTTTAAATTAATTATCAAATAATACGATAAATCTTTAAAAATAATTACAACATTCGTATGTGTATAACTTTGTAAGTTAAATACTAAATTGCTTAACATCGGATAATATTAATTAATATTTTTCTAATTTTTAAGAATTATTAAAATTATATATATATATATATATATATATATATATATATATATAGTGTTATTAATCTCCGTCCTTAAGACTAAGATTAAGTATCTATAAATAAATAAAAAATTATAAAAAAATATATTTATTATATTAAAATTATAAAAATATAATAAATATATTATTTAATAAAATTTTATTATTATTAGCAGTTTATTATCTAATGGTTAAGGTTAACAAAATTTATATATAAAATTTGAAGTTAAATTTAAAACATGATATTAACTTTAAATTCTAATAAGTTAAAAGAGAAGAAATGACTTTAAAAATTTATATTTTCTACTCGATCAATTTGTCAATCTTAATTCTATCATACAACTCACAATGTGGCACCTTTCAATATGTGATTCGTTTATAAAATCTTGATGTTAATGCATTCTGGCTTGTCATAATTAGCCATTGGTTGAATGGTTTTATTTTAATTTTGAGTGATTGGTTTATGGGCGACAAGATCCGGTGGGAATTGTAATGTGTTCTCAATCAATAACGCATTATGGGCAAGAGCTAGCCTGAAGCTTTAATGTCTGTGGGCATGAAGAACATCAAAGACCTTTTTACTACAAAAAACCAGAATGTGCATGCTAGAACAGGGGAAGTTTTCAAAAGGAAAATCAAGTCACGCCAGAGAAGTTAACAATCTCTCTAGATTTAGAAACATATGTAAGTTTGTGTTGTTTTCATAAGATTCATTTCTATTATACAGTAATATATCATGAATACAAATCTTACTTTTTAGATTCTAATCTAATTATCCAAATTAGCATATTATTTTGTTATTGATTTGAATTATATTGATCGGGTTCACAGGTAGACCCACTTGAACTCCTATTTGGATGGCATTACAGACTCTGTTCCACCAAAACTATTATTATTTTTTTAATAAAAAGGGTATGCGAACATTGTTTCTCTGCGTCACACGAAAAACAAACGGGACCTAAAATCATCTTTTGGAAGATCTGAAACTTGAATTGTGTTGGGAGAGTAGTGACCATCTTTTTTTAGCAAATGCACGTTTAAATGAATTTTTTAATATTTATTTTTATTCATTTTCAAAGATGGACCTAACTTTCCATAATATTTAATACAAAGAAAACGGATCCCCCACTAAGGTAAGAATAAATTTTAGATCCTTTTATGATACTCTCCTGCAGTCATTTTTTTATTTAGTAACTTTTGATTTTAATTAAAAATTAAATTAAAAACTATGCAAAAATAATATTTTAATTTAAAAAAAGTATATAATCCAAAATTACTGAAAAAAATTCCATGACGCAACGAGTCCTAGCCCCATAAAAGAAACTCATTATTTGTTGTTGATTGAATGCTTCATCATATCGATCATATAGTGGCCTTGTATGGCTTGCACTGACCATCTAAATAAAGCCAAATTGTACCATAATAAAATAAAATAAAGCTCAATTGCGGGAAATTACTCAGGAAAAGCCAAACTAGTGATCTCAATCACTTTTTTATGGTGTTTACATTTAAAGAAATATAAAAATAAAAAAGTTGTTCATTTAAATAGAGATGTCAAAATCAACTTTGACATGTGCCCCAATCTAATCATTACATGTTTTTAACGAGCTTTTAGCCATAAATTATGCGTGTTTTATATTTTCAATTCACCAAAATTTTATTTGTAACTTTAATTTAGAGGGGAATGAAGGTTTTTACAAAACCTTTCTCTACTTGTAAGTTTTTTAAAATAAAGGAAATAAATTTGAGAGATTTTAGATGTAAAAGTGATAAACTTAATTCGTGATAGAACAATTTGAATTAGTTGAGTTGAGTTGTTTTAATAGCCTTATATTGAAAGGAAGATAAAAGTAAAAGAGGAAGAAACAATAACTATAATAAGTAATCTAACGTAACAAAAAGGAAAAATGGTAATCCTGTAGGAATGTTTATAAGTGATAGATGATTCTTTTAATATAGTATATATAATTAATATGACGTGGAGATCACAAGATAGTACATGGAATCCGAATATATAAAATCCATTGCAGAGCTTCGCTTTGACACCATTATCTTCCCTCTTTACTTGGGTTTGGTTAACATGGTGGAGAGCGTTTGTGATTTGTGGGAAACGCTGAAAACAGACATGATAATGGTGTTAGTGCAGATTGCATATGCTGCGGTGAATGTTCTATACAAGCTTGCCATTAACGATGGAATGAGTATGAGGGTTGCTACTGCCTATCGCCTCATTTTTGCATCCGCTTTCACTGTTCCTGTGGCTCTTTTCTTTGATAGGTCCTTCGTATTTTCCTTCCATTTTTTTCCTTCTGCTGATGCACTTGTTAGATATTTGATATCATATATTTGAATTCATTTATTCGATATCATATTTCATAAGATATTTTCATCTAAAAATACTTTTTTTTTAAAGTTTCAGTTTCAGTTTTTTAAACACTTTCCTTACATTAATTTTACGTAGGACTGGAGGGATTAATCTTTTGTGTTCGAGCTGTGAATATTTACAGTCATGCATGTGATGGCTGCCCTTGTTCAGTTGCAAGGTCCATAATGTTATGAGAAACGTTGATAATATATTTTTCAAAACTTAATTATTATTATCTTTTCAAAAAAATGAAAAATTATTTAGAAAATAAGTTAAATGTTTTTTTAAAAATAAAAAATATTAATTAGTCTTCTATTCTTTTACAATATTCAATACAGACTAGTTTATTAAAAATTCTATAAATAATTACCTTTTAATTTGAGAGAATAATAATATCCTTTTTATTTTGACTAATAAAACCAGACATGAATAAATTAAAATCATATAATAAATTAACTGAAATTAATGGTGTAATAAATTTTATGATTACAAAAGGATCTTATGAGGTTTATTTTATATTTGTTCAAAATTTAAATATCAACAGGGTTTGATGCATATTACACGATAAAGTAAATTATAAATAATAAAAAAATAAAAATGTTAAAATCTATTTTTAAATTGTTTTGAAAAAGATTTTATTATAATAACGTATAAGATAAAATATTTATATTGAAAAATAATTTGTATAAACAAACCTATATTACTGAAAAATATTTTCCATTATTTTCCGTGGTTTGATTTAAAATCAAAATCATGCAATGTAATTAAACATCGTTTTTGGAAAATATATAGTATTTCGAAGATGGTGTTAAAAATAAAAAACAATTTCTGAGCCAATTATATAAGAAGAGAGGAAAATATGTATAAAATGGTGAACATTAGATTAACTATCCAAAATGGTTTTGCCCTCTTTTATTGCGCTATACAGGAAGAAGAGACCGAAGATAACTTGGAGGGTGCTATTATTGGCACTTGTTTGTGGATTGTGTGGGTATGTTGTGTAAATTCTTCATGGTTTTGGTGATGAACATGTCAATGAACGATACTGATAGATAATTAGATATGATTGTTTAATTTTTCAGGGCAAGTTTATTCCTAAACCTTTATGCAGAGGGCCTGGCTTTGATGTCAGCAACCTTTATGATGGCCACCATCAACCTTGTTCCTGGCATTACCTTCGTTATGGCTCTATCCTTCGGGTATTCAACTTTTTTTTACTATTAAGACTTTCTCTTCCAAATTTTATTTAATATTCAATAGAAATATAATAATATAACATCTCGTTTATTATTATTTAAATGTTTAATATGTTGCTAATGAATTTATATTAATCAGTTATATATTATAGTTTTATAAATTATTACATATGATTTTTGGGTAAAAAAAAACTTATTTAAATAATTACAATTATATAAAAAATAAATATGAATAATTAAAACAAAAGTCGTATGTATGAAGTCTAAAAAAATTTGTTAATTATTTTGAAATTACTATTCTTCTTGAAGAAAGATATGCGTTTTTTTTTCCATTCTATTTTTATCATCATTTCTTAATGCATCTTCAGTATAGTTTCCGTACATCTTGAATAATAAGCAGGGCAGACTTAAACTAAGACGATTAACATATCACAAACTGATCAGTTCATAAACTTCAAAATTAATTACTTAAGAAGCCATATTCATATTTTTATGAGTTAAACAAAGTTTATTGACTAATTTCGTAAGTGAAAAACACTCCACCTACTTAAATATTTAGATATGATGCTAAACTCAAAATTTTGCTATAACTTTACACTCTATCCTGTTTTAAAGTAACTTCCATGCAAGTCTGTACTAAAATTTTCATGAATTTAAAACTAATGACATGTAATTGCGACATGTCTTTTGCTTGAATCTATAATTAACTTTGCTTTATGGTCTTTTATAGTTTCTTAAAGCATTGTCTATGGTTTCTCCAGAAAATTTTCTACAGAAAACACTTTAAATTTTATGTTACACATTAGTCTTTGTTTCGCTTTTATTTTAATTTCAATATCATTTTTATATGGTAGTTTCAATTTCAATAATTATCGGTGTTAATGTTGTTAAATATATTTTACATTGAAAATTGTTAAAGGAGTTAGAATGAGGTTAATTAATTAGTGAAGTTGGGATATCTCTAAATTTTAGGCAATTTTTAGCTTTGTCTTTTTTTTTTAAGAGCACCTCAATAATTTCCTTTTATATGCATGAATCTTAAAATTTAACTTAAATATCACAAATTAAGAAATTTGAATCCTTTTTCATTCAACTGCACGCATTATAGTAAGTAGAGACTTTCTTTCAATTTGCTTCCGTAATAACGTTGTGATTAGTCAGGCCACATAGCCGTGTAAATACTAAATAATAGAAATTAGTGGAAATTAAAGTTACGCACTCACAATATATAATGATTTTGTTTACAATATAAAAAAGTTAATAGAAATTAAAAATATGTTTAAAGATCACAACCATTTTAATCTTATTATACTTTCGCTTAATTTAGTTTTGATTTTGTATAGATTGGAAAAGTTAAATTGGGGATTAGCGGAAGGAAGGGCCAAAGTGATAGGCACAATAGTTGGAATTAGTGGAGCAATGATGATTGCCTTTTTCAAAGGGATAGAAATTAATATTTGGTCTTCCCAAATGAACCTTATGCATCCTCATAAGGACCAAAACGGGCATGTAGCATTGCACCATGGCTTTCGACATAAACTGTTGGGTGTTTCATGTGCCATAGCAAGTTGCTGCATTTATTCTTTGTGGTTCATTGTTCAGGTTAGCTTGTTTCTTAATTATGACCCAATAGAGCACACTTGTTCACCATATTCTTTAAATTATACTCATTTCGTGCATCAATATTATGTCGTTTACATGGCGCAGGCTAAAATGATTGCAGAATATCCAAGCCCTCACTCAAGTGCAGCTTTAATGACCACAATGGGAGCTATACAGGCCACTGTTTTTGCTCTTTGTGTTGAGAAGGATTGGAACCAATGGAAACTTGGTTACAATATCAGGCTTCTCACTGTGGCTTATGCGGTATATATGCTCCACATTTACTGAATCACTAACGTTTATTTTTAAAGTTTTGATTTTGATATCTAACTAAATTAAAAACCATCTTAAATATAATTTTAAAATTATGTGGTGATTACTAATTAGATGATGATACTTTTTTTTATCCTCATAGATCATTTAAAAAATATTCACACCTTATAATTATTTAAAATCAACTTAGTGAATTGATGATAAGAAAAATAAAGCGATGCATCGAATGCTAAGTGTACAAATGCTCAAAGGAAGTTATTTCATGTTGAGTAAATGTTATTGCAGGGAATAGTGACCTCTGGAATAGTGTCTGTGGTTATTGCCTGGTGCATAAAGAAAAGAGGCCCTATATTTGCGTCTGCTTTTAATCCTCTACAGCTTTTACTTGTGGCTATCGCTGCTTATTTAATGTTGGATGAGAAATTATATTTGGGAAGGTATACTCTAAATCTTACTTTACAAAAACTGTATGTACCAATTTATGGATTTGATTTGATTTAATCTAATTTAGTTTAGTTATCTATATTCAGTGCGCTTGGAGCAGTGTTAATTGTGTGTGGTCTGTACGCGGTGCTTTGGGGTAAGGCACAAGATTTAAGAAAGAAATCGCAGCTAATGCCATTAGAAAACACCCAAGAGTTGGAAAATGTTGAAGTTGTAGTTACGTCCACGCCCGTAGATCATAATAAAAGTGTCCAAAGCATTCAGAGTCAAACCCCTGCAAACGAGAATGCCGTAACGATCAATCACTGTTATTTATCAAAAACTTGATGCTGAGAAGAACATCATGTATAGTCGCTATTATTTTTTTTAAACAGCTTTGCTAAAATGGTTGATGACAAGTTCTTTCACTGTTGTGAGGCCTTCGACCCTTGCTTGTGTCTTAGGTTTCTTCAATTTATTTTTATGTCAATATTGACTAGAGTAGTTTTTTTAACGAGTTCAGCTGTGCTATAGCGTATATATAAAAGTTTTTAAATTGTTAGTAAATTAAAATAAAATATTTATTTTAAGTCACTTTGATTTCCTTATAAATAAACAAACAGAGAATCATTAAACAAACAAACAAACAAACCCTTTTGTCAAAAATATATACAAACTTGAATGAAAGATTTTTATTTTTTTTGTCAAATATTCATAAATTAAAAAAATCTAATAACACTTACAATTAAAGAATGTTAAATGTGAAAAATATAATAACAATGCACAATAAATACACAAGAAAATATCAAGCAGGCCTTTTCAATATTAAACACTTAACAATTCTTTAAACACTAAATACAATAAAATTAAAAATAAATATCTCACTTTCTTTCAAAACAAATCCAATCACAAGTATAGGACTTCTTTTTTCTTCTTCTTTGTTCTTTTTTTCTCTCATTTTGAATTAGCACATGTCTAGAGGTAATTCAAATGAATTTGGATGTAAAAAAACAAGTAAAATGTAATAAAAGAAGAATGAAGATAACGTAAATGATGAAATAAAAAAAAATGAAATTAGCCCATGATATATTGGCCCATTCCTGCAAATATGCCCCAATACAGACCCAAACTCTTGACCAAAAACCATAAGTAATTTAGGTAAGCAAGTAAATTTATAAATCAATTACAATAACAAAACATTCCAAAAATTATTTTAACACAGGTAACTTTTAGTTTGCTGAAGAATCACTGTAATAATACACGTTCAAAATAACTAACGAAGCCCAATTAATATATATATATAATTGTCCTAAATAATTTTTTTGTCAATATAAAAATTTTCAAATACCTCAAAAAGCTTGTAAATAGGCAAATTATGAAATGGGAAGACTTTTTTCTATGTTAGAGTTAGATAAATAAGTTTTAATCATTATTCATTAGATTAAAAAAATATAAATAATGTGAAAAAATTTTAAGTCATAAGACTTTTTTAAATAATTATACAGCTTCACTAATCTTTTAATTTTATCCATCCATATATAATTATACAATTTAGATTTGTGCATCTCACTCTCGTATTAAAAAAACTCATTTCATTAAATAGCTTTGTATGCAAAGAAATCTAAATAGTTAGAAAAATAACTTTTTCAAATAAAAATTTACAACAAAAAAATTCACCAACCATTTCATTTGAGAAAAGTTGTCTTTTTCTCCGCCATGTTTATTATTTGATCCAACAGCGTTTTATTAGGTAAAATAAGATACGATAAATATTAATAACTCTTACATAAAGTATTAGAACACCAAAATCTATTAAACTATTCACTATTGGTTGTAAAGTCATATCTGAAATCAAGAATTCAACGTTTATATATTGACGTAGGAATAGAATAAATAAAGTATTAAAAAATGATTCCAATCCAGCAATTTAGCAACCACACGAGTCACAAATATGTTTCACAGTAGAATACACAATTGATAAACGAATATTTCCGTAGGACATTGACATTTAATAATATGTCATCACATGATTTCCAATTTTCTTTCATAGATAAATAAATAAATAAACCAACCATTACAAAGGGTGTGTTTGATTCCCTATTTAGAAACTCCGTTTACAAGAATTATAATTTTTTTTATTTTGAAAAACACCACAATTTACGTACTTTAAGATTGATAAAATGGAATTAGAAGAACTACAAACACAAAAAGAAACAAGCTCTAAGTCTATTGTTGAACTTGAATGACATCGAACGATTTGAACAGGTTGTTTGTTTCTCGTTGATATCAATCTTTGTTGGGCATAGATGAATTTCCTAATAGGAAATTGAAATTGATATATAGGGTGTGTGGTTGAGATATACCATATATTTACGTACATAGTTGCCAACTCAACTCATGGATCGCACTATCAAAATATTTTTAAAGATTATGTTAGAACTAGCCAATGTATATCTTTAGACTTTTAGAATTTTAGAATCATATACATGTTAGAACAAAAAAAAAAAAAGAGTAAATTTTATCAACTCAATAAATCAATATTTTAAAAATATTATTCGATCAACCAAATCCCAGAGATATAGTGGCACTTATGGCATTATCATTGATACATGATTCTTCAAATCTTTTCAACCGCGGATCAAATTCCTCCGACACCCTTACGTAGCGAGGAGAAATTATGATTCTTTGTTACAAAATTTTAAAAAGAAAATCATTTATTAATAATTTAATATCATAATTTTTGTTGGTATAATGTTATTTGAATTGTTAACATAGAAATTTTAAATTTATGCTAATAATACGATATATCATACAAACAAATAATTTTATTAGTACATAATATTAATATACTGAACAATATTTGGAGGGTGAATTTTATCATCCATAATGAACTTATTAAGTTCAAACAACATTGTTTTCGGAGAATGACTCTTGTTGTCTAGACAAAAAAATATATTAATATCTTACTAGTACTGTTATGTATTAGTAACTAGTATAAACTTTAAAGTATTTACTAAAAGTTTAATTTCTATTACACAAAGTTTTATTTTGTTTGAATGTTCAGAGAAATAGTTTGAGAAGTATAAAACATGAAAAGAATAAAGGAAGAAGAGAGGTTAAGCTTCTCCTTTGTTGGATATTAAAAAACTTCCTAAAATATATTAAAAAATGTTTTGAAGAATATCTAAAAGCTTTCACTTTCTTCTTTTTTTTTTATTTTTAAAAGCTCCTAAAACAAGAAATGGCTGTATTATTTTTCCTTTCTTTTAATCATTAATTGAAATTTCAAAGAGTCCTAGATTTAAAAGAAAAACAAAAAATAACTTTTTTTTATTCTTGTTATATCCTCCTTCTGGACCTACTCGTCTTCTTGTTAGTCTTCATACATACTTTATATAATAAGTATTGGCAGATTACATTGCTATATATATATATAACTAATTTTTTCTATTAAATTTTACGAAAATAAAAATGTTATATGGCATATTTTAAAATTCGTTCACTAAAAATATCACGTGCCATTTCTTTATTTAAAAAATTTTCATTTTATTAAATAATTTATTTATATTAACTTTAATTTGTTCCATTTTTATGTTAACCTTTTGCATTCTTAACTTTTTAGTTTTTTCTAATAATCAAATAATTGATATCAAATAAATGTTTAAGTACTAAATAAATTTTATATATTTTAAGTAGATTTTGATTTATTTTTATTAAATATGCTTCATAATACAATATAAAAGATTAATAATATAAAACAATCTATATCTATTTATAAATATTTATCCATGCTCAAGAGATAGTCTTTCATATGCATAGAAGAAAAGGCAATAAAAAAAAGGGGACTCTTGCAGTTAAAATTGACCTCATAAAAGTATATGATAGTCTTGGGATTTTCTGAAGCAACATTGAAGGATTTTAGTATTTTGGAAAGATCATTTCACTGATCATTATGTGGTGTGTGTGAAACCACCTTGGCTGTCCATTATTTGGAATGGTGCGAAACTAGAGAGCCCTTTTGCCAATGTCGTTTTTTTCATTTTTTGTTTTGTAGGGTTGAGAATAATCAAATTGATTAGGTTATGCAGTGAAAGGATAACTGAAAGAGAAAAGTTGAAAATTGATAAGCAAGTTGATTAAATTAAAAGTATTTGATAAAATATATCGTTTTGTTTTGAATTGTAATAATTTTGAAATAACATGTTCAAGTATTTCATAATATTTTATCTATCCAAATATATCGTTTTGTTTATAATGTGCGCGAAGCCGTGAGTCACAAGGAGGTCGAACACTGTTAGGAATCCGAATATATTACCAGGTGAATACCCCATAGTTTTTGTTTTTTATCAGCATAAATACCCCATTGCTCTGTTACACTTTCCATGAACACACCCTTATCTTCTCTCTATATTCATTGGGTAAAAAACCCCATTTGCTGCACAATTGTGAAAATGAAGAGAGCATGTAATTTATTGCAAGAATTAAAACCAGTCGTGTTAATGGTGCTAGTGCAGATTGTATATGCTGCCGGGAATGTGATCTACAAGCTTGCCATAAATGATGGAATGAACATGACGGTAGCTGCTGCCTACCGTCTCATTTTAGCATCAGCTTTCACTATCCCCGTTGCTCTTATTTTTGATAGGTCCATGATTTTGCCTTGTAGCTTCTTTCGGTTTTAATACATTTATTATTACGTTAGTGTAACTTCTTTTGCTCACGTACTCTTATGATTATCGTGATTGTGTTGAATATATCAGACTTTTGTTTGTCAAATATTTGGTTCACATGTGGATATTTAGATTTGTATATATGATATAGAGCTTTGAATTCCTTTCTTTTTTTGTTCATCAAACAACTTTTTAAAGCTTAAAAAGGGATTACTTCTGCAAAAGCATTTTCAGAAAGGTTTTTTTTTCGTGCATTTCTATGCATCAATTTTCAACGGTAGCTTCACGTGTAAAGGAGGAGACTGTTCCGTCGAATACTTTAATTATCGTTTTTTAATTAACACTCATTGGCTGAAATGGGTAAAATTAGATGTAATATCAGATTTTAGGGTAAGGTTAACAAAATCCTTTCTGCAGATTCCTTAAACATGAGGATCACTTATTTGATTAATTAATTAAGCTGCAAATTTGATGGTTTTGTTTCTTTTATGTTTTATGTTTTACTGCTATACAGGAAGAAGAGACCCAGGATAACTTGGAGGGTGTTGTTTATGGCATTTCTTTGTGGATTGTTTGGGTATGTTGTCCAGATTCTTCACCCTTAATTTTCATCATATCATAAGTATGTTGTCAATAATCTAGAGAATGAATGGTTCAAAGTAATTAATCAACAATGCTGATATTCTTACGTAATGTTTCAGAGGAAATTTATTTTTAAACCTTTATACTGAGGCTCTAGCTTTGACGTCTGTAACGCTTATGTTGACCGTGGTCAACCTTATTCCAGGCATCACTTTTGTTATGGCTGTATTATTTGGGTATTAATCTCTCCACACTGTACTTTACCTTTTTCAAAATTTTGTTGAAGAATCTTTTGCAGGTTAAACGAGGATGAAATGTTATGTATATTTTAGTTAATTATAAATTTTGTGTCATACATTAAAAAAAAAGTGAAAAGAAATTAAAACTGTTGACTGTAATAAATATACCCTAATTTTTAAGTAATAACTTCCGTTCAATTTTCTTTAACAAATCTATGATCGACACATCACGTCACACATAAAAAAAATTGTTAGATAAATAAAAGGATAACGAATATAAATAATTAAGACTTCGAAATAAACAAGTTATTTAAATTTAAATTTAAATATATTATCATATCATATTTTTGAATTAAACTCATATTTACATTTTAATAGTCACTATTTAATAAAATAGATTAGTTGAAATTAAATAAGTTGTGAATAGAAGTGGGTATTTACATGAGTTGTGAGTGCCAAGGCCCATATAATTTGAAACAGGCTGAGCTTGTGAATTCGTGGATCAATCTTTTAATTAAAACAAATAATATAAATTTTTAATATTTCAATATTTTGTAAAACTTAAAACTTTTTTATTAGAATGTGAGTTAACAAATATTTGTTTAACGATAGGTTTATGCAAAATTATTGAATATAGGCTTATTTAAACTCGGACAGACATTTCTGCCAATAATTATACACTTAATTTAGATTTTTTTAATTTATAAATATAAATTATGCTAATTACCCATTAGTGCCCATTTAAATTTTATAATGAAATTTTTGGTTTTCTACAGATTGGAAAAATTAAACTTTGGAGCAGCAGAAGGAAAGGCGAAAGTGGTGGGAACAATAATTGGAATTAGTGGGGCAATGGTGTTGATCTTTGTCAAAGGATTCGAAATTAATATTTGGTCTCCTAAAATCAACCTTATGCATCCACATCAGAACCAAAATGGGCATATGGCATCGCATCTTGATTTTAGTAATACACTGTTAGGTGTTTCGTGTGCCATAGGAAGCTGCTGCTCTTTTTCTTTGTATTTCATCGTTCAGGTTAGCTTAATTCTTATGACGAAACAAGATCACACGTTTTGAACAAAATCTAGTCTCATTTGACATGCTTTTACACGCCACAGGCTAAGATGATTGAAGCATACCCAAGCTTCCACTCAAGCATAGCTTTGATTTGCACTATGGGAGCGATACAGGCCGTTGTTGTTGCTCTCTTTTTTGAAAGGGATTGGAACCAATGGAAGCTGAGTTACAATATCAGGCTTCTAACTGTGCTTTATACGGTATGCTCGGATATGTATACACCTTAGAATCAAATGTAGACGTTAACTTAATTATGTGTAAATTCTCAAGTTATAGATAAAAGCTAAAAGTAGCTGATTAAATGTTATTGCAGGGAATAGTAAATTCTGGAATAGTAGGCGTTGTTATTGTCTGGTGTATAAAGATAAGAGGCCCTTTATTCGTGTCTATTTTCAACCCACTACAGCTTTTACTAGGGGCTGTTGCTGCTTATTTGACGTTGAATGAGAAGTTGTATTTAGGAAGGTGCGTTTGAACTCTAAATTTTACTTCACCTTAGTGTACTTGTGTACCAATTTTATTTTTCTATTTTCACTTTCCACTTTGATGATTTGATTTGATTTGATTTGGTTGTATATCATATAGTTTGCTTGGAGCAGTGCTGATCGTATGTGGCTTATACACAGTGCTTTGGGGTAAGGGCAAAGAAGCCGAAAAGATGACTCAATTAGAAACAACCAGAGTCTAAAACTGTTCAGGTTACACTCATTGTATTTTTATCCTTCACATACATTAGTATTATCTATCACAAGCTGGATGCATTAATACGCACTGTTTAGCTTGCAAGTTCTCGTTAGAGATATATTAGTTAAAAGTAAAATATCAGGAATATACTTATTAACACGTTTTTAGTAGCTGGTTAAAATTTATTAAAATTTTAAAAAAATTATGTGAGTTAAACCTTTTTTTTTTATCCCTAATTTAATAATTATTTCTCATACTTTTATATTTTTTAATAAATTTTAACCAATAATAAAGAGTATATATTAAAAAGAATCTAAAAAGTTGATTATAGTTAGTTGGTTAATTACTCATATACAAGTTAAGCCCATTTATAAATACAATAAAGTGTTCTGACAATAATATATAATTTATTTCTAATTATTATTGTCTCTCAATTTTCATATTCTTGTAGACTCTGCCATGTATGTAATTCAGAGGTAAGTTAGTCTAGCCTAGAATATGAATTATAATTCACTTACAACAATGTATCTAAATTTTCTCTTAACAGTTACATTGATATGTAGCGACAATCATCCGGCATATCCCCAATTGTCAGTTGGAAAGACCATTTGCTGTCATTTAAAACTAATGATAATACAGATTTGATGAATTGTAACACAAAAGTTTAGCCACCAAGTGTACAAATGCTATGGAACTGTGGATATATTTTTGGCTGTAGGTTAAGTTTTCTCACAGTTAAATACCTTTTTAAAGTTCGAATATTATATGAAATAAAATGAATTTATTCTTATCTGATCACAGCAAGGGAATTTTACAACTTGCTGGCTACTTGTTGGACTGTTAGATTCCTTTTGTCGCAAATTAGTGTCCTTCGATTTTGATAAGACAATAACCAGAGCATAAATTAAATATTCCTGTTTACTAGCAACAATAATTAATTAGGTCAAAAAATTTAGAAAGGGACAATGGAGGAGATCACACCACATCAATAAGAGAAAAATCTCAAAAAAAGATTAATAATACCTTTTGAAACTCGACCAACAGGCAACCTTGTTTCTTAAGCTTTCTACTGTGAACCTCTTATACGATGCAACCAATCCGTAGTTACAAGTTGCTGTCAACATGTTTAAAATTTTAGTATAATAATTTCATTTTTTTTTTAAAATTATCGAAATATATTGTTATGTATATAGAATGCGCGCGTGATCATACCCCATTATTATTATCATCATCATCATCATCATTTATCAGCATAAATACCCAATCGGCGTGTGACTTCATCTTCTATCTATATATTTCCTTTGGTTTCATACCCCATTTGCCGCAAAACGGTGAAGATGAAGGGTGTATGTAATCTATTGCAAGAATTGAAAGCAATCGTTCTAATGGTGTTTGTGCAGATTGTATATGCTGCGGGCAATGTGCTCTACAAGCTCGCCATTAACGATGGAATGAGCATCACTGTAGCCACTGTCTACCGCCTCATTTTGGCATCGGCTTTCACAATCCCCATTGCTCTTATCTTTGATAGGTCCATCGTTACCTCGCACTTTCTTTTGGTTACACAATACACTTATTATTAGGAACTTCAGTTTCTGAAATTTTGTTTTCATTCGTGTGGATATTTAGATTTGTATATTTCATATAGTGGGCGCTGCATAAAAATTATTACTTATACAAAAGCACTTAGCATTTTCAAATGCTTTTGCATAAACATATATGTATATTTTATAAGACAAAGCCATTTCAAAAGTCCTTTTTGTGAAAAAAAAAAAACATTTTTTATGATTTTATTGTATAAATTGGATTTCATAATATCCATCTTTGTGTTTATTTTGTAGTAAATACTTAATTTGATCCCTAAATGTTTTCATTGTTTTTATCTTCAGTCTCTAAATATTTTGCTTTCAACAGCTTAGTAATCAAGTATATTAATTTATTGATATTTTCGCGCCTTTCCATTACAAAATAAAACTATTTTATAAAATCAGAGTAAAATATAATAAAATTAACAAATTTGAGAACCAAATTGTATACATGAACACTTTCAAGGACCAATTAGTTATAAAATAAAATTTTATAAAATCTAATACATTTGAAGATGAAATTGTATAAAATAATATTTTTAGAAATAAAAAATAAATAAAATACCAGGGACCAATTTCTATATTTACTCTCTCTTTTTTTCAGTGGAAAGGGAGCTACCAGTATAAGGGATGATGTGATTCCCATCAAATTTTTTTTTTATTTTTTTTTACTTAAAATTATAAACTTTGATTATTTTAACTTTTAACTTTACAAATATTTTATTTTAAAAAAATTTATTTATTTTAATTATTTTGTTTTTTTATTATCATTTTTATATATAAAAATTAAAATAAATATTATTGTATAAAATTAAAGATTAAAGTAAATGTTTTATATAAAAATAAATATTAAAATGTCAACACTTATAATTTGAGGAATTAAATAACAATTAAAATACCTCTTTAATTCTCAGTAGGTCACGTTCAAAATCTTTCTTGATATAAAACATCACTTTCTGAATATTAAACAACCAAACAATGTAAACTTTTTAGAAATAGAATTTTGACAACGATGTTTAAATGTTTAGAATTATTATAAACTCTTTGAGCATAAGACCGGCGTTTTAGCTCAAAAATTATTTTGTTTTTCTTTTTCTGCACAGCAGGAAGAAGAGATCAAAGATTACTTGGAGAGTACTGTTTTTGGGATTTCTTTGTGGATTATTTGGGTATGTTGCAAAAATTATTGAGTTTTAATTTTTGCCATATCATAAATACTATATATTTTCCAAAACTTAGGGTAAGGATGGTTTAGGGTAATTAATTAACTATGCCGACATGGTTACATAACGTTTCAGGGGAAGTTTATTTCTAAACCTTTATTTTGAGGGCCTGGCTTTGACTTCAACAACGTTTATGATGGCAATGCTCAACCTTAATCCAGGCATCACCTTTATCATGGTCATATTGTTTGGGTATTCACCTCTCCCACACTATACATTTTTCTGAAGCCTTCATTATTTGAAAATTCTTTGAAGGGTCTTACGGATGAAATGGGGATGAAATCAAAGTTTTAGTAAAATATGAGTTTTGTGACATATATTAAAATAAAAAAGGAAAGAAAAATAAAACTTTTGATTGCACTTAAACCATTTTTATATGTAACCACTTTCTCTTTCAATTTGCTTTAACAAATCTATCATTTACAAAAATAAAAGTTATCATTTGCTGACAAATAAAAATGATCAAGTGTTAAACTAATTTTTATTATAGTATAGTGTTTGCCTTACAAAAAATAAATCGTTGATATAGATTATGATGTCTTATGCTAACAAATAATGCATTATACTAATTAACATTTGAAGTATTGAGAATATATGTTAACAATTTTAATAACAAAATTATTTATTGATGTATATATCATATTGTTAGTATAAATTCACAACATTTATACCTACTGTTTCATTTTTGTTAAAATGCAACACTAACAAAGGTTAATCAAGCATTAAAGTGTTAGTGAATAATATATTTTTGTACCGTAAGATTAGTTGCGTCACAACGTAAGGTAAATATTAAATGATAAAAACTAGAGAAAATCTCAGTTATGCACTCTCAATTTATAATGACTCTGTTTATAAATAGAAATTAATTATTTTAATAATTAATTATTTCTCATAGCTTACGTTTTGATTTTGTATAGATTCGAAAAATTAAATTTGGGAGCAGCAGAAGGAAGGGCCAAGGTGATGGGGACAATAATTGGAATTAGTGGGGCAATGATTTTGACTTTTGTCAAAGGGGTAGAAATTAATATTTGGTGTTCAAAAGTCAACCTCATTCATCCACATAAAAGCCAAAATGGGTGGCATGGTGATTTTAGTAACAAATTTTTGGGTGTTCCATGTGCCATAGGAAGCTGCTGCTCTTTTTGTTTGTGGTATATCATTCAGGTTAGCTCTTTATTTCTTATGAGGGAACATATTGCACAACAACATCTTTAGATTCTAACCTCATTTCATATCTAAAGATTATTATGTGAATATACTGTTTAAGTTGCGTTATCTATTTTCCACGTACGGCACAGGCTAAGTTGAATGAAGAATACCCAAGCCATCTCTCAAGCTCAGCTTTGATGTCCATAATGGGAACAATACAGGCCGTTGTTTTTGCTCTCTGTATTGAAAGGGATTGGAGCCAATGGAAGCTGGGTTACAATATCACTCTTCTAACAGTGGCTTATTCGGTATGCTCGTTACATTGTTGATAATTTTGACAGCGTTCAGAACATTTTATGAAAAAATTGTGATTTCTATAATCTTTTGTTTACTTTATTTCAATATTATTCATAATTAAATTTATGTCTGAGAATTTTATATCGTAAAAGTTTATTGAATAAGTGTTAAATTAAGTTTTTTTTTTTAAAGTACCCTTAACGTAGAATCAAAATTAAAGTTGTTTCATGCATGTATGATTAAATGTTAATGCAGGGAATAATGAATTCTGGTATAGTAGTCATTGTTATTGCCTGGTGCATAAAGATGAGAGGTCCTCTATTTGCATCTATTTTCGGCCCACTGCAACTTTTACTGGTGGCTGTCGCTAGTTATTTGATGTTGAATGAGAAGTTATATTTAGGAAGGTACGTATATATAAAGTTTACATTTTATTTAATGCTATTAGTTATTATAGTATATGTATTACATGTTAAATTTTATTTACCTTAACTCATGTATCTATTCATCGTTTTTTCTTTTCTGTTTAGTCTTCCAAATTTATTATTTGATTTGATTTAACTTGGTTTTGTACATATAGTTTACTTGGGGCAGCGTTGATCGTATGTGGCCTATACACAGTGCTTTGGGGTAAAGGCAAAGAAATAAAAAAGAAGACTCATTTAGTGTCATCAGAAACCGCCAGAGAATCCGAAACTGTTGAGGTTGCATGTTATGTCCACGAGATATGATAAAATGTTCATAGTTCCCAGAGACAAATCAATACTAACGATCAATAACTATTTATCGATCAAAAGGAAAATGATGATTTGTAACTCTAATCATTCGGCCCCAGAAGTTGCAACCATTCACTAAAGAAGCTTGGGTGAGGATTCTCCTTCAACTGGTTCCTTTCACCTCTTGCCTTTCACTCTGTCAAGAAAGACTCAAAGCCACAAGCCACCATCCCTGTAACTCTTCAATTTTCTGTTAAGATCTATCTTGCAGAGGTACTCAAATTAGATTAGTGATCAAATTCTAGGTCGGCGCTGGATGGGAATCAGTATATTAGCATAACAGAAGAATGATAATTAGATGCTTACATCCAATTTTAAAGAAAAGTAAAATCAACGATGTTGTGTAGGAAAGTAAGGGTAATAAGAGACCTGGCCATGCTGCTTTAACTTCAAATTTATTAAAAGCTTTTGGATTGAGTTCAAGGAAGACTATCTTTTTATAACTGATTTTGACAAAGCATATGACTAAGTGAACTGGGATTTCTTTAATATATAATGGTTAGGATGCATGGGCTTTTGATATAGATGGTGACAGGTAATTATATGTCATCTTTTGCTCCTTTATTTTTTTTTATGTTGTTGAAGGTTTGGGAGGATTGCTGATATTGAAGTCTCTAATCCATAATTTGCAGGTGACAATTGGTAAGGCATGTTGGGAAAATATATAGGTAATTAAGAGTGTCATGTCCTACTTTGAATTATGAATTATCATCAAGATTGATTAGTTTTCACAAAAGCAGTCTTGTGGAAACTAATATTGAAGGTATATTTTTTTATAAAATTATATCACCTTCTTGAATTGCAAAACATCTAAGTTTTCCATCACTTATTGTATTCATAAGTTAATATATATGATGTTTATTAATTTTGTTTGAAATATGTTCAAAATATATATTTTATTATTCAATTTCATCTGAACTTTAGATACATAATTAAATTTGTTTAAAATACATCTAAAAATATAAACATTATCTGTCCTAAATTTGTGCAAAACAAAAGCAAACCAAGTTTACTGATTTATTTCATTTGAAACCATCCAAATTTATTATGACATGCTATCTGTCCTAAATTTATATCAAAATATAGCTTTTGTTATCGATCAATTCGCCTTACATCCATCTGAAAAAGTAATTGCTGATCGAACGTTGCCTTTACACGGTGCTTTGGGGAAACGGTAAAGAATTGAAAAAGAAGAAATCAGTTAGTGTCATTAGAAACCGCCAAAGAATCCGAAACTGTTGAGGTTGCTGTTATGTCGACGACATATGATGAACAGGTTGAAAGCTACCGGAGCCAAACCAATACGAACGAGCAATAACTATTTATCAAAAGATAAACGGAAATACTGTTCAGATTCAACCAATAAAATTCATCCATGTGTATTCATATGAATTCGTAATTTTGTTGTGCTAAATAGCAATGCTCAAAGAAAAATGATGATTTGTAACTCCAATCAGATACATATATGAGATGTACAATACATGTCATGTCCTACTAACCCATATACTTTGATGTTATTTTTAACGAGTTTTCCGAGTTCTTGAAATTAGATTTGGTATATTTTGATGACGGGTTTTGCTTCATAATTCGGGTTGAAACAACCCGAAAGATAAACACGTCTTCTGTACATTCTGAGATATATCCTTAGGAAAAGAAAAGGAAAAAAAGTTAAAAATAATGGATGATAAAATAAAAAGAAGAGAATAGAGTAGATTTGAGATGATTGATTTGAATAATCATTTCATTTAGTAAAAATGAAGTCATATTTTGTTTGGTATTCAAATATCGCTACTATATATACATATATAAAGCAATTTTGATAGAATTTAATCAAGCTTTAATTTTACATAGCCTTTCTCTTATACTAACTCACCTTATTTATCTCTATTGTTTGTGGCTTTTCTCTTAATTTAAACGTAATTAATATTTTGTTTATTTATTTATTATTATTATTTGATGTAATTTAAAAAGAAGTTTCATTTTTTTATTATTTCGTTCCTATGTGTGAGCTTAAGATGACCGACTGATATCAAATTTTAAAAGCTTAAATTAGTGATTTCAGTCATTAGTAAATAGATATGTGAGCGCTAATATACACTCAAACTATTTTAGGTGTTTTAACAGAAAATTAATTTTTTTAGCAATTTTATAATTTAACTCCAAATAAAAACCATCTTGATTAGCAGTTTTATTCTAACACTTTGAAAAGACAATCTTTCTTAACGGTTTTAATTTTAAAACTGTTAAGGAACACAATCTATTTTAGTGATTTTTTTCAACTATAGCAATCTTTTTTAGCAGTTTTCATTTTAACAATCACTAAGAAAGACAACATTATATTATTTAGTTTTTACTATTTTTTTTATATAATTAAACACCTACCTTTAATGAATATAATATCCAATTTTTGTAATCAATTCCTTCAAATTTAGTTATACTACAAGGTACAGCAGATTTGAAGTGTTTGAAATATAATAAATTTGTCATGAACTTAATTATATATCGACAATACAAAATGAACTTATAATTAGGTACTGCCTAAATTCATTTATACATCTTTAACAATTATACTTTGATACAACTAAACACAATTGGAATGAACAAGAAATTGTCAAATGTTACAAATTTGTAACTAGAGTCAACCCAAAAAAATTCCTCTTCAAATGAACAAGAAAATTAAATCTGTAACCTCACAAAAGAGTACTTCAAATTTATATGATTCATCCTGCAATCTGGCTATACATATATACTCTAAACAAAGTAAACGTGAATGAATTTGTCAAATGGTACTCTAAATAAAGTAAAAAAATAAAGTAGTAAAATACTAAACATGTTAATAAATGTATATCCTATTATCTAATAATGAAAAAAATGAATACATGAAAAAAATAAATACAAATTAATTAATTTTATAACTAGTTTATCAAACAATTTTAATTTTATAGTTATAAATTTTCCACTACAAATTCACAATTTTGACTTTCAACTCGTTTTATTAAATATATTATATTATTTACTTTATTACTTATATTATAACAATGATTAACAAATTTTGGTATTAAATTTAAGTTATCTTAATTTAAGTATAAATATAACACATTTTGTATTTTTTTTTATTTTTGAACATTGTGAACTTATTACTTAGAAGTTGTCACTTCATAATGTATTCTAATTTATTACAAAGTAAACTAATTAAAATAAAATTGTTTTATTTAATAATATGAATAGTGATGAAGTATCACATTAATACCTAATTTATCACATACTAAGATTTTATATATATAATTTTAAAACTAATTTTTAATCATAATTTTAAAGATTAAATTGATATATCTTTATAATTTTAAAGATAAAAATGACTAATATCTTGTAGTTTCAAGGGGTATAATTTTTTTCATAATAACATAGATTAAATTGATAGATACCTATAATTTATGGATTAACATGACTGATTTCATAATTTTAGGAATTCAAAAAATTGATTTTTAATCATTTAAAAATTTATTTTTAAAATTTCAAAAACTGTAAATATCTACAGGAGACTAAAATATACATTACTTCATTTTAAATATTCATTACAGAATCAACTATTAATAATGCTTTTACAATTACTTGATTCCCCGTGGATACCATTATTTCTATTTTTCTTTGATTTTTATTTTTATAAACACATCTGAAATATACTCACCGTAAGTAAAGAAGGTACCAAAAGATTCAGTTTAGTGTTACAAAAATTTTGAGCTGATATATGGCACCAAAGTCAACAACTTCAGCTGCAGATCTTTCCTTTTGAAACTTACCAACAGGCAACCTTGTTTTCTAAGCTTTCTAACCCCTTACCCGATGCAAACCAATGGGTGGTACCCAATAGGTTGCGGTCAAGATATTAAATCATAAAATATAAAATTAAAGTAAAAGGAAAAGACACACAAAATCTCGCACAAACTTAAAGTCATTTTGTCTCCTTATCACTGCTAAACTGCATGTCTGCTTGAGATACCAAGGGACCCAATATCATCTCCAAACAGATCCTCTGCATTTGTACAGCTTTTTCCAGCAAAATAAATTCCCTTTAATTAATTGTGTAATTACTTAACTTTAAATATTATAATATTTTATAATTTCTTAACTAAAATTTAAAGGTTGAGAAGTTTGCTGCAGAGGGATGCACCGCGGAAGAGGATCTGACTTCTGAGTCTATATATCACTAATTCCTTCCTTAATATTTTTATCAAATTGTTACATATTTTTTAAAAATTTTATTCAAAATGCATATTTATGAGCATTAAATACGCTTTTTTACTATAAAAAATATGTAATAAAAAAATTATTTTGAATTTCTTAACGCGTGTCATTATGCTCGCGTTCAAAATATAGATTGTTATACAGGCATATTCTATGCTATAAAAAAGAGTTGATGAATCTATTACCCAATTTTTATTCCAATAAGGCAATGACAACCCAAAGTTTAATATAGTCAAAACAACATGGGGATCAGTCGCTGTTGCTTCTTATTCTTCTATGTGCTGCTCCACCCAGTCTATTAAAACGTTTGTGCTTCGAAAAGCTAGGAGTGCATTTTAGTCAAAGGAACTAAATTATGGATACTTTATACAATATTGAAGCTATAGGTAATGTGAAGCCTGTACTGCTAATGATAGCGGTTCAGTCTTTATATGCAGTGGTGAATATCTTGTTAAAGTTGGTAGCAGATGATGGAATGAGCTTAAGTGTTCTTATTGCCTACAGATTCATATTTGCTTCTGCCTTCATTGTTCCGGTTGCTCTCATCTTTGAAAGGTGATTCTCTTTTGAATAAGCTTCCCATTAGTGTTAGGAAACAAAGACTACCTTTCTGGACATAACAATTTTTCATGTAGTGAAAGAACTCATGCTGACAATACACATTAAAAAATGTTAGTTTGAAAGAGAAATTATAAATAAATACTTTTTTTTGGCATGTTTCGCTAGGAAAAGCCTGCAAAATCTTACTGGGCAAGTTCTATTCCAAGCTCTTCTTTGTGGGTTATTTGGGTAAGTTTCTAATTGCCTTAATCGATTTTACTGTTTTTAATATATTTTCAATTATTCATTAAAATTTATTAAAGTGCGAGAAAAAATTATTAAATTAGAAGCAAAATTTACATAATTTTTATAACTTTTAATAAACTAATTAAAAATTAAAAATTTGTTAAAACATTATCAAAAAGTGCATTACTGCTGTTCCTCTATTTAAAATAGTCAATTTAAGCAAGAATTTGAGATGCGTATTTAAAATTTTTCAGGGGAACCTTACTACAAAACCTCTATGTTAAATCCTTGGCCTTGGTATCTGCAATGTATGCTACAGCCATGTTGAACCTCATCCCTGCTGTGACCTACATCTTGTCTGTTTCTCTTAGGTACGCCCCACAACTTTGAATCTAATCTATGAATCACCACCGTTTATGAATATCATTTGATCCAATCTTTGAAAGCCATTTCATCTCTATCACTGCTTGTTGCAGACTTGAAAAGTCAAATCTTGGAACACTGCCTGGGATGGTCAAGTTTCTAGGCACTCTAACAGGAATTGGTGGTGCCATGATCCTCACTTTCTACAAAGGAAGAAGGATAAGCATCTGGTCAACACACATTGACTTGGTGCAACAACATGCTGCTGCATCACCACATGGTGCTCCCACTGGTTCACGCTTGTGGGGCTGCATGCTAGCTCTGGGAACCTCTCTGAGCTACTCTTTTTGGTTGATTATCCAGGTTACTCATAATATCCTTCAATAACTTTTGTGAGTTTTACAAATATGTGTTACAATCTCATGGGCACAGTACTATGTTACTAATGCTACAAACTTCAGGTTCTATATGTTATGTGAGTAATGCTGTATTTTCTAGATTTCCTTATTAATCTTTGTATTTAATTAAAATATATTAATAGTGTAATAATGATTTTTTATATTATTGTCCAATCAGAAATTATCATATAATTAAAATTTTTTAAATTTTAATAATAAGTATTTTAAAAGTCACATTTAGAGTAATTTCTAAGTAGTTGATTGTGTAAAAACTTTTATACTAGTAGTGTATTGCTTAATCTTTAATTTTAGATATTGATTGTCATAATAAAACAGAAAATTTTAATACTTAAAACTTTGTTTACTTACTAAATAGAATGATGTGTAAGAAAAAAATGTTTGTAGGATTTATAATTATTCTTTAAATTTAGCCATCTTCAAACCTAAAGCAAACTCACTGAGTAATTTTATTTTAGTAACATAATGAATTTTAATAAGCACAGACAAAGATGAGTAAAAAGTTTCCGTGGCACTATTCAATTGCGGCATTAACATCTGCAACGAGCTCAATCCTATCCATCATATATGCCCTTTGTACGGAGAGAGATTGGACGCAGTGGAAACTTGGCTGGAACTTGAGGCTTCTAGCAGCAGTTTCTTCGGTAAATGTTTGCTTTTGGTGCTTTCTACATACTACTCTCCCTTGCCATGAGAAACACGTACAAAAAAACAATTGCAAGGTTGGAATAAAGTTAATTAGAATATATAATTGGATGCTAATTTTTGCTTTGCAGGGTGTCTTTGCCTCTGGAGTGTGTTATCCCATGTTAGCATGGTGTGTGCGCAGGAAAGGACCTCTCTTTGCGTCTGCTTTCAGTCCTTTTATGCTTGTCATAGTGACCCTTGCCGGCTCATTGGTACTAGATGAGTCTCTTCACATCGGAAGGTGAATTGAAAACAGTTTTGTAATTGTTAAAATATATTAAAAATATTATATAATATTTTTATTATATATGAGAATCTTGATTATAACTTAGACTTTTAGGATTTTTTTAAATATATTTAAGAGATACTATTAAATTAATCAGTTGTTTAAGTTTAAGTCGTAAGTATTAAATAATTATTGGTTATGCACTGTACAGTCTAACAGGATCAGTGTTGATTGTGAGCGGATTGTACATGTTGTTGTGGGGTCAAAATAACGAAACATGGAAGGGGGAGACTGAGATGGTGTCCTCAAAAGGCTTGGTTCAATGTGATTCAGTCCACGTTGCTGACCCACCCTTGGCATGCAATCAAAGGGAGCATGACAAGAAGATTGCTGCAAGTGTTCCTCCATATACACCGTCAAGTGCGATTCATTGTTTAGGCGAAGTTCAATAATCGAACATTTGAGGATCACAATTCATATGATCAGTTTACGGTGGTCAAGTTATTGTATTATTTATTACGCTGTTTTAGTGGGATATCCTTCCTGAAACTAATTTTTGAATGGGATATTTGCAATACTTTTAACACAAACATCAACTGATTATTTGCTAAAGTAATTATTTCTCTACATTCAGTATCTTTTATTTTCATTTTCTGTATTTATTTTATCTATTCTCTTTTTCTATCGTATCATTTATTACATGCTCTTCCTACCCAAACACACTCTATTTTAAGAATGTGAATAAATCATTTTCATTTGCCTAATTACGGTGAGTTGGATCCTCAATGGTTTGAAACTTCAGCTTGTCACTTTTGGAATGAAAATGCTATTTTAACACCTAAACGAGGTGTCTCGTACATACGCTGTATGTAATGTTAGCAACTGTAAGTGAAAAATAGTAACAAAGTCAAGTCCAAAACGCTTGCCTTCAGTCTTTATTCTCTTCACTCTAGCGCACACTCTTTGTTCTCTTTGCTCCCGCACACTCTACTCTCACAGCACCCTCTCCCTCATTCAAACCTCTATTTCGAGTCAATCCCTTTGAGTATCAAAGCTCCTCCATCCCAAATCCACTTCCCCCACAACTATTTTTACCCTCCCGTGCTCTTTGCTTTTGCGCTCTCTTCTTCCTGTTTACTTTACTCTTACTCAGTACCCTCTCCCTCCTTCCATCCTTTGTTTCGAGCTCTAAAACATCAAGACTTCTGTTCAGTGGAGTGTCCGGTGTCAAACACGACTCTGACACCGACACTGGTGTGATGCAGCTCCGACACGCGTTCGACAGGTAGCCAAAAATTTAACACAGTTTTTCGGCTCCAACACAGCTTCGACCCGGCTTGGATAAGGCTCGACATGGGAGATACGACTCTAACACCATTAAAATTATTTTTAAAAAAAAATTTAAAACTGAAAAGGTTAAAAAACCTTTCATCCACATTAAAACTCTCTTCTTTCTTCCTTCCTCCGCATATTTATGTTTCTGTTATGCAATGTTGCATTTTCTCTGCATTAAGTTTGTACAAAAACAAAATCCCCAATCTCATCATTATTACTCAACTTAAAGTCTTCCATACCGTATAACCTTTTTGCAGAGTAATACCATAAAATAAAATGACATTAGTGCTGAAATGATCAAAATTTCTTCTGAATTGGACAACCCCAACATTGGTAATGATGAATAATGCAATGGTAATTTCATTTAAAGATGGTGGTGATTAAGCACAAAAGTTAGTAATCATGCAGGTCTATCCAAATTTTTTTTTTCCACACCTCTGCCAAGTCTTAGTGAAGAGATTTTATGATTTCTTTAGTTTGTTGCCCTTTAACTCCAAAATTAACACACAAATATAACTTGCTCAAATTAAATTCAAGTACAATTTTCTTTAACAAGGTTAAATGTACAAACATCAATTCAAACACATAATTCATAAATATATTAACTTTATTGCTAAAGTCAAACCTACTATAAGGACTATAAACTTTTATACTAAGTTTTAATTCAACTTCCACGACTATTATAAAATAAGAAACTATAACTTAAGGACAACATCAAAGACCAAATCCAACCTATCTTTTGGTGGCAGTGTGTAAAAGTAGTTGATCATATATTTTTCCTTTGTCACGGTTCATAGGTTTTCCATTATAAACATTTACTAACTTTTTTTCAGTAGCACTTAACTGCATATCATGAAGAGTATCAAAAACCTCGAAATACAATACAAGGCTCATCTCTTCTCTATCACTATCACCAAGAAATATTGCAATAAGATATGTAAATAACTGTACAAAGCACATAAGATAATGTTATAGATGAGAAACCAATCAGCAGTGGCTAATCCCTCACTGTTCAGGAGACTATGCAACCATGGAAGAGCTACAAGAAGTGATAGATTGGTCTCAACTACGAATACATGACAAGACAAACTGTATGATTATACTTATTTACTCCTTTAGAATGTAATAACATATTATTTTAAAAGGGTTGTGAATTTGGCACACGAGTTTTGTTATTAATTTTCATTTCAACTTTGAATCTACAAGTGGGATTGCTAAATGTGTCGGGTACAGGGTACTTCAGTGGCTGGTTAAGCCTATTTGATAAGGGAATGGAAGAGGATTTAAAAATTGAAAGTTGAGCCTATTTGATAAAGGAGTGGAAGAGGATTTAGAAGCTGAAGGTAGAATACAAGACAAAACATGCAATTTGCAAATAAATTCTCATAATGCCTAAAATTAGGGTTGTCAAAATGGACTTAATCCGATAGATTAGTCTGGTTAATCCACTAAAATTAGCGTCAAGCTAAATGATTTAGATTTAATAGATTGTCTAGTCCGCCTTGTTTTGGCTTGCCAAACTGTAGGCTAATGGCAAGTCAGCCCGTCAAGCCCATTTTTTTATTTTTAAAATTAAAAATAATTAAATATTAATTTTTATTAATATAAAAATATTTTTTAAATATTTTTTATTATTTATTGTAGTTTTTTTTAGTTAATTTTTAGATTGATTCATTAATTTAATGGTCTACCAACCTTTTTTTTTCATTCTTTAGTTTTTGACAGGTTAGACCATTAACTTGCCCGGACCAGCCCATTTTTAAACAAGATGAACTAAAAAATCTAGTTTATTTTTTTAAATAGAACATGCTCAAATTAGTCTAGTCTATTTTTAGACGAGTTAGAACGAGCTAGCCCGTTAACCTGCCCAAACCAATCCACTCTTAAATGAGCTGAACTAAAAAATCTAATTCATTTTTTAAACATAACGTACTCAAACTAGTTTAGTCTATTTTTAGAAGGGTTAGAACGAGCTAATCTGTTTTGCCATCCCTATCTAAGATAAACATTTATAGTGGTAAATTCTAATATTCTCCCTTCTTTTGTAAGAAGTAAGATAAAAATATCTTTTTCAAAAGCATTCAAACATTTTGGTCGGTTGATCAAGATCGGATGGTTAAAAATGAAAGACAGAAACTAGTGATACAAGTTATATTTAGAAAATAATATATTAGTAATTTCTCTTTCTTATTCTATTCCTCTTCTTTGTCTTCCTCCCTTTTTTTCTTTAATGTCAATAACAGAAAAATATGAAAAAACACTAACAAAAATTAGAAAATATTAGAATTTTAGAATCTAGTTTTTGCAAACCCCCTTCAAGATTTTGGGTTGGACAGATATCAAAAAATTATATAAAATAGACATATAATTTACATAAATTTGAGTTCTATTCAAAAGTTATACACTTTCAAAGTTTACGACGTTAAAGTGAAACATTATTCAAAAAAATTTACTACTTTCTACATTGATTTTATAAAAGAATCGATATAAAAATAACTTTTTTAAAATAAAATTCTGCATCAATTAGAACCGATATAGAAAGTAAAAACTTTAACTTTTTATATTGATTCTCTCGTAAAACTGATGTAAAAGTAGTGACGTTAACTTTTTATATTTATACTTATGTAAAACAGATTTAAAAAATAGCAACATTAACTTTCTACATCTTTACTTCTTGTAGAACTGATGTAGAAAGCAGTGACATTAACTTTCTGCATCAGTTCTCTCACAGAATTAATCTAAAAAAGTAACATTTAAAAAGAAAACATTTTACATTGTTGAGAAAACCGATATAGAAACATCCAATGACACTGGTTTTGAATTGTGTACAAAAAAAAGAAAACATTGTCTACATATTCAAAACTCAAAAGCCTTAACTCTTACACCAGTACTAACCCATATCTCTGAAGTGACAAAGATAATTAGAAAAACTAATTTTTTAGTGATGTTTTGTTTGATTTTAGAATTTTAATAATAAGAAAAAAAAAGAAATAAAGTTTATTTATTTATCTTTTATTAACATATTATTATCTAAAATAGTTACATGTTATTTTTTATTATTAACATTTTCATCTATCAATCTTATTTCATCTACAAATATCACGGCTTAATGTAAATTCCATTTTTCTTGGTTGAAAAATATTATTTTTACTTCTAGCTAAAGAGTGAAAAGATTAGAATTCACCGTAGTTAGAATGTTAGATTGTGTTTTTGACTAACTAGTGCTTCAAAAAATAATCATGCAACCCTCTCCTCCCCCAATAAAAAATCAACACAACACACAGACATCAAACGTAAACACCCTTAATGTTTTCGCAAGCTTTAGAAGGGACATTCGTAGCTTCAGCGGCAGGGGAACTGAGAGCAGCAAACAAAGAAGCACAACCTTGACCATTCTTCGCAAACCAGAGGAGGGTGAAAAGGATGGTGAGGAAAGCAAATTTGGGGTGGAAGGCTCGAAACAGAGAATGGAAAGAGGGAGTACTGCGTGAGAGTAAAGTGGAAAAGGCGTGGAGGAGCTTTCATACTCAAAGGATATGGCTCAAAAAAGAGGATGGAAGGAGGGAGAGGACCGCGGGAAGCAAATAGAACGAAGAGAGTAAGCCAAAGTGAAGATAATAGATTTTAGGGCTTGACCATACTCATGAGTCATGCCTATTTTTCAGAGCGTGTAACTGCTACAATAAAATGGGATGTAATACAATGTCTACACATGAGCACATTAAAATAGCAAAATTGAAAACCACAATTGTGCATGAATGAACCCAAGTTCAAATAACTCATTACCATGCGCCACTATATTATATACAATTTATACCGCTGTATGTGCCATCAATACCATCATCGTGATCGAAAAGTACAATAAAAAAAGTACAAAGGAAGAGAACAGACGATAATGTGTTATAAGATGATGATCGATGTAATAGAAATTTTTTAAAAATAAAAAAGTTTGAACAATATAACTCATCGTACAAACTTTCTTTTTTACACCAAACTGATGCATACTTTTCCGTCTTTGGTTTATGCCTCATTGAATTTCTGTGCTGCATAACTTTTCAGATTCTGCAGTAGATTTCATCTCCTACAAGTAGGGCTAATGCTTCACCCGCAGAGCTCTCCAATCTTTCTGCTTCTTCCAGATGTAGAAAGTAGAATTACTGAGCTTTAAACTTGTTGGCAAAAATAACAAAAAGCAAAAGAAAATGGAAAACCTTTTTTAATCTCCCAAAATTTGCTGCTAAATTATTGATTTGCAGTACCTCTTTAACCTTAACATTAAATAATTATTGTGTATTAAACAATGCATCCCATATAGATTGCCAAATTAAAAGATATAAGCAACTGAATGACAAAACTATGGTATTGTTATATGGTTAGACCGCTTTATGTGCCACCAATACCATCATCGTGATACTGCTGTTTTGGATTTACCTTCACGATAGTGGTAATCACCAAAAATATAACCTCGATGCTTCATTCCTCTAGGATTTCTCTGTCTGACATTACACATTGTATGTACTTTTTGATTAATTGCTCTCTTTTGATAATTCTGTTTTGAATTATCCTTAATTATGGCAATTAATCTCAAAATATCAAACCTTGTTTGTTATGGTTATGAACCCATACACCAGAGTTGAAGAATTGAATGAAAGACAGAAAGAACAAGAATGAATATGTAAGTTGAGAAAAATCAAAATTTTAAAAGAGAAGGGGAGAAATTTCCTTCCAAGGGTTTCCCCTTCACAAACGGTTGCCCCTTTTACAAATGAGCTAGTGCTCTCTTTTCTGATACTAACAATGCTGAATGCTCCTCCTTCTTTTCCGTTCATACTAATTAAGCTAATCCATGTAACAATTATGCAACAAACTACTCTAATAAACTCTAATTATATAACTATTCTGTGCATATGTTGATTCTGGCTGCCTGCTTTTATATTTTTATTTGGATATGTCTTTGAAATCTATGAAGGCTGAAACTTGTAATACTATAATATGGTTGCTGAAGCAATTGCAAATTTTAAAATGAGATCATTCATAATGGTTGATTTCCCAATATTTATTTTCCTTTATGATTAATGCCAAGCAGCATTGTTACTATCCTACCATATTCTAATGTTTAGTGAACTCATTGTATTTTCTTTTTCTCTTATTTGATTTTCTGAGTTTTACAGCTTCGTTAGTTGAAAACGGAAAATTCCTCCTTCTGCCAAGAGGACAATGACAACAACTTAAACAGAGTATGATATTTCCATGGAAGCTGTAAAAATTTTTCTTTTATAAACATTGTTTTTGTTAAGTGTATCCAAATTAAACCTAAAACTAACTAATCTAAGATCCCAGCTAGAAGAGTGAATTCCAACTCCCAAAAGTAAAACATAAAAATTCATGATCTCACTAACCGCAGGCTTTAATTATCACAATGCTTTAGGTGGAACTTAGAGATGATGATCTTTCTTTCTTTCTTTTTTCAAAATGTCTACGTTCAGGGGAATATTTAGGTTCTTATTGCATCATGAATTTACCACTTATTCCTTACACATTTTTTATTGTTTGTTGTGAGTAAATTTACTAATAATTTCTGTTGTATCGTACTTCCTTAACCAGTGTATCAGAATGGGCCATTGTATGATCCAGTGTAACTAGTGAATCCCTGATGTAAAGCCCTTAGAGCGTTCATAACTTGTAACGCCATAATATCCCCAGCCAACAATGCATCATTTAACAAATTTTAGGTTCTGATGAAATCTTGATACATTAGTCTAATGCATGCTTAGTAATTGGGTGGTGCTTATGATCAACATCATTGTTGCTGCTTGTGCTTTAGAGGTTATACCTTACAAAGTGGGCATGGAAACGACTATTACCAGCACTTTAGTGTGGGACTTGTTCATAAATGCTAACAACAATGGTTCCTCTGGATATCAGTTATGATTGTTAAGATGAGTTGGAACAAATTGCAGATACATGTAATTGTCCAAACAGGCTTCTTAACTACTTTCTTTAAATGTCATGTAAGGCATTTGGTCTCAATTTTAACTCACTGAATTATCATAATCTTGTCTAAGAACACCTGATTATATATTTTTCTGTTCACCATTAATTTGATAAATAGTTACATTAGTATATAATTGGGTATACAATGTGACAGTTCTAAGCTTGATGTGACAAATTTGTCGCCATGCTTTTCTATATGTATTCTCAACAAGGTTTTTGTTGCCGACACACCATTCACTAAGAAGACGAGGTACAAGAACAAACCTTGTGTAAAAATATGTGGAATTTTATAATGAGTATTTATTTAACTATTAAGATCAAATTCTGTCAGCTAAAAAGTTTGCATTTTGTTTTTTGTAGGGATTCTTCGTTAATACCTCATTCATAAATCCTACTTGTTTTTATTATTAAGGTTTGAGGTATACACTGTAATCTTATAATGGAAAAATATCTTCGTTTATATTTCTTTCAATGGATATGGCATTTCGTTAAGAAATTAAGAATAAAAATGTTATTAGAAAGAGTGATCATAATACACTTTTTTCTAAAATTGTTAATACACCTTTAACATAGCTTTTAATATATATTTTAATTCTTTAACCAATGAGGGCATTAGTTAACAAGATTTTTTAAATATCAATATAATTTTAAAAGGAAGTGGTAGTTGAAGTAAATTATCATTTTGTATAGAGAATATTTTGTTGAAATATTAATTTGGTCTGCAAATTATTTATTTTTAAATGATAACTATTTAACATCAACATAATCTAAAGATCACTATTTACTGTGATCAAATTAAAAATCTTGGATAATGAAAATTTATCATTTGATGACCAGTGTAACGTTGAAAATTTAACGAACAAATCGGAGATCTATTCTTTTTGTTATGTTAATTTTAGTGCAAACTCATTTATGCTCACTTAGCTAAGGAAATGATCAACATATGGTAGAAATTGTAATCAAACCATTCACTTCTCCTCATATTCTTATATTGTCACTTTTAATTTATTTTTTTGTGTAAAAATTATATTGTCATTAATTTAATGAGTTAATATATAAAATTTATTTTAAAAAAAGTGACAAAAAAAACATTTTAGAGTAGCAATATAAACTCATCCTCTAATCTTTGGCACCTAATAATTACGTATGATAAATCATATTGAAAATTGTAGGTAAATTATATTCATACAAATTTAATAAAAGTTTATTCAGTCTCTTTCTTCAGTCTAATTTATACAAAAATTTCTTAATTTATGTAATAATATAACAAAATATTTTTTAATTACATAAATTATTCCTCATTTTTTATATAATTATATAAATTAAAAAGTCAAAGTAATAAAATAGAAAGAGGATACTGAATGAAACTTTACTATACCTTAAAGAGTGTGAAAATAATTTATTCAAAATCATAAAATGTCATATAATAACTAACATTTTTTTTACACCGTACGAGTATCATTAATTAATTATTTTATAAATAAATAATTAAAAAATATTATATAATTACTATTTTTAAATTTATTAAAAGAATAAACATTATAATTATTAATAATAAATATTTTAATATTTTAAATATAATTTAAAATAAATTATAATGCATAAAAAATTACTTTACATGATGAGAAATTAAATAACTAATATTTAAAAATAAAACTTAAATACAATTGGTATTTTAGAACCAAAATTTCATTTTAATCACGTATGTCCACCTTTAATACTAGTTTGTAAATATTTAATGTTGATATTTATTATATAAATTAATAAAATAAAATTTTGATTCGAATTAAACAATAGCACCTAATATATCTAAATTTTATTTCATCAAAAAACACTCATATTTAAAGATACTCCTAAAAATTAAAAATATTTCTAAAAATATTTTCATTGAAAAGGTAATACGCATCAATTATATTAAATATTATAGTTGATGCATGGTTTTTCACGCAATCAATTATTCTGAGACGGAAAGTTATCATACCAGACAACAACACACTTATCCATGCCTGCAAATTTCATAATCATATTTTAATGGGTGTTTTTTAATATAACCTTTTAGAATTCCTTTATGTTCGTAGAGTAATGTTTTTTCTTATCATCATTTGTACTTATGTTTGTTCATGCTTACACCAAGTGGAATATTCAAATACAGATGCTCCCAAAACTTTTTGTGCAATCAGCTGCAATTATATGAGAACAAATAATGTCTATTAAGATGTAATTGATTAAACTAATAATTATCAAATGATGTCATTTGATAAATTATTCTATATATTTTGTTATTTTCTAAAATTCATAAATAAAATGTATTTTTATTTTACTTTTAGAATTATTTTAATTCAACTAATAATTTTATCATATCGTTTATTGCTATAGGAACACAAATATTTTTTAAAATTATAAGAATAAAACTCGGTAATTTCCTTTTATAATTCGTGTTTGTTACATATAATTACATATATTTCTAAATTTACAAAATTTATTCTATTTTTTACATTTGCGTTGTGCTTAAATCTAGTTTTTTGTCGAGGAATTCACAGACTTATCCTCAATAGCCAATTATTATTTTCTACAAAAATAAATAAACTATGTTAAAGTTTTTTTTGTGATAGAAGGGATTTAATTATAATGCATTTATAAAATATTAGAAAAACCGTATAAGGTTTAAGAAACTAAAAAGATTATATATAATGAACCAAAACTTATAATTAGTAAAGATATTTTTGTTAATTTTACACTTAAAATTAATAGATGGCTACTTACGACTAATAGTTTTTGTGAATTACATTATAAAAAAAAACTATATATTAGTGTAGTATATGTATGAAATATGAAGAATTTTGTGTTATACTATAGTAAAATACTTTCATATAACAAATATAAAATAAAGGAGATAGTAAAACAATTAATTTACTCAAATTTAAAACTAAATAAACTATTTAAATTTCTTAAAATTAAATCACCAAGCTCTCCTATCACTAAACATGTGTATAGGAAGTTATTCTAATTGATTAATTTATAGATGTTATATTTTGAGTATTTTGTAATTAGAAGTGAGAATGGACAGAGCAAAATTAGTTTTTTAAGAATTTTTTGATTGAGTTTGTCCTTTATTTAAGTCTTTAAATAAAATAAATATATAATCTCAAAATATTACATTAATTATCATTATCAGTTATTAAATAAAATATTATTAATTTTAAAAGGATTTTTAGATTATTTTAAACCTAACTTTTTTTATGTAAATACACTCTTCAAAAATTCTTGACCTAATTTATTTGGTAAATAAGTTAAATCAAACTTAAGTTTAGTATAGACAAAGTCTAAATCCGATATTTAACATTGAAAAAAAGTTTCGTCACTTAAAACATTTTACTCAACTTAAATTGAATTAGTCAAATATTTAGTGTAATATTTTAATATTTTTTGTCTTAGGAAAATAAAGTAGGTCATACGATTTCTATTAATTAATAATTTGCAAAATAAGTCAGTCATATGATTTATTTAAAGATAAATCGATGAGCTAATAAGTTAGTTTATTAAAGATTTAAAAAATAAAAACTAATAATAAAATGTGAGATAACTTAATATGTCAATGGCCTAAATCACAAAAGATAAAATAATTTTTAAAAAATGATAAAACAGAAGAATAATAATGTTTTAAAAATTATTAAATAATATAAAAATAATAAATTTATATTAATATTAATTAATAAATAATCATATTTAAATTGTTTAATTTTTAAAAAAAGATAACTTGATGAAACCAATCCATCATTTACCTGCATTTTGGTGAACTAATCAAAAAAGTGTAAAAAATTGTTAATTTTATCTTCATTTTATCATATTTAATCAATCTTAAGCCAATAATTATCTCTAAATGGTAAACATATATATTAGGTTTTGATTAATTAAAACACTAAACATCATTCTTAATAAACTACAAATGTTAATTATAAGACTAAGATTCACGGTTTTTTATTTATATATAAACTGGCATTATGCTCCCCTCAAATAAGATTTAGCTGGTTTAGATTATACGTGTGTTTTGTAAGTTCAACACGTGCAAATCATTTAACTTAGGTGCTACTAATAACGAGCACTTTAGGATCTAAGCTTAAGCTTACCTTCTAATTATCTGTATTTCTTTCTTCTTATAGACTCTTTTGGAGTTTTGTATCTTAAATATGTGTATTTGAATAGTTGTGGAAATTTATTATTTGATTTATTAATTATGTTCACAATTGATTGATGTTGCAATTAATCATGTAAAATAAATTTTATACATGAATATTTTAAGTAAAAGTGATTAAAATAATTATTTTCTATATCGTATAAAAGAATTGTTTTTTAAAGTAAAATTATAAATATGCATATGAAATTATTTATAATAGTAGATTTTGTCTTTTAAATTTTTTATTATTGAGAATCAAATAAAAAGAAGTTAACTAAAAATAGTAAGTTAATAATTTTTAACCATAAGTTCTAAATTTTATTTGATTTTTCTAAAATGTGATAAAACATACATGATCATAAATTTTTATTGAAAATAATAATATATTACAAAACTAAATATATTACTAATATTAAATGCGATAATTTTTAATGGATTTTTTTTAAAAAAATTCTTAAAATATAAAAATTAAAATTAAATTTTATTTACCTTAAATAAGTTAGGTACTTCCTATTTTTCAACACACTTTGTTGAAACCTTTTAATTATTTTTAAAAAATTAATGTTACGTAAATTTATGTTTTTACTATAATAATATATTTTAATAAAAAATATTAAGAATTCAAAATAAGGAAAACTTTTAAAATCTTATTTGAGACCAAGAAAATAAAAAAAAAATCCCAATTAAAGAAAAAATTCACCTTTATTAAGTATTTACCTCTTTAATGTCTTAAGGAGCAGTGAGGTGAAAGCGAAATATTATTTTTCCTTTTATTAAAAAAATCCTGTAAAATAATATTCTTTATTACTAACTTTTGTATGGAGTGTTTGATAATTTAGTCTTAAAAAATAATTTGTTTTACATTTTTTAGAAAAATAATATTTCATTGAATTCAAAAACTAAAACAAGCATACATTTATAAATTATTGAAAATAATTAATTTTTTTTCAATTAACTTTAGCTTCTCATCTAATAATATATTTTCGGCCTCTCAAAAAAATATATTCATATTATTTGATAAAATAATATTAATATCAATTCAAACAAATTTTTAGCATATAAAAATAGTAAATTTTAATTAAATAAATAAATATTTATTAAATCAAAAAATAAAAATATAATAAATATTTTATTTTTTCAATAAAAGTTTGCTACTGCTGTATACTTAAAAATCAGTCATAAAAACTCATGTTAACAAAAATGTTAGTCCTTTCGCCTCAGTTTTTCTTTAACGTTTAAGGTTTTACTTAAAAATTACAAAAATAATTGGTATTCTAAATTTTATAAACAAAATTTACTAATTTCTTATCATACTTTCCATCTATTATTTCGATTATTTGACTTATTTAGTATTTTATAAAAAAAATATTAAGTACAAGTTAAAATTATAAACAAAATATTAATTTTTTATTTTATAAAATGATAAATAAAGCAAATAGATAAAATATGAAAAAAGAACGAAAGATGATTTTGTTTAATTTTAAAAATTTTTATTAAAAATGACATCCCTTTAAATTAAAATAAACTTGTAATATTATAAATGGTGTTCTAATTTGACAACAGCCCTCATTTCACGCTATGGTTATTTTAATAGCTTTTCTTGCTGGACATTAGAATTCAAACATATATTATATATTAGAGTCAAATTTAACCATTTGTGGATGTCAATTTTTTAATAATTATTTGTTTAGAATTATTATGAAATGATTTTTAATAAAGTTTAATTAAAATATACTACTTTTAATACTATTATTCAATTACAGATTATTATTTAATATACTATTAAAATTTTAAATTTTATAATAATTATCTGAAATTTCATAATCAGAGGGTATCTAATTAGTTGACAATGCGTCAACGTCTGTACACATAAATTAAACATTTTTTTTAAAACCTTTAAAACTGGAAAAATTATTCTGCCAGGATTTCTTGATAAAAAACAAGACACATGCATAGTATATTATATTATAATTGATATTTATAAACAAAAATTCTTGTATATTCTTACATTTTTTTAATTAACCTTAAAAAAACGTTGTCTTGTCAGTGGTCACCACAATAATATTCCAACTACATTGCCTTTGCTTCCTTCGAACTGGCGTGAACCAAAGCCAAGGGGCTTTGGCTTTGGTCCTTCGCTAGGGTTTGGGATTCACCATTTCCCATTTCGTAGCTTCTACGCTTTCTATGATCACCCTCTTACTCCTACAAATTCCCATCGTCTTGTTCCCTTGCTTCTACACTTTTTAAATTCAAAGGTATTTCCCTTTTCTCTGCATTTCTTTAAGCTTGTTTACATGTTATTCCTGCACTCTTTGTTTTCTTCATTTATTTTTCAAGCGATGATGTCCTAAGAAACCTGGTATTAGTTGAAGTTGTTTGGACATACGGGTATCTGGTTGTTGGAAAATTCTGAGGTTTTTGGCCTTGGGTTAGAGATCAAGGTTTGATTTTTATTTGGGTGCTGATGGATTTTGAATTTGAAGGTGATGAGAGTCATTTTATTGAAAGTTGAGATCTATTGTGATTTGGGTTTTGATTCCTGTATTGAAATTTGGTTGATCTGTTTGCTAAGATCGATGTTTTGATAATCGTTAGGTTCTCAATTGGATAGTGTGTTAATTATGTTTGTTGGAGTGTTGAAGATGTTTTAAATTTCCTGGATTCAGTTACTTATAGGAAACAAAACCGAAATAGGGGAATTCAATGCAGCTGTTTTTTATGGGTTTCATGTGATCTCTGTGGTTCTGCTCCAGTTCACTGAGGATCTTGAGGGGGCTTTCGTCAAGGGCTGCTGTTCTGTAACAATGCCTTCTACAGATAATCAGAGCTCTTCTTCGTCGTTTTCCTCGTTTGGCCGTTCAATATTTGGTGTCAGGCAGGAGCAGGTTCATTCTGTGGAAGCAGGTCATGAATCTGATTCCTGTAATTTGGAACTTGGATCATTCCAAAAGCGTGTTACAGATCGGTTTCACGAGCTTTCCATGGCTAGTGATGATGAATTGCTCACAATTGATTGGATGCACAAGCTCCTCAGTGCATTTATCAGCTGCCAAGAGGAATTCAGAGTCATTCTGTTGAATAATAAAGAGCATGTCACGAAATCCCCCTTGGATCGTATGATTTCTGAATTCTTTGAGAGGTCAGTGAAGGCACTTGACATTTGTAATGCAAGCCGTGATGGGGTTGAGAAGATTCGCACGTGGCAAAAGCATCTGGAAATTGTTTTTTGTGCCTTGAGTTCGAATAAGAGGGCATTGACTGAAGGCCAGTTTCGTAGGGCAAGAAAGGCACTGATGGATTTAGCATTGGCAATGCTTGATGAGAAGGACTCTGGATCGGTTTTTTCTCAACGTAATAGATCTTTTGGGCGACATAACTCTAGCAAGGATCATCACTCAGCAGGGCATTCAAGATCACATTCATGGAGTGTCTCTCGCTCCTGGTCTGCAGCCAAGCAACTACAGTCCATTGCAAATAACCTGGTTCCACCGCGTGCAACTGAGATCGCTGCAACAAGCAGGCTTGCAATTCCTGTTTATACAATGAACTGTATTCTCCTTTTAGTCTTGTGGATCCTTGTTGCAGCCATTCCTTGTCAGGATAGGGGCCTAAACATTCATTTTTCAGTCCCACGCCAATTATCCTGGAGCACTGCAGTTACCTTACTTCATGAAAGGATCATGGAGGAGTCAAAGAAGCGAGAGCGCCGGAACTCAAATGGTTTGTTGAAGGAGATTTATCAAGTTGAGACAAGCAGCCGCCACCTGACCGATGTGATAGATTCTGCTCAGTTTCCATTGACAGAGGAGCTGAAAATGGAGGTTGAACGGGATTTGAAGGAGCTAACACAAGTTTGTGAAGCTTTTAAAAATGGATTGGATCCATTGGAGCGCCAAGTGAGGGAGGCTTTCCGGAAGATAATGGCATGCCGAACTGAGGGGCTTGATTGCCTCGGCACGTCAAACTATACAGAACAATGAAAATGGTGGGTTGTTGATGAGCTATCAGATGTACAAATTTGCGGAACATGTACATTTTCCATCTTACCAGCTTTTTTGAGAGGAGGAATGACTAGGCGAGATTAGCAGAAAAATCATTTTACTCTCTTGTAATGCATTGTATTAATCTCAGTATTTGTGTAAAAAAATTATGGTAAGGTTACTTGTTAAATATTGCATGGTTTTCGCTTAATTATATAGTGGTTGCTCGCACGTACGGTAATGTTTGAAGGCCTTTCTATTCTCACCTTCATTGTAATTCCACCAAATTTCCATATTAATATGCGAGCTTAACATATTTTAAGTTTATTGCAAGTCTACCCAAGTGCAAGTATCATTTCATTTTTTAACACAGCATGCTGCACAGAACATGGTGCATTAAACGTATCAGCCGCTTCAGATATAGTCCAACTGTTGACGTATTTTGCAGAAACCTGACATGATTTAAGAGACAACGGAAATAAACCGTGAGCAACATCAAAACACCAAAACTGTTGACAAAGGAAAGAACGAGGTTAAAAAGATGACACAGGAAAGTGTTTTCTTATGTAGAAGCATGGGTGTTCTCTAAAAATTTCTTTAAAAATCAACTATTACAAGTGTACAATATTTTCTCTAGGCTCCTATTTCCTAAGCCTACAGAACTAACTTCTATGAACTTCAACAGATATGGTACAATAATGCTTTTGTTCTTTGTACATACATGCCTACACCCTGCCTAATGGCCAAAAGGCTGTATCCCCGATTCATAACAGAGAGAAGAAAAAATATATATAAAAACTAAACAAAAATAATTACAATGGCCAAGGTTCTATGCATGTCTGCTGCTCTGCACATGCCCCAAGTTTCCAGTCCCAAATGTGGACACCAATTTTGGGAGGGCTAAGATTCATCATTTTGTCCTACTGTGAGAATTGTGTTAGAAAAATACCAACTCAGTTTTGACCCTTGATGGACTTCAATTTTCCACCTCTCAACTGTTTTATGATAATGCTGTGCTTTCAGTTCCAGTGTTTCTTTGAAGTCCTTGTGTCAACCTCATTGTTTCTCTAAGTCAACAATGTTACCTGAATCCCATGCAGATTTCCTTCTTTGCTATCTAAACAGCTCTGGGAATGACCACATTATGAACTTTGCAAAAATGTCAGACTCCAAGAACTCAATATGAGCCGTCCGTCCAATAAGAGTATTTAAGTTTCTGCCATAGGAGGAAGTGTTGAAGTTGATGTCACAGCGCATGACCACACGATGGTCAGAATGAGTTCTGATTTGGTCCAAGCAATTATTTAGCATCTCCTGGAAGATTTTCCCTCTTCTAGAAAAATCCAAAGAAGCTGCTGGACATGGTTCTATTCTGGCAGAATGGTATGGAACATAACCATCCTGACATGTAATAAGCAAGGATGCGTTGTGATATATATTTTGAAATAACAAAATCAAACTGTAGCTAGATGCAAGGTTATGCAGAAGAGAAAAAGTAATTTCTAAAGTTACCTTGCAGGGAACTCTAAAACAAGATCATAGGATCCTTTATCATAAAAAATGTATATATTTTGAAAAGAAAAAAGACATACCCTTAAATAGTCATGATATCAATATTAGCTTGAATCCTAATCAGCGCAAGCTTTCCACCTCATAGATTTCTATTGATACATAAGTTACAATTTTTAGCTAAATCTTCACCTTTTAGGAAATGATCCAGTATTTGAATGCAAGTGTTTTAATAAGGAAAGTAAGTTGTTTTAATGTACGGTCGTACAAACCATGACAATTCCCATCGTAAGCATGTACAGAAGGTTACCTGAGGTGAGGATAAAAGCAGCACATTTTGGAAGTTAGCTAGTGTCCTCTCCTGTAGATTGTAGACAATAACAGTAAGCTTAATATAATAGCACTTGTTCCCTACTATAGCAAACAGAATTGCACAGAAACCTTGAAGGAAAACAACCCTGTAGTCACTTCTCCAATACTTACCTCCATTTTCAAACCCCAAACAAGCTATTATTTTCGGGACTAGGGAAAAGGAGATCTGGATAAGGGGTTAGGGATAGGACAACTTACAATTAAGAACAAAAAATTAAGCGTTCAATACCTTGGAAAGATTGTAGATGAAAGTATTCTCAAGATCAGGGTCATCTGTAAAGGTAAGTTGATGGATGCATTGTGTGCCCTTGAACTTCTTCAATATCCACAGCCCTGAATTGAATAGAGAGTTCGAACTATACATGTATCCCAAGTGTGGACCAGAAATGGAGACATATGTATGTAAGTATCTTAGGTATGGTTCCATGATGCTCTCTGGAATTATTTAAAATAAGAAAAACATGTTACTTTCCCTGGTTTAATATTTTTGGATAGCAGTATACTAGATCCTTAAAATCTGTGCAAAGATACCTGTTAAGGCTGTCCTGATAATGAGATTCCCAATAGAATGACCAACAAAGCTAAGCTTGATATCTTTTAAGTTTCCACTTCTAGAAGCTCTATCCATCTTCTTTTTCAGGAAAGAGATCACTTCCTGGGCAAGCCGTAATCCCATTTCTCTGAAGTCCCCAGATGTTTTATCCTCATTTGCCTCTGACATTAGAAACTGTACCTTGGGGTCTATTAAAAGCCATTGGTTCCGAACAAGCCGTAAATCCAAATGGTTTCCCTGTTAAAGTTTGAGTGATGAGGAATATACTTAGTCAAATCATCAATTAATGAAACAAGATGGAAAACAAGACAAAGACTAGTCAGTAGCCACCAAAACTGACCCAGGGAACAGAGGTATGAACATTAAAGCAGGAATCCCATTAACATAAACTATTAACATAGATATTCAACTTCTTTTATACACAAACGTATGTCAAAATCATCAGAAATAAATCAACAAACAAGTAAAAAGGAAAACATAAAACAAAAATAAACCAGGCCACACTAGAAAGTAAAAAGAAAAAGACATTTTATTATTGCATACATAAGTAGCATGTGTGTGTGTGTGTGTGTTTGTGTATGTGTAACTTTTTAAAGACTAAGGATTCAAAGTTGTACAAAGACATAACAGAGTGAATGATCAAACCTCAATTTTTCAGGACTATCTAAATCATTAATTATACTGTAAATTTGTTACTTCTTTGAACAAAGTAGAACAGATAAAACAAAAAGTACACTGCAAAGTTCATGATTGGTGCTCTTTGCTTAAAAATATACGAGTAAAACTTCCACTGTAGTAGAGTAGCAATCTACAGTTACAAAGGTACCACAAAGATAACTTCAAAATAAAGTCACACAAAAAAAAGGCAAAAAGGAAATTGAATAGTAGTAGTACTCTAGCTAAGAAATTATATTTCTTGATAAAAGTGAGTTACCAACAGCCAAACCCTCACAGAAGAAAAGCCAAAACTATTTAGTTTGCCCCAAGTTCCCAACTGTAATAGCCAGAAACCCTCATGAACAAGTTGTCCCCCTAAACCCTTCAGGGGCTATATAACCTTAGTGTTCAAAATTTAACCTCACAAATAAACTTCAAGTATGAACCCAATTTTGATGCTATTTGATGCAAGAGATGTGATGTGAAACAGGCACCGCACGTGTATTTTATCATATCAAGACAGCAAGAACATAGTTCTAAATCCTACCATTTTCAGTATTACTCCAGAGTACAAATTACTGCTTCAGTTTTCCAAAAAAAAGTATTGCAGACTTGTAGTTTGTAAGACAGAACCCAAAACAGATCAAGGAGCTAAAAACAACTACAAGAATGTGAAACATACCTGAAACCCATGAACAAAAACAACTATTCTCAAAATGTGTTCATTTTGATGTGGGCTACTACCACACAATTTTTTTGTGGTTCTGGGTCCATTTTCAAGAATATGTCTCACTTCATCCTCCAAAGGAATGCCATTTGAGTTCACATTGGCAGGATAGTGCATGTTTGTTAAGCATTCTACAATAATAATAGGAACAAGCAGAGGATCTCCAAATATATACATGTCTTGAATTGAACGATTGTTGATCTGCATGAGATTCACAGATATCATAAATTCCATTATTCCAGTCAGCTGAAATTATAAGATTACAAAACATTCCAGACAAATACAGTAACTTACCCTCATTTGTGCTATTCCACTCCTATGAAGTTCGGCACGCATCATTGCAGTTTGAATAGGCTGAACAGAAGAATAAGGGAAATAACATATCGGAAGAAAATGATCCAGTAAAGAAAATCCACATAACAACAGCAATCGATAATTTTTTGAAAAAGCAGACAACAATGAATTTTACGAATATTTTATGACATAACAGATCATTACATCATCAGTTAACCTTCTTGCAATTATTGAACTTCTACGTATGCCATGGGACAATGATGTCCCCTCAACTCCATTGCCCATATATTGATGAGGCATTGCAACCTTTGAGTGCACCATCCATATTGACCATTCAGTTCTCCGATCAATTGCCCAGGACTTGCGTAGAAACTCCAGTATTTTTGTTTTGTTTTCCCTGAGTAGAGTGATAAGACTGAGAGATATCATCGACTTAATAGTCAAGCTATGCATTCATATTACAAATGGAGACCATACAACAACACATGAATAACAAAAAGCAGCCTTATTCAGAACAAGTTAATCACACTTAGCCTGTCAACCAGGCTCAAGCTTGGCTAATTATAGTATGCAAAAAATATCCAAGAAAAACTTGGTAAAATCCATTCTTCCTTATGTCATAATGATCAGAATGGATGTACAACTGTAGAAGCACTAAAACAGGTACAACGACCTTAAAGCTGCAAAACCAGTAAATCTAAATAATTATTTCAACATGAAATTAGTTCAATTATACCTGTGGAATTTCAGAAATATATTCCAAAGACATAAGAGCTGATTCCCTAAAGACTCGAAAGAGCTTAACAGATGACCATCCCAAGAAAAAGGTTCAAATGATTTGGAAAGATCATTGATATAATGAGCAGCTTTCTGTTGAGGGAAAGATGAAAGTATTAAATCAGTAAATAGTCTTCAACACAGCTGAAACAAATAATGAAACATTTACATTGCCAGAATTATGGACCTCAGCACTGATGTGTGTCTCATCTGACAGTTGATGTAATGTTTCCCCATCAATACTTTTCACGTGTGCTGGTGGAGTTGAACTAAACCATTCTGTAGCATCTGCTTCAAAAGTAATTTCAGTCAAATCAATAGCTTTATCAATGCCTGTGCTTATTCTTCTCAAATCTTCAAGCAGGATATCATGGGCAGCCATCAATGCTTTGATGAGCATAACCTGATTTGAGATTTGACAATCAGAATAAGAATAAGTTACAATAGTAAGCAAAGAGATTTCTCAATGAAGTTTAGCTTAAGAAATAGTACAAATCACAATTTCAGAATATCAACTTAAAACACAATAAAAACAAGAGATATTTAAGTAAGCTAAATAAACTTGACAGAAACACTACATATCATACCTTGTTTGATCCAACATAGTCTTCAACATATGCACCTTCTGAACCTCTGGAATCACTGGTATAATTCAACAAACCATATTATTCAAAAGTTAAATGAATACATTACATGTACAACAAATAAAAGAAAGATAATTAAGTTATGTCGGTTTATAGGGTTTTAGATAGTAAACAGGAAGAGAGCATAAGAATACGAATGAATAATATGAGATAAGGGACCATTGTTTAAGCTTTTACGAAAAAATGATTTTAAGAATATATGATTTGATTTAAGTTTTAGAGATTTTATAAAAGCAGAAGTGTATTTTGTTTGATTACAACTATATATATATATATAAAAAATTTTGTTTTAAGAGGTAATTTTAATTTCAGATTTTTTTAAATATCTATTCGAAACAACTTCTCAAAATTATCAGAAATGTCATTTTTGTCTTTGTTTTTTCCCCATAAGCTTAAACAAATACACTAAAAAAAATTAATGTGATTTTTTTTTTCAAATTAAAGTGATTTGTCATAGAAAAATCTGAAACAAGCAAGCTCTAGAATCTAGATTTGATTTAATGCATATAAATGAAGCACCAATGCCTATTTAAACTAATAATTATGAAGTACTATATAAGTAAATATACTTAGTACAAGCACAAGCGAAACCATACAATAACACACCCAACCCTTATCAATTAAGGATTCAACTTCTAAGATTATTCCTCAATCAGAAGACTAACAATGATCACACAACAGCTACTAGAGTGTATATTTGAACTTCAAAAACCAGTGCTTTGACAAACCTGGATACCTTCTGTGGAGATGTGTGATAACTAGCTTTCAGTAAACTGATGTGAACGCTTGTATCAACAAGGACAGCATGGAAAGCATCAAAATGGACAGGACAATATGAATGCAATCCCAGAAGAGCTTTAGGGGGGATTTTGTATTCATGAGCCGAAGTAGCATATGCATCCAGTGAACCTTGTAACTCAGATCTGCACAATGATGCAATAAGTTCAGAGTATCATAATAATATAATCTCAGTCAAAATCAATTTCATTGTATTTAACTTTCACTTGTTCAACACACCATTGAACCCAAAAAGGGAAAGAGAATCATCAACTAACCCAGTTTCGGTTATAGGAGCATGCATGAGTTCAAACTTCAAGATAACAGCAGAGGATTGTCCCTGTGTATAGTTATTAGCCAAGAAATTTATGACACAAAAGAAAAGAAAAGGTTAGAGCTACAGAGATGGGTGCACACCAAGAAGGCAACAAGTCACAACAATTTATTTTAGAAAATATTATTAGAAAGAAAGAAGACAACCTACAACGGGGAGGGAGATAGGAGATAAAAAAATTACTCCTAAAAAGCAGATGAAAAGAAAATAGCAATCATAAGTGGCTTGAAAATGCAACAAAATTGTTCAGTTTCTTTGCATAAAGAAGTAAAAATTTACTTCAAACAGACATAAGGAAAAATATAGGTTTCCCAACCTAATATGCCAGGGAACGACGTAGCTAGCTTTTTACAACTTAAGATGTAAAGGAAAGGTTTTCTCTTTTTGCAATTAATTTCTGCATATGTCAAGGTAAATTGTGAAAATTTGATATCAGATAATATGCTCCAAGGTATAGCCATCAGCAACTCGAATTGTTGTGCATAATTAAGCCTATCTTTATATATTTTTTGACACTTAATCAATTAAAGCTATTTGCTTACATGTGTATATGAGATCATTTCAAAAAAAAGTTGTGTATAAGTATTTTCATTGTTTTCTCCTTAGCATCATATGCTGTGTACAACTGTAAATGTGTCCTGGCTTTGGTAAGCTCTTTTATAACATTTTTAGTGCGCTATACCTAGCTTGTTTGCATCAACAAAAAAGTACTTCCTCAACTGAATGCACACATGTATTAAAGAGATTCAAGAAAACATATACATAGAGAAAAACTGACCTCATATTCACCAAAAGACAGGTAGAATGAAATCATGATAGAAAGAAATACATCCTGCCTTGCATATCTAATCTGGAATGGTGGTGTTGAAAAACTGTTGTCTGTATCATCGATCATCCAAACTCTACATAAATTGTCAGAACCTACTTCAGGAGCTGCAGCTCAAAGAAAAGGATGGATTCTAAGATTTTACTCTAACTAAAACACTTAAATATAAATATAGTGCAACTTCAATACAACAAAAACAAAGTAATTATTTAGCATATCAAGCTTGTACTTGTAGGTGTCAATGTCTCATGTATATTGAAAGAGCCCTGCAGTTCAAAATAGTAAACTTAAAGAGCTTAGGAAAGTATTACAATCCACTTTAACGAGATTTGACAACCACTAAGTTGAGTAAACGCACAAAAGTACCACAATCATACTTAGATATCAATACTTAAGAAAAAAAAAATACACATACAAACTTCATACTCACAAACCTTTCACTGAACAAAACTGTGTGGCAGACAAGTGAGTCATCCATTGCTTTACCCTGCCCAAATTTCTCTGCCACTTGTTGTTTTGGGGGTTTGTGAGCATGAAGCATATGTATGCATCATTCCTCATATTTAAAAGGCTTGACTAATGTCAAAACCACACATAAATTGTACAGTGCAGCTGTACCACATGGAATTAAATGGAGATGTATGGCTTCTATATAAAACCTGTAGTTTTAAATGTCAGTCTAGGCTTTAAAATTAAAATACCAGATGCCACAAATCCCATGAAGATATCACGTGTATACAGGCACAGCTTGGATGTTTAGTATTTAAGATTTAGCTATATAAGTCGTTGCCATAACCTCTGGAAACCAGTATCAATGACACAATATAAGAGGTTCACATCTTAAACCTTTAGTAAGAAAAACTTATTGACAACTGTAATTTCCACGTAAGAACATGTTTTAGGGTGAACCTCCCTCTCTCTCTCTCTCTCTCTCTCACACACACACACACACACACTTGATGGCACAGCCACAAGATATCAATGAACTTGAAATTTGTGTCTTCAATAGAGTAGCATCTTTTAACCACTAATACTTCAAGCGATTAGGATTACAAGTCACCTTCATACTGAACAACCCGTGCTGGAATCCCAGGATAGGAGTCTTCACCCTCCTCCCATCTCATGGTAACCTTGATTTTGTACCATCTGCATAACAGCATCAATGAAATAACATAAGAAAAATGAAAAATGAAAAGTAAACAAAAGCAAAGCGAAGCTTACCCTTGTTCAAAAAGGTCAAGATTATGAAACCTATGAATGTAAACTGCAACTTCGTAAACAGCATCGAGCACAGGCAAATGGTTAGGCCTTGCAGGGCCATGTTGTTGAACATTGACCAACCTTTTGGTTGACCAATTCTTTTGATTCAGACCCACAAACCATCTGAGTCTCCGAAACATAAGTAGTATTAACAGCCAACACAGTAACACTACTTAATCCCTAAATGATCATTCATTCCTTATCTCTTTCAATGGAAGTGGAGCAAAACCCACAAGTCCTTAACCAAAAAAGGAACCAACTTTCCCCCACCCACCTTCGTTTCAATGCATACCCAACCCATTAATGCTGCCTCTGATGCTTGAAAACAGCAAACTTAAAGTCATCTGCAATGTGGGTCTGCGTTGAAGCGATTGATTGGTTGGACTAAGGGGAAAAGTTGGGGACCAAGATGAAAGAAAAATTAAAAGATAAGTGAATGTCAATGAATGAATTGAAAGCGTGGAAACAAGAAGAACAAAGGCGCAACTTTGTTCATGATGGGGAGTAATAATTCATTATTCATATACCTTGTTGGCACACGGCAGGGCCCAAAGGAACATCATTTTCGTCAACCCTTTTCGCAGTTAGTGCAATTAATGATCTGTTTTTGGTCTTTTACTTAAAACCCAAAAAAAAAGTGAAAAAAAAAAATTGAAAATGGTAACATGGGGTGTCGTGTCGGTGAAGACCTTGTCCGAAAATCATGGGCCATTCACCCTGAGAATGGTGTCTGTAACACTGCCACGTTCTAGTTTTAACGCGTAAGAGGTCGTTTCTTTTATGTTTTCATACCAGCAACACTGATTGAAGGTTCTCCATGGGTTTAGTTTGCCATTTCTTAACCTTAGTCTAGTTTCTAAAGCTTTGTATTTAGTCAGTGAGATTGATTTTGGTGAAATGGAAATTAGAAAGTAATAAATCTATTAGTATTATTATATTTAATTAATGATAATTTTTTTAAAAGTTTTGTTAATTTTAACCTTAAGATTTGAAGTTAATTAGTTAATAATAATAAAATTTTATTAAAAAAGTATTTATTATATTTTTATAATTTTAATATAATAATTATATATATTTTCATAAAAAAAATTATTTATAGATAATTAAATTTAACTCTAAGAGTGAGGTAACAATACCATTTTTAAAGTTGATACGTTGTCATCAACTGAAATGAAAAAACGAGATGGTAATGAGATGTAGATAACTATTACAGCAGAAAAGTAGTCGAATTTAACAGTTGTAACAGCGTGATTCAATTCATTATTTTGTTCTTATGTCTTAAATGCTATTTTCCCAAATAATTTTTTTAAGAAATAGCATTTAATTTGATTGACGTTTTTGTACACTGATAGATGATCTACATCACCAACAAAATAGTAAGCTATCCAATTTGATATTTATTATTGTCAAGATTCATAAAAATAGTGAACAAATAAAGTAAAATCTCATATATAATTACAATTATTTTAATCTTTATATTTTCAAGAACTAAATATTAATTAATTATGTAAATAAAGTAATATGTTTTGAAGTTTACTGTTCTTAAAATTCGCTAATTTAATTTTTAAATAATTTTTAAACTTAAAATTTATAGAAACTAAATTAACTGATTAAATATTTTTTATGTTGTTATTAAATACTACTTATCATGTCTATTGAGTTATTTTTTCACTAGAACAATTAATATTTAATTGATGACATAAATAAATGATTCATAATTATATACGTTAAAAATTAAAATAATATTTTATTTAAATAAAAATTTATTTTAATGAATTTTCAAAATTAAAAGAACTAAAATAATTAATAATTACATACATTAGAAACTAAAATAACATTTTATTTAATTTAAGAACTGTTTTAATAAATTTGAAAAATAATAAAAACTAAATTGACAATTTACTAATCTTTAGTACTCTAATTTTAAAATAAATGTCCTTTATTAATATTAATAATGTCTTTATCTTAAAAGTTTGTGACGTTTTTTAAAAAAGTAAATTTGTATTATAAAATGTAGCATTTAATATTATAAAAAAAATAGGTATATTCCTGAAAAAATCATAAAGCTGAAAACAAATGCTGCTACCTATCAATTTTTCATCAAACGGTTTGGTAGGATGTCACTTCTCAACTTAAAGGTTCGTTAAGTACAGACCTTGTTTTTTTATGAACAATTACAGGTCAACAAATTTTCCAAAATTAATTCAAATGAAATCAACATTGAATTAATAAGCTTAACGCAACACTAACACTACTTTAAAATGCTTAATCAAGACATTAAAGAAAACATTGATATGACAATAATCAAAGCCACAAGGTTAAGATTCTTTGCCTCAAAACCTATTGCTTCCCTAATTTTATCTCATCCTTTGATTATGACGTTGATTATGCTTTTCATTCAATTTTTTTCTGACGATAAAAAATATTATTTTTTTAATATCTTAATTGTTTGATTATGCATTGAAATATTTTATTACTGTTGTTGTTAGGTTGAAATTCCTATAATTTTACTATTTTTTTCATTAGATTTATAAAATATATTTTCATAATAAAATTATAATACTTTGAAAATTTTATAATCAATGACTAGCATTGCTATGATGACGTAGCAATATTTAATTGATATTTTTAATTCTCACTTTCTTTTTCTCATCATAATTGCAGTTTCCAAATTCGTCATCTGAGTCCTCAATCCAAGTTAATTGAGAATTGTTAATGGTAAATTAAATGTAATTAACTCATGCACGGCCTATTTCTTAATCTAGTAGCCATTATTCATTAGAATAAAATTTAGACGCAGTGTTATATATATATTGGTACTATTTCTTAATTAAAAAATTAAATTTCCATTTTAATAATTTATAATTATTAAAAGTTAACACATATTTTGAAATAAAACTCTAATTTTAGTTAAAAAAAATAATACCAATAATATCTACGATTATGTGTCTAAGTTTTATCATACTCGTCACTATTATTTAACAATCTCTTAAAATAAAGTTTTTGCCTAAAACGTTTACATACATAAATTTAATAAAAAAAGGTTTCAACTATAATATTCTAACAAAAAATAAACACACGAAAAATTCATAGACTACTATACTTTTGAATTACCGAATGTAAACTGCACTATTTTTCGCCTGCGTCAACCAAAATTCATCGAGAAATTTGTAAATAGATGGTATAAAATGTAGCAAATCTTAATGTTTATAAAAATGTCATTATAACTATTGTTAATTCAAGTCTCTTGACTCCTCATATGTAAAATATTTACAATATTATTTATCTAAAGTATTTGATGATACTATTTAAGCGATAGAGTTCATTTAATTATCTTTATAATATATATTTGCACTGATTTTGCTTGGTAATTAAGAAATGAGTTGTGAGTTTTAAACGATGTGATCTGATTGTATTGCATAATAAATTGACAATTGATGCTTAGAACAACAATATCTTCATCCAAAGCATTCATTACGTATATGATAATGACATTAAAAGAGAAACATATGTTTGTGTTCAACTTCCTTTCTCAATATCCTTTAGTTTTCAGAATGACGAAATTGCAATGCGTTGATCATACCCTATATGTAAGGAGATTGGTGACTTGGTATATCTCAATTTATGGTGTAGTTAGGAGTACTTTTAACTATAGCAGAAATTGCTCAAACCTTTAATTTATTTTTTCATGTTTTTCAATAAACTATAGTATCGTTTTATTTATCTAAATATTATTTTTAATCAGTAGTCGTACCATAAACATAGCCAACAATTATGCATATAAAAAAAAATAGTCAACACTTAATTTCAAATATTCATATAACCTAAACAATCAAAATAAAATAAAGATTTTCCTCAACCTTTCTATGATCATTCTATTGAAAATAAATTAATTTATGAAATAAAAAGTTTTTTATTATTAATTTAATTTAAAATGTATGATAATACTAATTCATAAACTAAAAAAATAACATTTATTATTAAACATGTGATTAAATGGCAAAAGTTAAAATTCTGTGTCTAATTCTATTGCTGTTTTGTTTTATCTCACTGAACTGCCAAGTTGCGATTATAATTTGAATAAATGCATGTTTTTCATTTTCTTTTCGCCATTTAATAGATAACGGACTCTTAAAAAACATAATATTTTAATTTTTATTTACCTCTTAATTTTTAAGTTTTTTAAAATGAATCTCATTAAGTTTCTCGTTGTAAGGAACTAAATAAATTTTGTTATGATATTTATAAATTTCAAATAAGTGACTCACGATATATCAAATAAGGAACGAATATTAATGATTAAATTTTATCATAAATAATTATGATTAAAGTATATTAGTCATATATAAAGGTTATATAATATGGTTGAGTTATTTAAAAAAATTAAATAAGAAAGTACAACAATTCTAAAGCAAATAACTGAATAAGCATAAAGGAACACAATATACGAACACTTTTAATTAGCTCCAAAGTAATAAAACCATACGAACAAAATTGCTTGAAATATTTTGCAGCTAAGGTGGCAGGATGCTTAATTAGCACCAAAATAGAGGGATTTCCTCTCTTATTATTCATGAGGTACTGAAATCTGCTCACTTATTGCCATTTTTCGGTTTGCCTTTAAAAGAAAAAACAAAATTTGATTAAATGACTGTTACAGTTAAGTAAATATGTTTTATAATTAAAAAAATATTAATCTTTTTATGATTTTTTAATTTATGCAATATTACGCAAAATAAAAAGTTATATATATCGTTAAGTTTATATTAAAAACCACATAATTTGATATAATTCAATGCATTAATAGTATTTATACAATAATTTTTATGTATTGAATTTTATAATTTTTAATAAAAACTTGTTATATAAAATCTTTTATCATGTGTAATATTGAAAAGGATAAACAAATATTTTTTAATTATATAAAATAGCTATATTATAAATGAAACGTGAAGTTTAAAAATTAATTATATGTTTTAAATCATTCATAACTCTAAAATAAATAATTGATATTTTAAGTAAAAATAATGCTATCAAATATCAAATTAAACATAAGTAAATTTAGATTAGTGAAATTATTCAAATAAAATCATGAAAATATTATCACAAATCAACTATCAAAAAGTTAAAAGATTTAGAAGTTTAGTAAACACGGATAAACATAAAAAACTTTGTATATTAATATTAAGATTTTGTTAACTTTAACTAAGGATAAAAATAGACTGGTTAAATTAAGTTTTACTTTAAACAGACTTAGTTTATAACATAATTATTAGACCTAAGCATGACCTGTTATCTATTAAAGACTTTATTTTTAGCCTGACTTAACTTATTTAAATGACTTGATTTGGTCTAAAGTCTGTTATAAAAATCTTAATCTTAATAAAAATATAATTATTTTATCCTCAAATTAGTTTACATATTTTTCAATTTTTATTTGTGTTATTGATAATTATAAAATAGTTGTAACAATTTTTATATAATTTTATAAAAAAATTTTAAAATATTATTTAAGCATTAACTATAAATATTTTCATAAGATAAAATTTTTATATTTTTATTTTT